CACAATCAATGTTTCTGTGTCAATGTACATCAATCAACATTGTTTCATTGAATTTTGTCTTTCACCAAGAAGATTCAAGAACAAAGTTTTGTAGTTTCAATAGATTGATTACACAATCAATGTTTCTGTGTCAATGTACATCAATCAACATTGTTTCATTGAATTTTGTCTTTCACCAAGAAGATTCAAGAACAAAGTTTTGTAGTTTCAATAGATTGATTACACAATCAATGTTTCTGTGTCAATGTACATCAATCAACATTGTTTCATTGAATTTTGTCTTTCACCAAGAAGATTCAAGAACAAAGTTTTGTAGTTTCAATAGATTGATTACACAATCAATGTTTCTGTGTCAATGTACATCAATCAACATTGTTTCATTGAATTTTGTCTTTCACCAAGAAGATTCAAGAACAAAGTTTTGTAGTTTCAATAGATTGTTACACAATCAATGTTTCTGTGTCAATGTACATCAATCAACATTGTTTCATTGAATTTTGTCTTTCACCAAGAAGATTCAAGAACAAAGTTTTGTAGTTTCAATAGATTGTTACACAATCAATGTTTCTGTGTCAATGTACATCAATCAACATTGTTTCATTGAATTTTGTCTTTCACCAAGAAGATTCAAGAACAAAGTTTTGTAGTTTCAATAGATTGATTACACAATCAATGTTTCTGTGTCAATGTACATCAATCAACATTGTTTCATTGAATTTTGTCTTTCACCAAGAAGATTCAAGAACAAAGTTTTGTAGTTTCAATAGATTGATTACACAATCAATGTTTCTGTGTCAATGTACATCAATCAACATTGTTTCATTGAATTTTGTCTTTCACCAAGAAGATTCAAGAACAAAGTTTTGTAGTTTCAATAGATTGATTACACAATCAATGTTTCTGTGTCAATGTACATCAATCAACATTGTTTCATTGAATTTTGTCTTTCACCAAGAAGATTCAAGAACAAAGTTTTGTAGTTTCAATAGATTGATTACACAATCAATGTTTCTGTGTCAATGTACATCAATCAACATTGTTTCATTGAATTTTGTCTTTCACCAAGAAGATTCAAGAACAAAGTTTTGTAGTTTCAATAGATTGATTACACAATCAATGTTTCTGTGTCAATGTACATCAATCAACATTGTTTCATTGAATTTTGTCTTTCACCAAGAAGATTCAAGAACAAAGTTTTGTAGTTTCAATAGATTGATTACACAATCAATGTTTCTGTGTCAATGTACATCAATCAACATTGTTTCATTGAATTTTGTCTTTCACCAAGAAGATTCAAGAACAAAGTTTTGTAGTTTCAATAGATTGTTACACAATCAATGTTTCTGTGTCAATGTACATCAATCAACATTGTTTCATTGAATTTTGTCTTTCACCAAGAAGATTCAAGAACAAAGTTTTGTAGTTTCAATAGATGATTACACAATCAATGTTTCTGTGTCAATGTACATCAATCAACATTGTTTCATTGAATTTTGTCTTTCACCAAGAAGATTCAAGAACAAAGTTTTGTAGTTTCAATAGATTTGATACACAATCAATGTTTCTGTGTCAATGTACATCAATCAACATTTTTCATTGAATTTTTTCTTTCACCAAGAAGATTCAAGAACAAAGTTTTGTAGTTTCAATAGATTGATTACACAATCAATGTTTCTGTGTCAATGTACATCAATCAACATTGTTTCATTGAATTTTGTCTTTCACCAAGAAGATTCAAGAACAAAGTTTTGTAGTTTCAATAGATTGATTACACAATCAATGTTTCTGTGTCAATGTACATCAATCAACATTGTTTCATTGAATTTTGTCTTTCACCAAGAAGATTCAAGAACAAAGTTTTGTAGTTTCAATAGATTGATTACACAATCAATGTTTCTGTGTCAATGTACATCAATCAACATTGTTTCATTGAATTTTGTCTTTCACCAAGAAGATTCAAGAACAAAGTTTTGTAGTTTCAATAGATTGATTACACAATCAATGTTTCTGTGTCAATGTACATCAATCAACATTGTTTCATTGAATTTTGTCTTTCACCAAGAAGATTCAAGAACAAATTTTTAGTTTCAATAGATTGGTTACACAATCAATTTCTGTGTCAATGTACATCAATCAACATTGTTTCATTGAATTTTGTCTTTCACCAAGAAGATTCAAGAACAAAGTTTTGTAGTTTCAATAGATTGATTACACAATCAATGTTTCTGTGTCAATGTACATCAATCAACATTGTTTCATTGAATTTTGTCTTTCACCAAGAAGATTCAAGAACAAAGTTTTGTAGTTTCAATAGATTGGTTACACAATCAATGTTTCTGTGTCAATGTACATCAATCAACATTGTTTCATTGAATTTTGTCTTTCACCAAGAAGATTCAAGAACAAAGTTTTGTAGTTTCAATAGATTGGTTACACAATCAATGTTTCTGTGGTCAATGTACATCAATCAACATTGTTTCATTGAATTTTGTCTTTCACCAAGAAGATTCAAGAACAAAGTTTTGTAGTTTCAATAGATTGATTACACAATCAATGTTTCTGTGTCAATGTACATCAATCAACATTTTTCATTGAATTTTGTCTTTCACCAAGAAGATTCAAGAACAAAGTTTTGTATTTCAATAGATTGATTACACAATCAATGTTTCTGTGTCAATGTACATCAATCAACATTGTTTCATTGAATTTTGTCTTTCACCAAGAAGATTCAAGAACAAAGTTTTGTAGTTTCAATAGATTGATTACACAATCAATGTTTCTGTGTCAATGTACATCAATCAACATTGTTTCATTGAATTTTGTCTTTCACCAAGAAGATTCAAGAACAAAGTTTGTAGTTTCAATAGATTGATTACACAATCAATGTTTCTGTGTCAATGTACATCAATCAACATTGTTTCATGAATTTTGTCTTTCACCAAGAAGATTCAAGAACAAAGTTTTGTAGTTTCAATAGATTGATTACACAATCAATGTTTCTGTGTCAATGTACATCAATCAACATTTTTCATTGAATTTTGTCTTTCACCAAGAAGATTCAAGAACAAAGTTTTGTAGTTTCAATAGATTGATTACACAATCAATGTTTCTGTGTCAATGTACATCAATCAACATTGTTTCATTGAATTTTGTCTTTCACCAAGAAGATTCAAGAACAAGTTTTCCTCTTTTTCTTTTTTAAATGATTAAAATATTACCTTGCTTCAACTTTACACGTTTTCGTTTACTATAATTATCTTTTACCTTCACTTATCTTATCATACCCAATTATTCATTTAATTCTATATTTTTCTGACCAAAAATCCTCTCAAATCTCCCTTCTTCTTTCAAAAATTCTATGAGTTTATTCAAATTTCCTTTAAATCTTTGCTAGTCCTTTTTTCTATAAAATTTTTGAAAAATTTAAAATTTGCTAAATATATTCTTTATTACTTTGCACTATTTTCCAATTGAAAAATCGTCGATTTTAATCAAATGTAAGATCATCATAATAAAAATTATGAAACTTACCGTGTTTATTAGTAAATTTCAATATGAAGTTGTTATACAAACAGCTGGGACTTTAAATTGAGAAATTGCATAATTCCATCTACAAATTTTGGTCTAGACAATAATCATTGATAAATTATAATATATGTATTATGTGTATTTACATTGCATATATAACAATTTCAATTTCTATATTAAATTGTTATTTGATATCAGCTATATTTGTTCAGGTAAAATGAAGTGTAAAAATATAATTCATGAATTACATATATATATATTATTTTTATTATTAAAATCAAATTCAGATTTATAAATTAAGGTTATTCATTTTTGATATGGTTATCACGCTCAAATATGAAAATAAAATTAAAAAAGTCAATACTCCTCAAGAAATACATTGTCTATCATTATATCTATATGCTTCCAAAGTATTTCATCTTAAACTAAAGACTTTTATATTACAAAAAGATTCAAAGAAGATACAATTGTTTAATTATGTTAAACATTATTCAGATATGACAATTGAAATAAAAGAGTCAAAAAAGCCTCTAAACTATTTGACAATCCAATAATTTCTTCAACTAAACTATCAAATTTGGAGGATTTAATAAAATGTGGATATGATATGGATATTTCACAAATTGCATTGTTTTCAGCCAGAAATGACATTGATACTGCTATGAAAATACTGAACATGGATTCAATCGAAGAATATGGATATGAACTTAATTGCTTATTAAAACAAGTAAGAGAATTTAGAAGAAGTGATATAAAAGGTCAAATGATTGCAATAAGGACAGATAGCAATGGTAAAAAATACACAGAAGTATTAGCAGAAGGATTTTTAAAGCAGATAGCGATGTTGAATCAAGTGATGATTCATATGATATCATTGAAGATGTAAAATCAGATAAAATTAAATCAGGAAACGCGCTTAATATTAATGATATAATTGGCAATAGGAATCCAAATATTAATGGAGAAACGATTAATAGCCATTCAAATATTAATCAAAACATTAATGAAAGAAATTCAAATATTGATGGAGAAACGATTAATAGCCATTCAAATATTAATCAAAACGTTAATGAAAGAAATTCAAATATTGATGGAGAAACGATTAATAGCCATTCAAATATTAATCAAAACATTAATGAAAGAAATTCAAATATTGATGGAGAAACGATTAATAGCCATTCAAATATTAATCAAAACATTAATGAAAGAAATTTAAATATTAATGATGAAATTACTGATGGTCATCAAAATATTAATGGACGCATATTGAAACCAAAATCAAATAATAATAAATCTCGGCAAGCAATCCTCAAATTACCTCCTAATTTTATACAAGTAAATAGAGTAAACATCCAAGTTCCTCCAGCGCCAGCTCTTCCACAACAGAGACAACAACAATCTCTTCCAGCTCAGACTCTTCCTCAACAGAGACAACAACAATCTCTTCCAACTCAGACTCTTCCTCAACAGAGACAACAACAATCTCTTCCAGCTCAGGCTCTTCCTCAACAGAGACAACAACAATCTCTTCCAGCTCAGGCTCTTCCTCAACAGAGACAACAACAATCTCTTCCAACTCAGGCTCTTCCTCAACAGAGACAACAACAATCTCTTCCAGCTCAGGCTCTTCCTCAACAGAGACAACAACAATCTCTTCCAACTCAGACTCTTCCTCAACAGAGACAACAACAATCTCTTCCAGCTCAGGCTCTTCCTCAACAGAGACAACAACAATCTCTTCCAACTCAGACTCTTCCTCAACAGAGACAACAACAATCTCTTCCAGCTCAGGCTCTTCCTCAACAGAGACAACAACAATCTCTTCCAACTCAGGCTCTTCCTCAACAGAGACAACAACAATCTCTTCCAGCTCAGGCTCTTCCTCAACAGAGACAACAACAATCTCTTCCAGCTCAGACTCTTCCTCAACAGAGACAACAACAATCTCTTCCAACTCAGGCTCTTCCTCAACAGAGACAACAACAATCTCTTCCAGCTCAGGCTCTTCCTCAACAGAGACAACAACAATCTCTTCCAACTCAGACTCTTCCTCAACAGAGACAACAACAATCTCTTCCAACTCAGGCTCTTCCTCAACAGAGACAACAACAATCTCTTCCAACTCAGGCTCTTCCTCAACAGAGACAACAACAATCTCTTCCAGCTCAGGCTCTTCCTCAACAGAGACAACAACAATCTCTTCCAGCTCAGGCTCTTCCTCAACAGAGACAACAACAATCTCTTCCAACTCAGACTCTTCCTCAACAGAGACAACAACAATCTCTTCCAGCTCAGACTCTTCCTCAACAGAGACAACAACAATCTCTTCCAGCTCAGACTCTTCCTCAACAGAGACAACAACAATCTCTTCCAACTCAGGCTCTTCCTCAACAGAGACAACAACAATCTTCCAGCTCAGGCTCTCCTCAACAGAGACAACAACCTCTTCCAACTCAGGCTCTTCCTCAACAGAGACAACAACAATCTCTTCCAACTCAGGCTCTTCCTCAACAGAGACAAACAATCTCTTCCAGCTCAGGCTCTTCCTCAACAGAGACAACAACAATCTCTTCCAGCTCAGACTCTTCCTCAACAGAGACAACAACAATCTCTTCCAACTCAGGCTCTTCCTCAACAGAGACAACAACAATCTCTTCCAGCTCAGGCTCTTCCTCAACAGAGACAACAACAATCTCTTCCAGCTCAGGCTCTTCCTCAACAGAGACAACAACAATCTCTTCCAACTCAGACTCTTCCTCAACAGAGACAACAACAATCTCTTCCAGCTCAGGCTCTTCCTCAACAGAGACAACAACAATCTCTTCCAACTCAGACTCTTCCTCAACAGAGACAACAACAATCTCTTCCAGCTCAGGCTCTTCCTCAACAGAGACAACAACAATCTCTTCCAGCTCAGGCTCTTCCTCAACAGAGACAACAACAATCTCTTCCAGCTCAGGCTCTTCCTCAACAGAGACAACAACAATCTCTTCCAGCTCAGGCTCTTCCTCAACAGAGACAACAACAATCTCTTCCAGCTCAGACTCTTCCTCAACAGAGACAACAACAATCTCTTCCAACTCAGGCTCTTCCTCAACAGAGACAACAACAATCTCTTCCAGCTCAGGCTCTTCCTCAACAGAGACAACAACAATCTCTTCCAGCTCAGGCTCTTCCTCAACAGAGACAACAACAATCTCTTCCAACTCAGACTCTTCCTCAACAGAGACAACAACAATCTCTTCCAGCTCAGGCTCTTCCTCAACAGAGACAACAACAATCTCTTCCAACTCAGACTCTTCCTCAACAGAGACAACAACAATCTCTTCCAACTCAGACTCTTCCTCAACAGAGACAACAACAATCTCTTCCAGCTCAGACTCTTCCTCAACAGAGACAACAACAATCTCTTCCAACTCAGGCTCTTCCTCAACAGAGACAACAACAATCTCTTCCAGCTCAGGCTCTTCCTCAACAGAGACAACAACAATCTCTTCCAGCTCAGGCTCTTCCTCAACAGAGACAACAACAATCTCTTCCAACTCAGACTCTTCCTCAACAGAGACAACAACAATCTCTTCCAGCTCAGGCTCTTCCTCAACAGAGACAACAACAATCTCTTCCAACTCAGACTCTTCCTCAACAGAGACAACAACAATCTCTTCCAACTCAGGCTCTTCCTAAACAACAACCACATATAACTGATAATTTATCTTTTGATAACTTTATTAACCCTCAAATTATTATTGATAATGCGAAAGTATATCAAAGTATTTCCGACAAAGGAGTCAATATAATCTTTCCAAAACCATTTGCGAACAATGTGTTGCAAACTACAATATATTGAACAAAGATGATAAAGAAGCCCAGAGAATAAAAATTAGTGATATTTTACGTACTTATCATACATTTAGTATATCTGACTCTGACAAACTTGCCTATAGGAAAACGATATATCCTCAAGGTATTCCATTACGATTTGAACGTTATTATTGCAAGAATGATCATTTAGAGTTACACTATTATTGTGCCAAACGAAAAAAATGTGGTTATTCACAAATTATATCATTATTTCCAGCTGGTTCGAATATAAAAGCGTCAATCCACGAAATAAATCCTCCACACAACTGCTCCAAATCGAAATATTCGATTGAAATCAATGGAACACATCAAATCAGGTATGAATTCGAATCAATGATATCAAATTATATTCAAAATAATCCATTGTTATCACTAGCTGAAGCTCGACAATATTCAAATCAACTCATATTTGAATACAATTCTTCACATGATGATACTATTGATATTTCACCTCAAACAATAGCAAAGCTATACTACGAGATCAGGCCTAAAATCAAACTAAGCGAAAATGAATTAATTAAGAAGTTATTAGAAAAGTATAACAGCACAGATTATTATATAACCCAATATTACTCAAGTTCAGATGATACTAACTATTATTTCTTCGGGTTGCCAGCTTTTATAAAAAGAGCTAAAACTTGCAACCATCTTTTCATAGATGGAACATTTCGTATCGTTCCAATTAAGTTAGCAAATGGACAGCTCTTAAATCTTTTAGTATACGATGAAGCTACAAATTTATATTTACCTTTCCTTCATGTACTAATGACAGGAAGATCATCACTTAACTATGATACAGTTTTTAATTTAATGATCACATGTCCTCTTATTAGTATATCATTGGGAAAATATAAAATCATTACATCAGATTTTGAGAATGCATTAATGAAATCAATCAAATCTAAAGTCAATGATGAAACTACAGTCACTGGTTGTATATTTCATTATATAGCAGCTCTTGTTAAAAATTTCAAAAAGTTATGTGATGAAAACGATGTTTGCGCAAAATCACTTTTAAAACTATTATGTGCATGTCCTTTTGTTCCAATAGAAGTTTTTGAAATAATTTGCAAAAAATTAGATGCGATTAAAGAAATAAATGATTTTGCAAAATATTTCTTAAATACATGGGGTAAAAAGTATGATGTAATTAACAAGCTGAAAGTATCTGATATGATCTTTTCCAATAATGGAGTTGAGTCATTTAACAAAGTGTTAAACTCTCATATTGCATTCCCACATCCAACTATTTATCATATGATTTACATCCTATTGAAAGTTGATAAGGTATATTTTCATCGATATGCAAGGCAGCAAAATGACAATTTTGATCATAAAAAATCGTATTTTATACCATTGACAAGAATTCAACAAGAGTTAGATGTATTCACATCTAATTTTGGATTAGAACGTGCAGAAATACCAAGTGAAATAATCAAAAAACATAAAAAATCATTTCGATTTGGAGAGGCCGATTATCGAGATATAGAAATTGAAAAATATCTGAATAAAAATGATGAGCAGTTTTCAAATTCTGTTACAATTAAATTAGAAGAATCCGATGATATAAATATCAATGAATTCGAAATTACAGAAGATGATATTTTTGGAAATGAGATTAATTAATTTATGACAAATCATTTAGAATAAAAAATTATTATATAAGAATTTGAAAATTAATAATAAGGGAAAGGAACAGTAATATATAAGTATATATGAAGACAAAATTCAATGAAACAATGTTGATTGATGTACATTGACACAGAAACATTGATTGTGTAACCAATCTATAAAAATTCATTAAACTATTTTAGCTTTCCTTTAATTAATTTTATTATTTTAATTATTTGATCATTAAGTCTCATTGTTTTACAACATCCCCATTCTCTCATTATCTTCGTTTAAATTAATATCTATTTTTAGATTTATTATTATATGAACTTTTGTTTAGGTTCTTTTAAAATAAGTTTCTTTGCGAGAATTAATTATTTTTTGTTTTCCTAAACTTACACATTTATAATGAACATTCAAGCTAAATCGACATTGTTTTGATAATTAAATATGCATTTAATGAAAATATTAATTGTCACTTTTTATATTTGTTAATGAAAATGATTTTTAAGTTATAAGGTGCCATAACAATTGACAAAGAGTTATACATTTGTACAAACACATTTGTACACACTAGCATATTGTAGCAGTTTATATTACAAATAAAGATTCGCTTTATTTTACGAGTTTCAAATTTAGATCTGAACCATGTTGAAGATCTTTCAAATCAATACGACAAATCCATTTGTATACACTAGCATATTGTAGCAGTTTATATTACAAATAAAGATTCGCTTTATTTTACGAGTTTCAAATTTAGATCTGAACCATGTTGAAGATCTTTCAAATCAATACGACAAATACATTTGTATACACTAGCATATTGTAGCAGTTTATATTACAAATAAAGATTCGCTTTATTTTACGAGTTTCAAATTTAGATCTGAACCATGTTGAAGATCTTTCAAATCAATACGACAAATACATTTGTATACACTAGCATATTGTAGCAGTTTATATTACAAATAAAGATTCGCTTTATTTTACGAGTTTCAAATTTAGATCTGAACCATGTTGAAGATCTTTCAAATCAATACGACAAATACATTTGTATACACTAGCATATTGTAGCAGTTTATATTACAAATAAAGATTCGCTTTATTTTACGAGTTTCAAATTTAGATCTGAACCATGTTGAAGATCTTTCAAATCAATACGACAAATACATTTGTATACACTAGCATATTGTAGCAGTTTATATTACAAATAAAAATTCGGTATTTATTTTTATAACTTATTTTTTATTACATAGATTTTAATTCTAACCGAAAAATATTTCTAATCTATTTATATACATGTATTTTACTTAATGACATTGATGATATATGCAATTTATATGCACGTTTATCAATTATCAATATGAGCCATTGTATTGTTCATGGTAGTAATATTTGAATTTTAATAGTTGTTATCAACACCACGTAGCTTTTTGTCCTAAATTTATACTATTTGGTTCCGAAATAAGATTATAAATTTTTAAATTTAAATTCGACTTTTAAATACACTACTGATCGATTGCTTATATTGAGTTTCTGCTTTGCAAACAAGTTGAGGTTATAATTGTAAGTTTATTTGTATGAAATAAGAAATAATATATGTGACATTTGGATTTTATGCTACCATTTTTCTAAACAGGTGGTAGTGAGTCATTCACTTAAATATTGAGTAATCTTCAATAATGTGTAACGAAGATTTCTCTGAAACCATTAAAATAACGTATATAAATAATCGTATGTCAAAATGTGTGCCTATTTCAATTTTGCACACATTTTGACAGAAATTTGAATGAAATTTAGAGGTTTTTCTTCAAATTTGAATGATGCTTGTCAGAAAAAGTGTCAAAATGTGTGCAAATGTGTGCATTTTATCCATCTCATTTCTTTTGTAATAAACAGAAATTCATCAAAAGTGACAGCTCTCAATTTTTTGACATTTGTAAATTCTAAATTGAATGAGAAAAATGAAATAATACTAAGCATAATACAATATTCTAGATTTAATTATAATTAGGAAAAGTTAGTTTTGAGAGTACTTTTTATAGGCATATAGAATGAAATCTTCTGAAAAATAATATCACATAAACTCATATTATTTTCTAATATATAACTATTTTATATAAAAATCAAATTCAATGATCTTAAAAGCGAAGGATAAACCTCAAAATTTACGAATATAATGAGTGGGAATATAATGCTTATCTATCATAAAACCATATGAAATATTAATTTTTGCTTTACGCCTAATTTTTGACGACAATTAGCAAAAAATGTTAAATGTTAACACTCAGTCCATTTGAATATGAAAAATAAAATTGACTTTGATTAAATGTTTTTATTTATCATGCAACTCTTCTTGCGACCAAAGATTTGAATAAAAGTTCAAAAAATAAGATAGCTTAAAAAATAATATACGGTAGTGTTTACTAATAGATGAATAGTATATAAATTCTATTAAAATGGATTTGATCCAAAAAAATATATAAAATTTGATCATAAATAAAATCGTTTTAAATTACTTCTTCATTTAAATTATAACAATTATTTTTGGTTTTATATTTTTTTGGATCAAATCCATTTTAATAGAATTTATATACTATTCATCTATTAGTAAACACTACCGTATATTATTTTTTAAGCTATCTTATTTTTTGAACTTTTATTCAAATCTTTGGTCGCAAGAAGAATTGCATGATAAATAAAAACATTTAATCAAAGTCAATTTTATTTTTCATATTCAAATGGACTGAGTGTTAACATTTAACATTTTTTGCTAATTGTCGTCAAAAATTAGGCGTAAAGCAAAAATTAATATTTCATATGGTTTTATGATAGATAAGCATTATATTCCCACTCATTATATTCGTAAATTTTGAGGTTTATCCTTCGCTTTTAAGATCATTGAATTTGATTTTTATATAAAATAGTTATATATTAGAAAATAATATGAGTTTATGTGATATTATTTTTCAGAAGATTTTGTGTTCTTCTTCAAAATTTTATTTTTTTATTAAAAAGAATCTTTACAAAATATACATTTACTTTAATTAATATTTAAAAACGTGCTCTATCAAAAGTTCCAAAAATTCAATATTTTAGCTTTTCTGAGGTGTCACTTTTGATGAATTTCTGTTTACAACACTTTAAATACAGTTACTTTATATAGAACTCATTTTTCAAAATTAAAAGTAGTTACGACTTTTAAATTTTTTTCCTTTCAATTTGTAATAACTGCTCAAAATTTGCATAAACGATTGTAAATCATATTTTTTATTTTTAAAAATGTTTCTCATAATGTTTTGGATATTTGATATTAAATTTCAATTTTGATTTTGAGACTTTGTTTAATTCACTTCATTTTAGGATATGAGCCGTTCTGATATGAACTACTACTATAGTACCCAACAGTGGGACAAGTATGAGGAAGAAAAGAGACGCGTTGAAGAGAAGGAGAGAGAAGAAAGAGAAGAGGAAGATCGCAAGAGACGTGAAAGAAATAGCAGCAGCAGCTACGGTGGTAGCAGCAGCAATAGTGGAAGCTCTAGCAATGGTGATTGCCGTGTTTCATGAAGAAATTTAACACTGAATATTCCCATTTTATTAATAAAATAATATTTTCATTATACTTTAGCATTTTAAATAGGTTTAAGATGAGTTTACGGTCTCTTCGTAAACAATTTAATTAATATATTGCTTTAAGATATTTTATTGCGTGAATTATTTAGTAATGCCATATACTCGATATGAAAACGTTCCAATTATCATCTAAAATTAGTGAGACCTATCAATTGGTTCGGACAGTTTTCTTGATTGATGATTCTAACCGAATTTCGTAAAAAAAGTTTCATTATGAGAAATAATGAAAACCATGATTAAACTATACGAATGCAACAATAATATTTACGTTTAAAACAAGATTTTTGAAAAAAAATAATATCATATTTATGAAATTTAACAATTTTTATTTCGTTGTTGGAAACTTGGCGTATTTGTAGCCTTTATCAATGATTTCCTTTATTCCACCTGGTGGAATTTGAACCCAGCACAAAACTGGTACCAAATTACTTGTTGGTGGCGGAATTGTAATATCTGTTGGAATAACTGTTGGAAGATTATTTCCATCTTCTTTAAGCTCTCCGAAAAACAAGTATTCTTGGTTAGCCGTTGGTTGTGGTTCCTGAACAGGAACTTTCTGCTCCAATTTAGGTTCTTCGATAATTTCCTGTTTCTCTGGTTGAGGTTCCTTTGGTTTTTCTTGCTTTCTCTCCTTTTTCTGTTGAGGATCAAATTTCTTTTCCTGAACATATTTGGTTTCTTGTGGCGGACGGACGAAATCTGTTGGTTTTGGTGGTTCTGGTGTTTGTAAATTCAATGCGCCCCAGCCAATTCCACTTGCGGGTGAAAAGTTATGTTTCGGTGCCGTTTTTGGTGCTTCTTTTTCTTCCTGAGGCTTGTTTTGAGCTGGGTTGAAATTTGTATTTTTCTTTTTCTGATAAGGCTGTTTTCCCTTAATAACTCAAAAAAGAAATGAAGTGATTGGCAAATTAATTCAAAATATAATTGAATGAAAATTTATCTAATAACCGTCGGATTTTATTTCCAAATATCAAGCAATTCTTCTGACACGCCATTTTAAAATTTTAGCAATTTTGTGCCAGTAAAATTTTTCCTATCATTCTGATTTCATTATGCAATTAGTATTGGAATATAAAGTGCGCCTGATTCTATAATAAAATTTTCTTCAAACTTGAATTTTAAGCTTCAATCTCGTTTGAATTACTCGTTTAATCATTTTTTGTATCAACTCCATATATGAAATGATGCAATATGACGATTTTCAAGTAATAACATATATCAATAAAAGTACTAATGCTTGAATATATGAAATTATGAGAATCAATCGGATTTTATTTACAATAGCAAATACCCTAAAGTTTTTGTTATTGGAATCTGACACGCCCGTAAATTTTTATAAGAGCTCATTAATACAGCTCCCTGATTGGAGACATTCTTTGTGACATATACCATATACTTATGTAGGCACTAGAGAATCTACCATATGATTTTAGTAGTCTACTAATGACATTCATAGTGCAATTAGACAAAATTTATTTTGCTTGTAAAACCACACTACATGAAGATCCAAACCCATTATTATAACATTATATTACTGGTACATAGTAGTATATATTGCTGAGGTTGAAATCTAAATCTAAAAAGTTATCAAGATATCAAACTAATGTAATTGGCCTAGTCTATTCAATTACAGATATATTAATATATATGATCCGGTGAATTGATTTATACACAATGACATGATATATAAAAAAAATTATAATATTTTAAAATTAGAGTTAAAATTTCACATATCTACATGCAAATGGTTAGAAATGTTATGCATATATCAATCTCGGTTGTGATTTTACTATATAGGAAAATATGTCGGAGTAATGATTCAAACTTTCAAAGTAATGCTTTATTTGAACAATATGAATTGAAATTCATTTTGATAAGTCAGGCTATGAATGATAATGATATAATAACAGTTTAAAAAAAGATAATATTATAAATTTTGAAAAGATTGATATTTTTTATTTAATTTGGAATATTCTTAATTCCAATTGATGTAGAATGTGGTATCATGTCAATTTTTGAAATTCGGCTAATTTTGGAAAGACATTTTGAATTGGGTATCAATTGTTAAAATTAAGCTTGGTTATTAATGTAAGTCAAATGCAAAATAAGGGAGAAGACAATATTTGTAATTAAATGTAACAAATTCACAATTTGAAGAATATCAATATAATTTGAAAAAATTGTTAATTTCATAGGCAACAAGATGTCTATTGACACTGCATATCATTGTGAATATATTCTTCATTTCAAAATTGATAGAGATTTAAAAACTACATGCGTAAAATGAAAACTGATGATAAATGATATAAACTAATATGATTGTATAACATTGAGTGTTTTTATAAACTAAATAGATGTAGAATTCAATAATTAATGAAAATATTAAGATTTTTAAAGATAAATACAAATCATATGGTAAATTTGTGTTTAAGGGATTTTTGAATAAGAGATATTGTTTATGTACTAAATATATGTATGGATAGGCAAGAAAATAAAGAGATTGTATAATGAGAATGTGATTGCAAAAGTTTGACCGACAAGAGTGTAATATGCACTCTTGTCGGTCACAATGTGTCATTCTGGGAGACATTGCCACTGCATGTCCCCCAGATTGGCACACTGTTCCGCATTCATAACTTGAATGCGGAACTTTGACCGACAAGAGTGTAATATGCACTCTTGTCGGTCACAATGTGTCATTCAGGGAGACATTGCCACTGCATGTCTCCCAGAATGAGACAATTTGTTGCAATCAGAATGTGATTGCAAAAGTTTGACCGACAAGAGTGTAATATGCACTCTTGTTTTAATAAATTTTAATTACCATATAAGTATCTTTACATACAATCTTTACATTATAATTTTTCCTAATTAATATTTATTTCATATTTTTTTGTGCTTAATCTAACTTATAGCATGTACTGAACTATTTTACAGACTCTACTGAGCTATCTCAACATATAAACCAGTGAAAAAAAACACATATATACTCACTTCATATTCTGATCTCATGCCATATTATCGCAAAAACTATATTTATACACCACACCTCATAAAACATCATTTTCGCCCTATCTAAGCGTTCAAAACCTATTTTTCCCGCGTAATCTGATTCTTCAGGATCCGCTGATTCGATTTCTGCCGTCAGATCGCGAAAATATGCATTACATAACAAGATATACACAAATTACTAAACTTAATATTTTCCTTAAAATTGCAATTCCTCCATATGACAATATTTATTATCTTCTCCGTTTTCCCTCACAAATACATTTAATTTTCTGAGTAATACGTATAATAAAATAAGGGTTTCGTTTTGCGAAAAAAACGTACAATAAGCAATTTCGCTAAAAAAACATTTAGCTAGCAATTTCGACCTTTGACTCCACTCAAGACGTCACTTTTTTAATTTTGCGGTATCATATTTTTGGAAAATCTTTATGAATATTATATAAAAAGTCTCTTTAATATTATATTTCATATTTTTATCGATTTTTAAAGTTTTTGCGAAAAGTATTCAATTATTTTTGCTATTTGGTCGGGTAAATGTCAGATTTGCGACATTTTCTGATATGATATTCAGATTCTACGTTGATAATAATGCTTATAGAACCCTCTTGCTATTGTGTCAAAATTGCGAAACCGATAGCAAAAATATCTCGCAATATCAAAATTGAGATATTGAGTGAATTATGCATTATAGAGATTAAAAATCTGATTTGTGAAAACAGCTCATCAGTTTCTAGCTAATTCAAAAATCTTTACTATCTTATTCGATTAAAATGAAAAGGGAATAGTTTCATTATGCTTTAAATGACAGCCTTATAATATAATCATAGTTTTCGCTCAATATGCAGCTTTTTTTTTCGAAATCTATGGTCAATATCCTAAATACTGATTGCTTTGCATTCATATCTCTTACATTTTCTATACCCACATCACTATTCATTGCTATTCCTATCTTTTTCATTTTTGTTTGTTTCTCATAATTTCTCAAAAAACATGATAACTTGATATTTGTAAATATCATACTTTATAACGTAAATAAGAACTTGACCTATTAAGAAAAGCAGTAATGAAAAGAAAATCTGAAATTCATAAAAATTACAAGTTTCTGATGACAATTAGCTTAATTAAACCAGGTACAAGATTATATAATTGTATTTTCTATCCAATTATCCATATAATATCTTATCCAGAAAAAATAACTTGATCAATACCAAATGATTTTTTAACTAGTAAATAAAGTATTTTCTTTACACACACATTGTATATCATAGTTTTTTTTTTTGGTTTCGCAAAACATCCAAAAACAAATATGCTATAAAAGTGACAATTTTAGCAAAACGAAACCCTTAAATAAAATGAATTTCTCAAAAAATTAAATTCAAAATTAATAATGGATAATGACTAGATATAATCTGAACTTTTGAATGCATACATTTTTTGAAAAAATTGGATTTTGAAAAATTATGTTGTTTGTGTATGAACTTCAAGAGAAATTTTAAGGAAAATATTAAGTTTAGTAATTTGTGTATATCTTGTTATGTAATGCATATTTTCGCGATCTGACGGCAGAAATCGAATCAGCGGATCCTGAAGAATCAGATTACGCGGGAAAAATAGGTTTTGAACGCTTAGATAGGGCGAAAATGATGTTTTATGAGGTGTGGTGTATAAATATAGTTTTTGCGATAATATGGCATGAGATCAGAATATGAAGTGAGTATATATGTGTTTTTTTTCACTGGTTTATATGTTGAGATAGCTCAGTAGAGTCTGTAAAATAGTTCAGTACATGCTATAAGTTAGATTAAGCACAAAAAAATATGAAATAAATATTAATTAGGAAAAATTATAATGTAAAGATTGTATGTAAAGATACTTATATGGTAATTAAAATTTATTAAAACAAGAGTGCATATTACACTCTTGTCGGTCAAACTTTTGCAATCACATTCTGATTGCAACAAATTGTCTCATTCTGGGAGACATGCAGTGGCAATGTCTCCCTGAATGACACATTGTGACCGACAAGAGTGCATATTACACTCTTGTCGGTCAAACTTTTGCAATCACATTCTGATTGCAACAAATTGTCTCATTCTGGGAGACATGCAGTGGCAATGTCTCCCTGAATGACACATTGTGACCGACAAGAGTGCATATTACACTCTTGTCGGTCAAAGTTCCGCATTCAAGTTATGAATGCGGAACAGTGTGCCAATCTGGGGGACATGCAGTGGCAATGTCTCCCAGAATGACACATTGTGACCGACAAGAGTGCATATTACACTCTTGTCGGTCAAAATACCGCTATCTGAACCCAATTCCGGACCAGTACCCCATTTTGCGATTAATCCAATGGGAATCACTTCCAACATTAAAACTTTATAGGTGGATCCCACTAATTTATTAAATTGTTCGATCTATTCATGCATACTACTTTCAAATTAAGAAAGTTCTTGTCTCATGCATGAATATTTTGAAATCTACCTTATAAATATATCATTAAATTTATCCCATTTTAATATTATGAGTATCAAATGCGAAAATCAAAAAAAAATATTGTCCTGATTCGAACTCAATCCATTTAATCCTGGCATACAGACCATCCCATTATGCCAAAAAGTTTACTTTTTGTTTTCTTAATAATAATATAAGATCGCTTATTTTTTATTTTGCTTCTATTAAAATTTAGCATTTTATATCACCAATCATTAATATTCTTAAGTAAGATTTATATTTTCACTTTATAATTTGTTCTAATCGAATATTTTTTTTTATTCAAAAATTTTAACCCTATTTTTTGATAATAAATGTACCACCACATTTTCTACCTATATTTGATAAATATCAAACATATTTTTACTTAATTTCCTTTAATTTTTTTTTATATTTTTTTTATTCAGTCTCAATTTCATATTACTTTATATATTCTGGATATAAATTCCATAACTATATCATTGCATTTAAAAATATGGCTCAAATATGATTCTTTATAGGATTTTTTTGTAATACGCCAAAAAATCACGACTTCTAGCCTTCTCATTATGTGCATTATTCCTAGAAACTGTCTTAGCCCCTGAATATATAGTTGCAAATTAGATAAACAATATAGCGGCAAATAAATTATTTATGATTATCGACAACACATAGCCATTCTGTTCTAACCATTAGGCAAAATACCCCGACAAGCCAAAAAAAGCATAACTCATGATCGTGCCGGACATCAATACTCTTTTGACGTGATTTGTGCCAAACTCTCAAGAAAATCAATAGTTGGCATTTATTCCTAATATGTTATTATAATGCATCATAGAGAACAAAAAATAATACCACATCAAAATAAAATAAGGTTGATTTCATCTCAAACTTTTAATTTTAACAAAGACACATATTGAAATATCATCACCACATATGGTAGAATATTGCCATATAATTGACACTTGACTTTTACACAAGCTCAAAATCAGCATCCCCATAGGATATTAGGTTTTCGAGAAAACAACACGGGATAAAAGTACACATATATATCTATCTAATTTCATAAAATCAAGTTGCTATATTTATCTGGAATGGTAAGATCCAACAAACAAGTGTGATTTGGTGTCACTTTTTGTCCAATAACAAAAATTTAAGGGTATCATATTTAAATTTCGATATAATGCGCTCATAAATGATAGGTAGAAAATTATATCAAGTTTTGTATGGTACTAATACATATATTGATTAAGTTCCATTGAATTCGAATAACATCAATGAAAATGAAGCAAATAATTCGAACATGGAGTCAATAAATGTAAAAAACTGCTAATTTAAGATGGGACATTAATACCCCTTATGAGAGTAAACTGTTGGGCTTCAAAATTTTTCCCATCATTCGGTTAATACTGACTTTTCTTTTAAAAATACAATGCCAATTCATAAGCAAATTGTTTCTGATAGTCAAATCCCTGAATCATAAAAATTCAATTGAAATTTCGAAAACTACTAAATCCTTCTTTAAAGCATGTGTTTAATACAAGGATAAATACGATACAAAATTCTTCAAAATTGAATGAGTTGTAATTTTTGTCACAATTATGAAATTCCTCTGGCGCAACACTACTCAGGTAGCATTTGGCAAGGAAGCAGTAAAGGAGTACATTCCAAAATTCGTCAAGCCAAAGAGCCGTATCATTTGCACCTATGGTGGAGGATCAATTTTCAAAAATGGAGCCCATGATGATGTTCAATCCGCCTTAGAAGCACTTGGATGTGAAGTCAAGTGGGAAGGTGGCATTCCTGCTAACCCAGAATTTGATCGTTGCGTCGAGATCGTCAAAGTTGTCAAAGAATTCAAACCAGACTTAATCATTGCTGTTGGTGGCGGCTCAATTGTTGATGGCACTAAGTTCATCTCAGTCGCTTCCGTCATCCCTGATGATGCTGATCCATGGGATATGGTAATCAACGCCAAGTTTCCAGACCACCACATTCCTTTCGCTACAGTCATGACACTTCCAGCAACAGGAAGTGAATGGAATAACGGTTGGGTCATTTCTCGCCGCTCATTAAACGCAAAAGTTTCAGGATCAAGATGCCAAATCACATACCCTGAATTCTCCATTCTCGATCCAAAGTATACAATGACATTATCAGTCCGTCAGCTCAGAAACGGTCTCTTTGACTCTTTCTGCCACATGGTGGAACAATATTGCACTGGTGAGCCATGTCCAATGTTCGACAGCTTCTGGTTGTCTTCTATCAAGGAAGTTTTCGACATTGCTGATGCCATTATGTCACCAAACCAGACAATCGAAGCTCACGAACGCTTAATGATGTGCGCTTTGTTCGGCCTCAACAGATTGTTCGGTATGGTCAAGGGACAATGCTGGGCTATCCATACAATGGGTCACCAACTCACAGGTGTCTACGGAATCGACCACGGTGCTACACTTTCAATCATCATGCCACATATGTACCGCGAACTCTTCGAACAGAGGAAATATCACCTTGCTGAACTCGCCAGATTCATCTTCAACGCAAAGGGAACTGATGATGAGTGCGCAAAGATCGCTCTCAAAGAAATCGACAATTTCATCGAAAAGATCGGTATTGCTAAAAAGGTCAGTGATGTTTGCGAAGCCAACAAGTCTGTCGATGACCTCATGACACAGCTCGAAAACTTTACTCATGGAAATCCATTCGGATTCCAAGGCCAAGTTAGTTCTGAGATGGCCAGAAGAATTTACACACAAATCAATGTCTAAACTTTGCATAATAAAGAGTATATATACTGAGATAGTATTTTAATTTATAAAATTTGAGATTTTGACATTTTTGTATGAATATGTTTGAGAAGCAATGAAAAGATCAAATATATAGTTGATGTATTGTATTCTAGTTTTAATATAAATCATTTCTTTAAAAAATAAATAAATTTCGGCTGCCTACTGTAAGAAGCTAAAATAATTTGTGTTCCAAAAGTATCTGTACTTCGGAGTAAATCGAAATAATTCATATTTATTTGAGGTATTGCCTTATGCCAAGTCAGCAAATAAATACAGTTGTAACCTGACATCTCAAGCAAATGGTATTTGATTGGAATTTTGTGTATGACACTATATTAGGAGTACACTAGTTCTCTGGGCTTTTTTGGAAAATTATCATGAATGAATTTGCAAGAACAAGTTCTAAAATGATTTTATATTGATATCTTACGTTAATTATGATTAATTAAAAATGGCTTCTCAGATCAAAAAATTTTTGATTGTCTCGATGCCCATTATAAATTATGAAGATATTCCTCTCATAATAACATTCTATTTGCAAAAATCCTGTAAGGAATGGGGTCGAAGTTTTCTAAAGCCCATTTTTTACATTCTTTTAACCCATACATTTTCAAAGGAATTCAATCTCTTTCAAAATAAATTTTGAGAGTGCTTCAAATTCAACGGTAAATATACGCGTTTGAGTTTGAGAAATGAATCCGTTTTAATGCAGACTAATAATATTTTTTCTTTTTTCTAAAATATTTAAAATTTGAATACTGAATTCAATATTATTATGCATTATTTGTTGTTATTTAAATGAACATATGATCATGCAACATTATCTTTGAAAAATCGCTACACTCAAAATATCACGGGTAAAAATGAAAAATTGAAACCCTCAAAAAAATAGCTAAATTATTGTAAATTTGAATTATGTGTTATCAGCATCCTTTAATAGAACAGAACGCATACCAAGAGGCTCAGCTTGTGCAACAGTTGCAAGGATGGCTTATCAACTTATCTCAAGAAAATTTGAAGCAGATATCACAAAATTTACTAATTTCAGTTTTTGTTCAAACACAGGATAGAATAACACAACTCCTTACAAACATTATCTCCACGGCAGCAATTCGTCCGAAGCAAATTGGCTTGTATGTTCAGTTAATTGTAGATTTAGATTCTCTGACCAACGAAAGTAGTGCGCTTTCATTAATTCGTCCCATTATTATCAAATTATTACTTACACCAAAGCCATTTGTAGAGCAATTTCTCTTAAACATTGGCGATTTTCTCTTTCTTCGTCGTATTGTTGAAGCATTGAATATTTCAGCTCACAACATTGTCGCACAGCTTCGTCATTTCTGCGAAATGCATGAAGATTTGAAATATTATCATTGTTTGTTGTTTTCAATCTTTGCACCAGAAATTCAAATGGCTGACCCCCAGTTTTTCGCGACTCTTCGAAATCTATACTACGAGGAATGGTCTGCACCATCGTGCAAACCAGTTCTCAAAGATTTTTTGACAACATAACCAACCTAAATCATGGGAATTGGAACCTCCTGAAGCAATGCTACGAATTAGGAGGCTATCCCAAGACAATCCAAGTTGCAATTAAGACAGACGATATCGATCTTTTTCAAGAACTTTCAAATTCGGCCAATTTCTCCATCGATCAGCATATTCGTCCATCAGTCTTTGAACCATGCAATTTTGTACAGAGCGAGCCGTCATTAATTCAATACGCCGCGTTTTACGGGTCATTAAGAATTTTCAAATTCTTGTTACTGAATGGAGCAGATCTCAACCAAGAGGATGCAAACGGTACAAACTTGGCCCAGTTCGTCGTTGCAGGCGGAAACATTGAAATGGTCAGAATCTGTCAACAAAGAAAATGCGATTTCAACGGTTGCCTCCAAGTAGCAACAAGATTCTTCAGGTTCGATATATTTGATTGGCTACACTTCGCTTATATCAGCGATCTTAACGATATCCCCCCCAAATACGGAAATGTCTTCCACGAAAGCGCCGCTTCTAACAACATCAGACAGATCATGTACTGTATAGAGAATTCCCTTGATTTCAACAGCTGCGCTTCAGACAAATCCACTCCTTTGCACTTCGCCGTTAAGAATCGCGCGATTGATTCCATCAGATTACTTATTTCCATTCCTTCCCTCGATGTCAACGCGAAGGATTCTACAGGAAACACTTCATTGCACACAGCAGCGTTGTTTGAAGATTCAACAATTGTTTCTGAGTTGTTGGAATGCCAGAGAATAGATATAAACGCAGTTAACAGATGGGGAATGACTCCTATACACATTGCAGCACAAGATGGAAATACTGCAACTGTTTCAGCACTCATCAAACGCCCTGAAATCGATATCAACTGCAAGGATGAGAACTTCATGACTCCTTTGCATTATGCAGCACAAGAAGGAGAATTTGAAACTGTCAGAATTCTTTTGTCTGTGAAAGATATTGATATCAACTGCGAAGATAACCAGGGATTGGTTCCTTTCTCTTATGCAGAGGCATCAGGAATGGAAGCTACTGCTCAGTTGATTCAGGATTGGATCAATACTTAATTTTTTTTATAGATTTTATATATATATATATTGTTTGTTTGTTTTATATATATTAGATATATTATTTCGTTGCGGTTTATAATATATTTAGTTTTCTATCATTCTATCCTTTTATTTTTTGTTTGATTTATTAAATATAGACTTTCTATTCGTTTAAATTTGATTCTTTTTTACTTTCTACTAATACTTGATATAAGAAAACACTATGTGGTGATAAGTCCTATATCATGTGCGATTATTTGATTCGATTGAGTATTATTTTAAAAATTAAAGAAAAACAATACTTTAATTAGAATATTTTGATCTAGAGAATACTTAGTTTATATGAATTCACGTGATTATATATTAATAATTTCATTAATACATTAAGTTTATGTATTCAATGCTCGAACAATAAAAATGAGAGTGTACGCTTTAATGAAAAGCATTACTAAGTATTTGCTCAGCTGAAATTTGAATTTGAAGTGAGTATGATATTACCCAGATTTGCTTTACTTTTACCACTCCCCATGTAATTTCTGGGGAAAACGATAATTCATTTTTTTTATGGATGAATAGATCGTTTTCCTTGAAAGGACCTCATATCTCTGGCTAAAAAGAGTGTCAGATCCTAAATAGATTATTGATCTAGTGTACAAATCCAATAAAAAGCCTATTTTTTTGGCTTTTTTGGTGCTCATTTTTTCGAAGATCTACATGAATATGGGGAAACCATCGGATTTTTTTGGTTAACCCACATCTTCATGTAGTCTGGACTATCTTTCCTCGAAGGACCTCTTTACGGGTGTAAAAACTCATAAAGTTCTCAAAAGATTCATTCTCGATCTCCATGCTGAAAGAATTTACAATAAAAAAGAGATCTACGCATCAAACTACAGCCATAAATGAACTGAACCCCTAAAGCTCAGCTCTTAGTTTATCAAAAACGTCGAAATCCTTCTCATTGCAATCAAAATTTCTCAATAACTCATAAGAAAAATCGAATTTTGATTAAGCCGATGTTATAGGTATCACAAATACTACAAACTTGAGCAATATCGAAATTGCCAGCAAAAGTTTGAAATTGCATTGCTCATATTTGTTTTGTAAACTAAAAATCTGCTTATATTATTCATTAATTTTTTATATATTATTCATATACTTTAATAAAAACAATACTATTTCACCTTAAAAATGAATTTCATAAGTCAATATTATTTTTTTGAAAATGTATCAATTTTCGATTAAAACAACATGAGAATAAAATTTACGCAAAATTATTTTAAAAAATGGTTTTAAAAATTTACAATTGATTAAGAATAAGATTGGAAGAAGTTTTGAAGTTTAATTTTAAGAAAAAAAATTCGGATATTATTCATGGATCTAAGTAATCTGATATTTGAGTATCGGCACTATGCATAAAACATATATTTATAGTTTTTTTGGATTTTTATGATTTTAAATATATTCAAATTTGGCAATCCAATAGATTTTTAAAAAATAGGTAAATAAAAATAGATTACATATGCAGCAGATTTAGAACATGAAACAAATCTTATAGTGACCCAAAAAAAAATTCATGATCCAAAAAAGAAAAAAATTAGCTAAATGGGAATCAAACCTTGGCATAATGAATCATTATGTCGGATGTTTCCACTACACCGGCAGTTCGAAAAATACCCTTGGTGGTTCTATTTAATAGCTACTCCCAACGATAGGCGGTGTCCCCAGCTTTCGAGAGGTGGTAAAAGTAAAGCAAATCTGGGTATATTACTTTAAGATTGTAACCTTAAATACTGAAATATCAAATAAGCTAATGCTTACTTGAAACAATACATTAGGCAAAGCCATAGAGAATCCTGTGAGAAAAAATCTTACATGCCAGGAAAAAAGAAATTGGCATTCAATTATAAACAATAAGAGTAACATTTATAAGTAGATATGGGCATACAAATCCTATTTGAATGATAATACCCAATTCCTGGTGAAAACTACTAGAAATTATTAAAAAATTCGAATGAATAATGGTGATAATGATAAAATCATTATGTCATTCATCTAATCATTCGTAAACTCGATGCCTGTATCTATTAATACTTCTTTTGCCAGCAAAGATAATTTTTCATTTTCGTCATCAGTTAAATCAACTAATTTATCGATCATTTCAAAATCACTCATCAACTCTATTATAGTATTCTTCATATTTAGTGTATTTGCCACATTAATAATTTGAATCAAAGATTCACAGATGAAAATACAGTTATCTGGATTTGATTCATCAATAAAATCATCTAAAAGATATATAACTCTCATTTCTAGCACTAAATTTAACTCATTTTCTTTCAAAATTTTCAAAAATTCGCAAAGAACTTTGAGAGCTGATTCTCTAACCTGAAATGATCCATCTTGAAGCAGTATTATAAGGTTTTTGAGTATATCTGGTCTGTATTCCTCAATGTTTACAATTTTCGAAAATATTTCAGTGACATTGATGAAGAAATCGTTCATTGTAGAATCTGCTGTTTCCATTCTTGCTATTGAACCAAGTAATGACTCGATTACAACATTAGGAAGATTTGTAAATTGTAATATTTGCAAAAGTATACCTGATATTGCGTTGAGAGTATCAATGATCTCTTGTGAAAGCAAATTTACTATTTTGTCAATGATCGGATGTCCGATTAAAAATTGTGCGTAATCTTGATCGATAAGAGTACTAGAAATGTAGTTAAGTATTACTTTATCAAGTCTTAAATCATTTATATCTAAAGAATCTGATAAGAAATCATAGATTTGCACAAAAAGATTTTCATCAAAAAAATTAATGGCTTTTGAGAAGTAAAATATAATGGATGCAATTGTTGAACAGTCCTTATTAGCAACAAATTGCGCTAAATCCTCAAAATTAAATGCTTCGAGGCTTTTTTGAGTGATTACATCAGAATAAGAGCATAAGTAGGACAAAAGTGTAATAAATCTCTTGAACTGAATAGAATCTATATTTTTGCATGCGAATTCAAATGCAAATTCTAATACTTCTTCTGGAAAAGTTTGGGATTGTATCGAAAATATTGAAATTGTAATATCTAATAAGTGATCGCATTCTAAATTATTAGAACAATGTTCATACAATGTAAATAATAGATGCAAAAATGAATCTAAAGGAAAATCTTGAAATTTTGAGAGGTCTGATATAATTTTATTTGTCGACAAAGTCATCAAATGCTGAATTATTTCTACTGGATCTGAATTTGTTTCGAAATTCTGCAATAATTGGGTATAATATGAAATATCATTTGAAATAGAGTTATTTTCTTCTGAATTAACTATATCTGAACGTAATGGACTATTATTTTCGTTATTATCTATGGAATTCTTATAGTCTTCTTCCATTGATCACTAGAAAAATAAAATTAAATTATCATTGACACTTTTATTAATTTTACAAAGATTTTGTCACCTTTCAAAATGGAAGTGTCGAAATATTTAGCACATTTTGATGAACTACAATTAGTATCATCAAGTGACATATCGAGACATTACCATGCTGTTGAAAAAGGTACTGATAGAAAAGTTGCAATTTTAATTTATATGAAAAATCCAAGATTTAAAGGTCGAATTTTCCTTCAGCCGCCTTCAATCGACTTTCCAGGATTAGCGACAGTATACGATATATGCGAGGATGATAATTTTATTGCAATACCACAAGAAATTGTAGGTTCAGGAAATTTATTTAATTATTTATTGCCATCACCGTTACTTTCTGAGAGCAAAGTTGCTGAAATCGCACAGTGCATGCTAAAATGCTTAGCATATTTACATGATATTGGAATTGTTGTAAGAAACATTAACATGCAAAATATCTTGATCTCTGATGATTCAAATTACCCATTTAAGCTCAAAGATTATATACTTGCAAAATTATTAGATACAAAAAACCTTACAGACATTTGTAACGCAGAAACCTTTCCATCACCTGAATTTCTTCGCAAATTAGAGTACGGTCCTCCAACTGACATTTGGTCACTTGGGTGTATCATGTACGTTCTTCTTTGTGGGAAATTCCCTTATTTCCCAGATGTTGAAAGAACAATGGAAGCGTTCGGCCAAATACAGCCTGATTTCGAAAAAGGCGCATGGCAAGAAATATCTCCGGAAGCACGGTCTATCGTTTACAGAATGATTTCAATAAATCCAGCGGATAGACCAACAGCAAAGCAACTTCTCGATGAACCATGGATTCAAGGAAAGTGTTCTGATATCCCTATTACTTCTGCAGTACAAGATCTCAAGACATCTATAATGGCTTTGAGAATGAGACGTTCTTTCGGAGCTGCTCAGTCAGCAACATCTTTCAGATACTTCCAGAAGTTTTGTGAGATCACTACCCAATATAAGACCCATTTTTACTGAATTATTTTTACAAAATTGTATTCTCATACTGTTTTTTAATGTTTTGTTAACTTAAAAATTCATATATTATGTTTATTTTATAGTCTAAGTGAAACAAGTATGTTTTCATCTTCTGAAAATTTTCAAAAAAATCTAATGAATGGTTCTTCAGAAATACCCATTCCCCTTGATGAAAGCAGAATTGATGATATGAAACACCTTCATGATATATGCTTTAACGATGTTTATGGAGATAGTTTCTATAATCTCATTGCTAAAAATCACGCATTAAAAGGAGCTTTATTATATCATGATCAAAAACCAGTTGGAGAGGTTGTATATCAATTTGAAATGTATAATGGTGAGCTTGTTTCATATATAGTGTCCATTTCGGTTCTTCCAGAGTTCAGATCACAACACTATATATTTGATCAGTCAAAGTTTGTCGATAGAATTTATTTGCATGTTAAAGTTTCCAATGAAGTTGCTATTAAAATGTATAATAAATATGGATTCCGAATTGTGAAGCAGGAAGAAGGCACATATGAAGATGAAAGCTCATATTTGATGTTGCGAAATAATCCCGACAAAGTTGAAACACAAATAAATCCAGAAATGGCCGAATGGGTAAAAGATGTCTTTAAGATGCTTGATTAAATATAAATTTGTGTTCTTTGTTAAATGAGTCTTAATGAATTGATGATAGAGTAAAATAACAAAAAATTTTTCTTTATACAAGCATTATCATAAAAATAAATTATTCCAATGATATTTATATTGGAAAATATTATATAAGGCTAGCTGTTTTTGATAAAAAGCATGCAACATTAAGAAAAATATACGTTGAAGTAAAAGAATAGAGAGTTAAACTATGTTGATAGTTTGTTATGGCCGAGTTATTTAGATGAATATGAGCAAAAAGGCAAAAATCTTAAAGATAATTGAACAATAAAAATTTAATTCATAAAATAATAATATCTTTATGAAGTTCTATTAATTACAAAATAAAGTTAACCTATACTTGATTTATCTACTTTTTCAAACTCAGAGAAGTAGTACCCGTAGAAGTTGATGTAGATGTAGTTCCACCGCCAATACCTTTGCCAAGACCACCACCAAGGCCACTGCCAAATGTATTTGTTGCAGTTCCTTTGCATAGTTCTTCGAAGTTAGTTTTCTTATCTCTCTTTTCGAGGTCCGCTTTTCTTTTATTAAGGTACTGTTTGTATGCTGCTTCTATATGTATTGCATCTGACATCTTCTCTGTTTCGGCTTCCTTACTGTCCAAAATATCTGTCTTCAAGCCATTATTTTTATATCGGTCGGATACTCTTTCTAGTAGCTTGTTCGTTTTGTCTTTGATGTCGGCCATCTTTGAAGCACACCTTATGATTGCATCATGTTGAAATTCGATCATTTGAATTAATGTTGTTGGATTTGTGGAATATTTTGGTGGTTCTAGTGATCTTTCGTAGAGTTTAATTGCGTCTGTAATTTCTTCTGCCTTTTTATCGATATCTTCTACGTATTTTGTGAAAAATGCTGAAGGGAACGTTTGATTTGAGTTAGATTGGATACCTCTCTGTGAGCGTCTGAACTCATCGAGTTTCTCTCGTGAATCATCAATAACAGATTTGCCAAAATTTACTTCGTTTGATAGAGTTGTTAATGTATGTTGAAGAGCTCTTGTTGCATTTATTTCTATTTCATTCATAACTTTATTAAATGACTCTACGCCTTCTAATGGCTTCACTGTTTTTGTAAAATCGCTTTGAATTTCAAGAAGTTGAGTAACAAAACCAAGAAATTGAGTATTCTTTAAAAACTTTTCATTCTCTGTTATAACAGTATCCTCTGGGATTGGTTTTATATCCTCCCATGGGATAGCCTTGCCCATACCACCAAATTGCATCTTTGTATTTTTTTGGGACCTTTTTGAATTTTTTTTTAGGGAGAGAAGCAAAATTTTTATATCGAGCAATAGTATTATAGATAGATTTCTCATAGTATTGCAAGCGGATTTGTGCGAATTTTAACACAATCAAGGCTAAATTTTGTTTGAAAATCTCAAAAATTCAAATATTTTCTCAATACAATATGAGTATTAGTATTACTCTTTGATATGATATAGATATCCAGCATGTTGGTCAAGTTGCGCATATCTTTTTTATAAAATATCGGATCTTTGATGAAAAATTCTATAATCCTCTCATGTACTTCAGGACCTAAGTTATCAGAAATGATTCAAACACTAATAGAAAGTATCGTAGTACATTTGCAAACAAGACCAAAAAAAATGTTAATATATAAAGCAACTTCATTTAGGCTTTCTATAGTTCGATATCATAGAGATCTATTGATTATATATATATATATAGAGAGAGAGAGAGAGTTATAAGTGGTATCCAATAAAAGATATTTTATGATTTATAAAATATGAATTTTTATAAAAATACAAACAAAAAAAAGTTATAAAAAACAAAATTGAGTTATTGGTAATTCACAGGTAACATGTGAATCTTTCCTGAAGTGCACATGACGAAGAGAGTCTTATAATCCTCAATATAAGTCATGTCAATCACTCTTGATTTGACTTCTCCTACAGCGAAAGTTTTTGTCAAATCATAAATGCAGCAACATTTAATTACATTCGATGAATTGCAGAAAGCAATGAAATCAATACCTTTCATAACAAATTTAATGATTTTTCCTGCATTCTCATTAATTTCTCCAAGGAATTTTCCTGTTGCCGTGTACACTTTTATCATTCCATTCATTGCAATCACAACACAACCACTTGAATTAGTTACAAGCATCGAATCAGGTTGTTGTTGCAACTCAATGCACGAGAACAATTCATGTCTAAATATAGAGTGTACATACACTCTGCATTTGTCAGTGGAAGCAGCCAAAATTCCAGCGGATTGAGAGAAAACAAATGAACAAACTTTTTCTGGAATGAAAATATTCAGTCCAGAAACAGAGATACAGCCAGTGGAACTTATCCATGCAGGAGTATCCCCATCCTTACACCATTGCTCATGTAATTTTGTAACATTCGAATGAGTGACGATATCCCATATCGTTACAACCGTCATTTTTGAACGGTTTGTTATCGTCAAAGAATTTTTTCCTGGCGCGATTATGCACGAATCATCCAAGAAAATATCAGAGAAAGTATTGGACAATTCAGGCATTGTGTTGAGGAGCAGTTTGTAGATATTTACTTCTCCGTTTTTCATGAATATCGCGAGATTCTTTCCGAAGAAAGTCGCTGACAAAATTTGGTTTTGTTGCAGATGCAAAACAAAACTTTGTCTGTTTAATGAATTCGTATATGATCCTTCGATACTTAATCTATTGGAAAGAATAGTTTTCCCATCAATGTTCTCTATATCACAGAACTCTTTGTAATTTTTGCCATCTATCGTTGGCAAATTGTCACTTTTATATATAGAAAATCCCTCAAAATATTGAGCGACCATAAACCTCTCAAAATTTGAATTGAAAATTATCAAATTTTCTATATTTTCATTGACTATATTTGCATTGATTTTTCCAATGTGAACAACTACTTCTTCTATTGTCAACGGGTTGAAATCGAACAGTAAAGAGCAATTCTCGTAGAAAACAAACTCCAAACTCGATGGCGGCCGTTTAAAAATACATCGAATTGAGTCGTTATTGAATAATTTGACTCTTTTCTTTTGCGAAACAATGAAAATCTCTGTTTCGCTCATGAAAATGAAGGCGAATTCCTTTTGGTCGTTGTTTATTATGTTTATTGGAAGAGAAACAAAGTTTTTCGATGAGAAATTAATGTCAGAAATGTTGACTTCTTCTGTTTCTCCGCAAAAACTTTCGTCAAAATATGATAAACAACTCAATAAAGGAATGAAACCACATAATGTATGGGAGGAAGGAACTCTTGTGGTCTTGCCAAGGTCGAAATTAGTCATGTAGTTGTAGTAATGGTCAACAGAAAGAGGAGTGATCAAATCTTGTTCTTTTTTAATGTAATTTCCAAGAATATTGTTGAGATTTAGCTGCCCAGCAATCCTGTTCTTGGAAATAACAATTGTTTTGTGGATTTGGTCGATTTTTTTAATGAATTCACTTCGATATTTTTGCGAAAACATCAAAGTAAGGTCTGTAACATTCAAATCGGCCAATATGTCCAAGTTTGTCTTGCGTTTGATCACTTCCGAAATCTGTTTTCCGATGTTTGACATGGAAATCAGAGCAAATTTGCCTAAAATGGACAAAGCGCGGTCGAGAACGTTTGGAGCTGATGAAAGACCAAATCTTACATCATAATGGTCAAAGTTTCCTCTCAAAAGTTCGTCAAATGTCAAAAGATCTTTAATTGGAGTTATATCTATGTTTGAAACCGAATCTTTGAACGGAGAGTTGTTGAATTCTTCAAGAAGAGTATACGAGAAAGGTATATTTGTGAATCTGAAGAAGAATGCTTGATATAAGAAAATGGCATATTCTTTATTCAGCGATTCTCCAACGTGGTCGAACAAATTAATTAGTAGATCGCATTTGTCGACGTATATCATGGACATAATGAGCTGTGCAGTGATAATTATCTGTTCAATGTTATCTTTCGTTGAAAAATGGGTCAAAAACTGGACAACGTGTTGGAAAGCGTCTTCTGTTATGAACATGGATAGAAGTATGGGCCACACGTACCATAAATCATCTTGTATCGTGTAATTTGATAAAGGTAATGTCGAAATCAGGCTCAAAGAAGCAGCCGCGAGCTGTTTCGATGTATAAGGAAGAGATAATGGAAGGATACAATACAAAGTATAGAAGCCAGGATAATCTGTTGCAAAGCCACTTAATTTGATGAAAATTTTTTCTTTTTCCGGGTGCCTGTTTAAGTGGAAACCAGCAGCAAGCATTGTTTCCATTGTATTCGGATACGAATAGTTATGCAGGCATTGAACAATTCCGATAATTACATTGATATCCGTTGCCAAAGGGATTAAATTCAAAAGAAGTTTCTCTTTATCTGCTCTGTTGGGGCTTTTAGAAAATCTCTTGGCAAAAAGTGCAATCAAATTGAGTATATACAAAGAAAATTCAATTTCATTAAAATAAGCAGTCAAAATTATGAATAATTGGTTGAAATCCTTACTCGTGAGGAACGTAGTGCCTGCATTCTCCAATAATCCGTTGTAGGAGTTGATTAATTTCTTGTTTTCACGGCTTTCTTCGTAAATTGTCCTGAAATTATTCAACAAATTGATGAAATAGCCCTGGCGCTTGAAAAGATTGATGCACTGAGCAACGGCATTGTGAGACCAATGGTTTACAACCCTCTGGAAGAAAGTTGTCTGCTTCCAAATCTCCAAATTCATAATAATTCCGTCGAATAACTCGAAAACTATGGTTTCTTCCGTAAATGAGTCGAGCAATGAGAAGAAAGCCATATATAATTGGTAACTGAGCTTGTTCGTGGCTTTTTCAAGGAGTTTGCCAATTAAAGGAAATCCGTGAAATTCTTTCTGAAATTTGTCGTTTTCGGAAAGAGTTGTCTTGATAAGGCCAATGATGATCTCAAGGAATCCTTCTGGAACCTCGAAATCCTTTGAAAAGCATTGGACGAGTGACAACATGTGATTTCCTTTTCCTAGCATGAAATGAAGGGAATGTTGGGCATTCCTTACGTAGAACAGGTGGAGTTTAGTACCAATGGATGTTTCTATTTGGGTTGGAAGACTTTCTTGTATCATATTTGTAGATACAATAAAATTTTCTTCATTAAAAGCTTCTGTTCCTCTTTTTTCTATTGATTGGAGGTTCTCTTCCGTCAACATAGTGTTTGCAAAGGCGAATGGCCCGAGAATGGCGTTGTTTGAGATTTGGAAAACTCCATCTCCTCCAATTTCAAAAGTTAACGGAAGATCTTGGTCGAACATTATCGCGTTCACCTCATTCGCATATAACAATGAGTGGTTGGCGAAAAATCCGACGATACTTTTCTCTAATGAAATTCTTTGGATCACGAAAGCGCAGAAACCCCATGAATTGCTGTTGATAGACCCTAAAGATGTCTTAGAGTTGTTTTCCGGGTCTTTCATGTCATTGAATGATATGTAAAACAGTCCTCTATGTATAAAAAAAGAAAAATTTTGTTGTAACTCGTTGTAAACCTTCAAAATGTTGATGTTCGTGTTCTCAATTGATAACTGCGACTCGTCAACTTTGATCCAGAAGCAGAATGTCATCTTTTTATTGAATAATGTCGATGGAGTTTCCGGCATTATCGCAAATGGCTGGATTAAACCAAGCTGGAACTCATATTTCTGCTTCGAAGTCGCTTCTCCTGTTTGGGCTGCAAGGATCCGTGAGGCCATTTCTTTGTTTGGAGGTGAGATAATCAGTTTCATGATCTGTAAACAGATCGGATAGCTGGATTTCTCGCGGGTAATGAGCCAGAGGAGGCCAAAGGCGTCATCTTCGCTGACATTTTTGATGGAAAACGTTGTGCCTTTGAAAAATAATTTTTCATCTTTCTTGGAAACGTAATCTATGAGGATTGAATCGATCCCACTATCGTGCATAGCCCTGCAATTTGTAGGAGAATACTTGCAAAGCTTTGTAAACAGTTCAATTACATTATTTATTATCGGAAACTCTCCGAAAGCAGCAAGAAAGACAGGAAGGAATGTAGGGACTTTAATAATAAATAAGGAGTCGAATGTGAGTGAATTGGAGCATGCAGTGATGTTAATTAAGTTTTGCATGATAATCCTTTCGTTGTCTGTTGATATATGCATTTTAATTACGTTTACAAGCCTTGACAGATGCATAGAAATCAACTCATAGAAGGGAGAAGACTGTGTAACCATTGAGAAAAATTTTAGAATCTGATTTATGATTTCTGACATCTGTGAAGCACATTCATCAACTGAAATTAATCCAAAGTCCATCATGGCATCAAGTGGTTCCTTCAAATTCTTTCCAAATTTGGGATTATGAGATAAAACGTAAATAATCATGTTCCCGAGCTCTTTAACCGTATTCATTGCCTGCATCTGTGTTGTACGATCAAATTTAGAGCACGTTGAGTACAAATTTGCAAAGGCTTTCGTTACAGCTGAAATTTGATCAGATTCATTAGCGAGAAGATAGTTTCTAATGGTCACAAACACGGTATTCATTAATTTGGACTCTGTTGCAAGCAGTAAAAAGACCTTGCAGAAGGTTGGAGAAGAAAATATTATTTCTTTGTTCTCGGAATTGGTCATTAATGAGAAAATAAAAGACATAATTGTATTGAAGGCCAATTTCACCTTAGGAGATTTATCAAAACGGCTCCAAAGATAAGAAATTACCTCTGCAATGGATTGGAGGCACGGATCGGTCAAAAATGTAGAGTTATCAATTGGTGTTTCGCAATAGATGATGTGACCAATTATTTCAGCGAACAATAATTGGTTTGTGGAATTTTGTATCAATAAATCAGCCAAAAGTGTTTGTGCCGACGATGCAAGGGTGTTTATTGATGATGCACGTAAGAATTTGATGGTTTCGGAGGCTCCTTTCTCAGAAAAAACTGTAATATTCGGATTAAAAATTATTTGAGAGAAAAATATCTCAGATAATGGGAGAATTGGTGTTGATGAAGCAAGATGTGAGATAAGGATCACTTCGTTTGTAATTAAATCGTAAATATGTGGATCATTTCTGTATGCAGTGATTATTTTGACAATTGACGTAAAGAAGCAGTCCAAACAGACTATATCAGCCTGCTCAATCGATTCGCATAATTTCTGTACCTTATCGAACATCATTGGCGAAAGAAAATTTTTAAATGTTTTATTTGTTTTCAAATCTTCGTATTTTATAGCAGAAAATCCCATTTCGAACTCCTTTTCATCACAAGAATGGAATTTGAACTCAGATTCCTTTAATTCGACAGGAGAACTTTCAATAAATTCTGAATTTGAAATAAAAACAGGTTCTTGTATAATCATGTTGACGTAAACCGAAGATATGATGACAAAGCCGTCTTTGATTGGATGTAGTAAGTCTGTATTCGATAAAATTGCTAATAAACGCAAAGCCCTTGGATCAAGCTTTTTAATTGAGTAATCTAGAAGGGAAATTAATTTAAATATCTCTTCCTTTGTAAAATAGTTCTGTCGATCAATTATTACAGTAATTATTGAGTTAATTATGTTTTCTCGGCCAGCATCGGTAGAATTTTTATGAGACGCTTTGAGTAGACCAAATATCAAAGATGAAGGAAGCGGTTCCTCGAAAAAAGGAATGAATGATGAGCAAGCAATGATTGAATCGTTATCCCAGTTGAAATTCTCGTCGTTTAAGTATGAATCTACGAACGAAATATATAAAACAAGCGTAATTTTGCTACTTGCCTTGAAGATTTTTTGTTGAAATAATGAACAAAGCAAAAGTAGAGTTTTTTGAGTGTTAGGAGTATCACTTTTGAGAACGAGTGTTAACGCATACATCAATACTCCATCAATAAAGAGTTGATTTGGGTTTTCGCACTCTTTACACGCATCAAGAATATTTGAAAGAGTATTTTCATCGTAAATAAAGGATTTGATGTACGGAGCGAATGAATCTACTAGTGTTGCCCCAGATTTTATCTTCGAAATAATATCTTGAATAGCTTTTTTGTCAAATGTCGGAATTTGAGTGAGGAAGAGTGGATATGAGCTTGAATTCGTGGATTTCTTTAAAGATCGGTATTCAAGCAAAAGGTCTGTCAATGGATGGATGTTCTGCTCAAATCTCTGCAATAGCCAATCCATTCTTCCCCTTTTAATTTTTTTTAGTAGGAAAAAATAAATTTCTGACAAAATTCTGAATTCATTTGGATCCAATCAAAAACTTTTATTCGTAAAGGTGAAAGGTTAGTGAAGAATACTACTTGTGAGAGTAGCATATCATTTCCTGCGATTAGTTTACTAAAAAGAGTCCTTTTTCATTGATTTCTTTTATACGATTAGTTTACGATTTGGAATATTAATAGTTTTTATATGTATTTCTATTGTTTTTGTACGTATGTAGCCCCTTACAGTGCTTATAGCATCCAATTTAAGTATATGAAATTTTTCTCAAATAATCGGGAATCAAATGAAATTAAATAACTTTATTATAGAAAAATAGGTGCAATAATGCAATTTTTGAATCCATTTACAACTCTTTTCATAATGTTTACTATCAAATTAGTTATATAATTTTACTATCACAAACCTAATATACTATATCATATGTGTATCATGAGATACTATAAGTTAAACTTGAATGTCCCTCATGTTGCATGTATTGATGGAAAACTCAGATTCGAAAAATCTTTTATGTATAAGGCTGCAGGTGGATAAACCCTACTTATTATTGCATCTAAGTATGTTAACTCAGCAGATGTTAATAAAGAAGCAATGAGTACAGATGGATTGACTCCACTCATTAATGCATCAGGAAATTGAAATCTATAGGTTTTTAAATATCTTTCAGGTATTGAAACAAATACAAAGGATGAATACTAAAATACTTCACACATTTGGGCATCATGTGGATGCCACCTTGGATTTATTCAATACCTTATCACTATTGGAGTTGATAAAGAAGCATAGGATGAAGATGGAAATATTGCACTCCTGATTTCATCTGCAAATAATCATCTCGAAATTTTGAATTCCTTGTCAAAGTTCAATGTAGGATCCACTCCAATCATTTGTGCAACTCGTTTTAGCCATCTTTAAATTATCAAATATCTTCGCATAATGGGAGCTGATTAAGCTGGTGCACACGTTAAAAGCAGTAAAAGGGTGTCCCTTTGAAGCGTGTAAATATTTTATCTTCTCTGCTTGAATCATAAGATCAAGATGGATATACTCTACTAATTATTGCAATTTTTCTAAAAGATTTGAGATAGTCAAATATCTTGTATGGTCTAGAGCTGATAGGAATCAGAGGATAAATATGGAATAACTCCACTCATTGCTGCATCAAAAGAAGGTCATTTTGAAGTAGTTAAATATCTTTGCTACGCCAGAACTGATAAACTAGCACAATCTATTGATTGATCTACAACACTAGTTTGGGTGTTATGTTGATGTTTTCTTTTTGACTAAATCGAATTTCAAAATTTTCAGACTTACATTTTTGAGGATGGTTTTTGGTTGAATTCTATCATGAATTGTATTGAATGAATAAAATTCTAAAGATCATACATAAGCAGTAAATGATAAAAAATATATAAATCAAATAAAAAGATTTATTTACTAGCTGAGAATAAATTCGTAAGAGTTTTTTATATGAAAATGCACTAATACATGTTAAATTAATGAAATAATAACTTCAAAATTTTGAAGTAAATTATATTCGATGAAAGCTGTGTAAGCAACCATGTAATTGATTAGCATATATCAAATTAGTCATCTTCAAGTAAAAAAAATGAAAAATTTAATAAAGTTTTGTATTCATTGGTAAAAAATTGATATGTTACTGATCTTTGTAATCTAATTTACACAATAGAGTTTCAACTGAAAATTCTTGCTTCAAGCCGTCTTTAGAAATTGAAATTGAGGGATTTTCTGGATATTGAACAGTCTGTAAGTCAGCAAGCTCTTTTACTTCTGGAGATGAATCATATGGAGGAAGTTGAATGCGAAGGTTTTTTGCTTCTTGAATTGAATGTAAATTCATTTGACACTTTTTCAGCATTCTTATCCAAAACCAAATCATATTAGCAGCAATTGATAAAGCTAGAAAAGCACGAAGTATGTTAAAGATGTTGGAATTTCGAAAGTCACAATATTTTAAAATCATGAATATCAATTGATGATAATTCTTGAATTCACAAAAAAAAAATTAAGAATTAGCAAAGTGATATCAGGGTTGGTACATCTTCGTTCTTAAGTATTTCACTAGTATATGTTGAAAAATATTGAGGAAAATACCCTAATTTTCTCGGAAACTGTATTTCCAATAAAATTGGAACTTAATGAACCACTACACGACCTAATTGTTGTAAACAGAAATTCATCAAAAGTGACACCTCAGAAAAGCTAAAATATTGAATTTTTGGAACTTTTGATAGAGCACGTTTTTAAATATTAATTAAAGTAAATGTATATTTTGTAAAGATTCTTTTTAATAAAAAAGTAAAATTTTGAAGATGAACACAAAATCTTCTGAAAAATAATATCACATAAACTCATATTATTTTCTAATATATAACTATTTTATATAAAAATCAAATTCAATGATCTTAAAAGCGAAGGATAAACCTCAAAATTTACGAATATAATGAGTGGGAATATAATGCTTATCTATCATAAAACCATATGAAATATCAATTTTTGCTTTACGCCTAATTTTTGACGACAATTAGCAAAAAATGTTAAATGTTAACACTCAGTCCATTTGAATATGAAAAATAAAATTGACTTTGATTAAATGTTTTTATTTATCATGCAATTCTTCTTGCGACCAAAGATTTGAATAAAAGTTCAAAAAATAAGATAGCTTAAAAAATAATATACGGTAGTGTTTACTAATAGATGAATAGTATATAAATTCTATTAAAATGGATTTGATCCAAAAAAATATAAAACCAAAAATAATTGTTATAATTTAAATGAAGAAGTAATTTAAAACGATTTTATTTATGATCAAATTTTATATATTTTTTTGGATCAAATCCATTTTAATAGAATTTATATACTATTCATCTATTAGTAAACACTACCGTATATTATTTTTTAAGCTATCTTATTTTTTGAACTTTTATTCAAATCTTTGGTCGCAAGAAGAATTGCATGATAAATAAAAACATTTAATCAAAGTCAATTTTATTTTTCATATTCAAATGGACTGAGTGTTAACATTTAACATTTTTTGCTAATTGTCGTCAAAAATTAGGCGTAAAGCAAAAATTGATATTTCATATGGTTTTATGATAGATAAGCATTATATTCCCACTCATTATATTCGTAAATTTTGAGGTTTATCCTTCGCTTTTAAGATCATTGAATTTGATTTTTATATAAAATAGTTATATATTAGAAAATAATATGAGTTTATGTGATATTATTTTTCAGAAGATTTCATTCTATATGCCTATGAAAAGTACTCTCAAAACTAACTTTTTCCTAATTATAATTAAATCTAGAATATTGTATTATGCTTAGTATTATTTCATTTTTCTCATTCAATTTAGAATTTACAAATGTCAAAAAATTGAGAGCTGTCACTTTTGATGAATTTCTGTTTATTACAGAATTCAGAGGTAGGGCAACGATAGAAAATTTTTGGAAAAAAAGTTCGGAGATCTTAAACGTATCATATTCCCTGCATGGTTTGGTATCTTCCGCCATGCGTTGTGCCAAACATATTGACACTTTCCAATAATTAATTTATGGTATGAGTCACAGAGTTAGATTATAAAAAGAAAGTAAATAATTGCAATTAGAAATCATATATGTCGGAAATCAAATGTTGATGAGCAGAAACCTTTTACTCATCATAAAAGAGATAAATCACTAAAGATTTGTATACATTAAAATTTGATATTTGGTGCTCGAAAACTGTCTGATGGGACTCCTCCAAAATGAACCAATCTATCGCTGAGGACTAAATTAGATGATGTGGATGGTGTATTCTCTAATTCTAACTTAGGAAGAATGGGAACAAAACGAATGACGACAACAACATGTCAAACATAGATTAAATATCTATGAATCAATAAAGTATACGTGCATTGAAGGTGATAACGATCACTTGAGGCTTATAACTCTTTGACTAAATTATGCAATAATTAAATATAATCATTTTTATATTTTTATACTGATAGTAATTAATATACTATCCTGCTTAATAAATGGTATGATCAAATTTGTTTGAAAATTTAATTATGTATATGAAACTATGTCTTCTATATAAAAATCAAAATTTTCGGACGAACCTAGATTGAACCTTTATGAAAATCTATCATTTTTGTTAATTGAGTTAATATGAATCTTTTACATATGTATATATAGCATTGATAGCTTATATAATCATGGTTTATTCCATATTAACATATTTTTTCAGTTAAATTTGTTAATAATATCATGTAACAAATTAATTCAAGATTCGAATGTCTACAAAATGCTAACAAATAAGAACAAAATACGATTTCTCGACTTAAATTTTAATATGGAGTAGTTTTTCGTTTAAATCTAATTAAAAATGAATAAAAACTTATCTTGTACTATTTTCATTCAAAGATTTTAATAATGTAAATCATGCATTTTCATAATTCAGTACAGTTCTTTTTAGAATTAAAGTTGATGAGGATGATATTTGTGATTTAAAATAATTTGTTAATGTTCACCTTTTATTCATCACCTTGTGGTATGCCCTAAAGCAATAGCATTATCAATTCTGCTGAATTGATCAACTCAAAATTCCAAAAAAAATTCAAAATTTCAAAAATGAAATTAAACAATTTGAATTTTCACATGAAAAAATCAATTTCGAAAAAAATTTGGAAAATCAAAGTATTTGATAATTAGTCAAATAATCAATTTACATCGTTTTTACTCATAAAAAACAACTAATTTTTGATTTTGATATCATATTTGATAAATACTCATTCCAGAGTTGACGTAATGTATTAATTATTGTTAGAGATATTGCTTTCGCAGCAAAATTCTTATTTCATGAAAGAAAAAAAAAATGATTTTATTCCAACAAAAACAAGTAAACAGATGAATGGAAACGTACTATATTTTCATAAATGTAGTAATCAGCGTGTCAGCTTTTGTTTATCATGTTCGAGTCAAAATGTATTAACTTGTAATAAGAAATATTCGAAGATTATATGAAGTATTGAGCATTCTTTGTAGAAATATTTGTAATTCATTACTAACATATATAATAAAGTTGTTTTTTTTTCCTTATTGCAATAATTTTGTCTGATTTTAATAACTTTTCATGTATACGAGTTGTGTGAATATGCATCATAATATGCGTAAATATACTTATTTGCGACGAATAATGTGGTTGCATAATGGAGGTGCTAAATTTTGATTTTTAATATGGGGCTTTGGTATGTATAATCATGTTCTTATCTCAACGTAGGAGTATTGGTGCAATATGATTAAAATTTACGAGGTTGATCTTAAATTGAATAATTCTGGAGTATAAATCACAATGCAGCTAATTCTATGTTAAAGATAGATACAGATTGTAGTAATCAATTAGGGAGTACAAATTCATTCTTTCATTTCTGTCGTATTGAGCAGAAAGGAAGAGATCATAACCCTAGGAAAAAAAGCCCAAATTTGTCACTTTTCATAGTACGTTAAACTCAATTCGCTCGGCGAATGCCGAGCACACGTACTCATCATTCAACATAATATTCTCATTCTTTGGTTATTATAGTGCCAGACAACACAAGATTTCAAAGAATTACTTGAGTTTTCAATTAATCTTAATCCGATTTTAGATTTATCGAGAACTCCATCATCACAATCACATACTTCAGTGCGGTAACTACAATTATCCATATACAGAAGGAAGTTCTTTTCGAACAACTCATTTGGAGTCTGTTTTGGAAAGAACTTCTTTCTGTCCGACTTAATTTCATAGTTCCTGATCAACCAAAAGACAGAAACCACACACTATCTACTTAGGAAAGGAGTTCTTTCTAAATCTTCCTTAAATTGAGATTTTACGAGAGATAACCCTTCTATTGCACTTAAAAATGAACATTTTGATATCTTTAGTATCACACATGGTCATATATAGTATTTCATCTACATGAATACATTCATCTTTCGAAGTCTCTCATTAAATGGGAGGCTTCGAAAGATGAATCGTTTTATTCATACAACTTTAAATCTCGAACACATTTAGAGAGTGAGTATATCATTTTATTCTTGTTTTGAGTTTATTCTGATTCAAAATTGCAGTGAAAACAGAAGTTCACACATCATATCTGAATGTGAGCTCATCTATACTTATACGATCTCAATACCTCCACTCTAAGCATAAGAGGTGAAGTTATATAAAAATTATCAGATGCGTTGAAGTCTCAAAAGTATTGCCTGAATGCTTGTTTCATATTTGTCCAAGTAGTTTCAATGAATAAATGTATTGTTTTTTATAATTTCGATTTATTTTTAGAAAATATTCAATATAAACCTTTATTGTGTTATTTACATCTCATAAATTCTCTGTCTAAATCATATAAAAGCGCGTTTTACCCCTATGAATCAAGAAATTCATTCAATATTCATGGTATATTTATTAAATTTATACGATTTACTAATAATCAATATTATATCCTCATAAATAGCAATATATTTTGGTAATCTATGATAATCATATACAATATTTGAAATCAAATTTTCATTAGTTTAGGTTCCTTGTTAATAGTAAACCATTATATTTATTACTAATAATAAAACCTATGTGTCGTATTGAAATTCAATAAAATTACTTATTAGGTCCAAAAAAACAAATTAGATAAAATTTTTCTTTTTTTATGTAATTTTTGTTTTTCATTTTTCTCAAGATCCTAAGTTATGTTCTAACTTTTGACATCATATCCTATCATGCTAGGCTATATATTATAGCATATCCAAAAGGCAAGGAAATCTATCAGAGAAGCCTTTTTGACCTATCGTTGCCCTACCTCTCAGAATTCCTACAAGATGGTTGTCAAATTCCCTAATTATCAACCCTTAAATTCTATTTTCAGATTAAATATTAAAATTTATGACAATTAAAAAATAGTTGTTAAAAGTCTATATTCGGCTATTATGTAAGCTGTTGTTAAAATTGTCATTGTAATGATAAAATCCATTTTGAATCATATGATATGAATAACGGTTTATATCAATACTGATATCTTTTCATTTTTACTCTGATATAATATTTAAAAATAGAAAAATTATGAAATATATTCAACTAAAAACTTAGTGCATTTTAGACAAAATGGATATAGTTATCATACTATGCTTCTAAAAAGATATTTTGAAAATTTTAATTATTTGAAGTTTTGAATTGTATTTCTATTTTAAAATTATCTATAAACTTATAAGAATGCATATCCAAGCATCGAAATTTTAAAATAATGGACTCTCTTTTAATTAAATAATTATGAAAATTAGGAGATATCAGAATTTGATGAATGAAAAAATATCATCTAATAAAAACTTTTGATTGGCCATCTTCCAAAATCGGAAAATCGCGAATTTTCAAACACAATGAAAATGGGGAAAAAACATTGAAAAATTCTAATCACCTTAAAACACGCCGATTTCAAGATTTTTCTGTAATTTGAAATAATAGGATGTCAAAGTATCATATAAAAGTATGAATATATTGGCAAAATTTGAAAAAGAGCAATCAGAAGAGTAACAAAATAAGTATTCACAATTGAAGCGAAAAACGATAAACTTCATTACCCTCTCAATTTTCCTGAGCATTTCAAAAAATACAGCATGAATTTAATTGAACGAAAACTCGAAGCTATCGTTTATTTGTTATTTATTTTTGGATGTTAAAAATATAGAGGTGCTCAAATAAATAATTTAATCACAAATTTTTGTCAAAAAAAATTGGGTCGGGCCAATTGGAAATTTGCAAAAATAAATATTGAAATAATACATATATCATATAACAACAAAAATTAGTAAGAATAATACGAAATGAAGAAAAATAAAGAATTGTCAAATTTTATTCTTAATTTTGACATGAATGAAGTTTAATAATAATCGAATACGATCTCTGCTTGAATTCATTATAATTTGACACATTTGAATTTAAGGGGTTTTAAAATCATAGTGTGTTTGAATTATAGTATTTAAGATAATAGATTCGAATGTGATAAATTTTAAATTTTCGAGAACGTTAAATGTTCTGAAATATTTTTATTTACTATTGAATATCAGAATCATATAATTATAATATTGTGTCAAAATTAGAATATATTTAAACTGATCACATGTTTGTTAGATCTCTAGTAAATTTCTTTTAATTTAATTCAATGCAAGAGCTTTACATTTTAGATTTTGAGTATGATGACCAATTAAATTTTGTGATGACAATTAAAAAAAAAATAAAGTTACAACATATTAAAATAATTATTTATGAAAACAATTCAAAGCAAAGAAAAATTAACGTCGTGTATTGAATCAGTAATTATTAAAGTTTCCTTATTTAGATGGGCTTATTCAAAAAACTCTTTAAAAATAAAGGCAAACAAGCCAAAGAAGAAAAAGATAAAGCGAAAAAAGAACTCCCAAAGAAAAAAGAAAAAGAAAAAGAAAATATTAAAATTGATAAAGAAGATCTATCAAAAATTTCCGAGCTTAAGAATTCTGATGATTTCGATAGTATCTACGATTTCTTTAATGAGCTTGTGATGCAAGGTAAACAAGCCGCAATTTCAAAATCTTGTGAAGAAGGCCTTTGGGACACAAGAAATGAAGAAGATGGAGGAAATGTTCTTCATGTCGCATGTGAAGAAGGAAACTTCAAACTTGTCAAATATCTAATTGAAAGTGACATAGATAAAGAAACGAAATCAAATTATGGTAATACTGCACTCATTATTGCGTCATCTGAAGGTCATCTTCAAATTGTTGAATGTCTTGTCACTGCAGGATGTGACAAAGAAGCAAGGAACAATATAGGAAACACTCCACTCCTTATTGCATCACGTCTTAATAAACTTCAAGTTGTTGAATATCTTATCTCTCAAGGATGTAACAAAGAAGCAAGAGATGATGAAGGAAATACTCCACTCATTTTGGCCGCGCGCAATGGTCATCTTGATGTTGTTAGATACCTTGTCAGTGTCGGAGCTGATAAGGAAGCAAAGAATTCTGAAGGTTATACTCCAGTTGTCTCTGCATCAGATGAAGGCCATCAAGATATTGTTAACTATCTTTTCTCGGTTGGATCTAATGATGAATCATTAAGAATTATTGAAGTAAAGAAAGAATTAGAACAAGAACATCGAGAAAATGAAAAGCAAGACAGTATAATTCTCTCAAAAATTACTCAGTTAAAGAATTCAAATAGTTTTGAAGAAATCTACAGTTTCCTTGATGAACTTTCAGCACAAGGCAATCAAAAAAGACTTTCGACCGCCAATGATTCTGGACTTTGTAAAATTGAAAATCATTTTGGCAAGAATGCATTACATGTAGCATGTGAAGAAGGAAATCTCAGACTTGTAAAATCTCTCATAGAAAGTGGTTGCAACAAACATACTTTATCTAATAATATTAGTACTCCACTCATTATTGCATCAATGGCAGGTCGGCTTGAAGTTGTCAAATATCTTATCAGTATCGGAGCAAATAAAGAAGGAAAGGATATAGATGGAAATACTCCACTCATTGAAGCATCAAAATCAGGTCAACTTGAAATTGTCAAATGCCTTTTTTCTGCTGGTGCAGATAAAGAAGCAAAAAATAAAAATGGAAGTACTCCACTCATTGAAGCATCAAAATTAGGTCTTCTTGAAATTGTCAAATACCTTATATATATTAGAGTAGATAAAGAATCAAAAGATAAGGATGGAAATACTGCTTTCATTATTGCATTAAAATCACATCAATTTGAAGTTGTTAATTACCTTATTTCTGCAGGAGCTAACAAAGAAGTAAAAAATAAGTATGGATTCACTCAACTCATTGCCGCATCAAAAGAAGATAAACTTGAAGTTGTTCAATACCTTATTTCTGTTGGAGCTAACAAAGAAGCAAAATCCAATGATGGATCTACTCCACTTATATGGGCATCGCGATATGGCCATCTTGACATTGTTCAATATCTCATATCTGTTAAAGCAGATAAAGAAGCAAAAGATAATGATGGAAATACTCCACTACTTATTTCATCAAAATTTGGTCAACTTGATATTGTTAAATACCTTATTTCTGAAGGAGCTGATAAAGAAGCAAAAGATAAAGATGGAAATACTCCACTCCTTATTTCATTAAAAGCAGGTCAACTTGAAATTTTCAAATACCTTATTTCTGAAGGAGCTGATAAAGAAGCAAAAGATAAAGATGGGAATACTCCACTCCTTATTTCATTAAAAGCAGGTCAACTTGAAATTTTCAAATACCTTATTTCTGAAGGAGCTGATAAAGAAGCAAAAGATAAAGATGGAAATACTCCACTCCTTATTTCATCAAAACTAGATCATCTTAAAATTGTCGTATTCCTTATTTCTGAAGGAGCAAAAATAGAAGCCAAAAATAGGGATGAATCCACTCCACTCATTGAAGCATCAAAGGCAGGTAATCTTGAAATTGTCAAATACCTTATTTCTGAAGGAGCAGATAAAGAAACAAAAGATAAAGATGGATTCACTCCACTCGAATGTACTTCACAAAATCGCCAACTAGAAGTTGGGAAATATCTTCTCAGTGTTGGAGCTAACAAAGAAGGAAAAGCGATTGAATATCTACTAGATGAAATTAAAGAGGAAGTTATATCGAAACTTGTGTATTCTGATAATTTTGAAGAAGTCTACACATTCCTTGATGAACTTTCATCACAAGGTAATCAAAAAATGCTTTCGAGGGCGTGTCAAAAGAACCTTTGGGAAAAGACAAATGAATCTGAAAAGAATATATTACATGTTGCATGTGAAGATGGAAATCTCAGACTTGTAAAATCTCTCATTAAATGTGGCTGCAACAAAGAAACAAAGTCTGCAGAAGGATCTACTCCACTCATTATTGCATCACTTTTTGATAAACTTGAAGTTGTTCAATACCTTATTTCTGTTGGAGCTAACAAAGAAGCAATGGACAATGATGGATTTACTTCACTCATTGAAGCATCAAAATTAGGTCATCTTGAAATCGTCAAATACCTTATCTCTGAGGGAGCTAACAAAGAAGCAAAAGATAAGGATAGAAATACTCCACTCCTTATTTCATTAAAAGAGGGTAAACTTGAAATTTTCAAATACCTTATCTCTGCAGGAGCAGATATAGAAGTAAAAGATAAATATGAAAATACTCCACTCATTATTGCATCAAAAGAAGATAAACTTGAAGTTGTTCAATACCTTATTTCTGTTGGAGCTAACAAAGAAGCAAAATCCAATGATGGATCTACTCCACTTATATGGGCATCGCGATATGGCCATCTTGAAATTGTTAAATACCTCATATCTATTGGAGCAGATAAAGAATCAAAAGATAACGATGGATCTACTCCACTCATTGAAGCATCAAAAAGAGGTTATCTTGAAATTGTTGAATACTTCATATCTGTTGGAGCAGATAAAGAATCAAAAGATAATTATGGAAATACTCCACTCATTGAAGCATCAAGAGAAGGTAATCTTGAAATTGTCAAATATCTTGTCAGTATTGGTACAGATAAAGAAGCAAGAAATAATAAATTAAATAATCCACTCATTATTGCATTACTTTTTAGGAAAAATGAGGTTGCTAATTTCCTTATATCTGCTGGGGCTAATACAGAAGCAAAAGATCAAAATGGATCCACTCCGCTGATTATCGCATCGTCATTTGACAATTATGAAGTAATTTCATCTCTTATCTCTGCTGGAGCAGATAAGGAAGCAAAGGATCAAAATGAATCCACTTCGCTCATTAATGCAATAAGAGCAGGTAAATTTGAAGTTGTCAAATGCCTTATTTCCGGAGGAGTAGATAAAGAAACAAAAGATAAAGATGGAAATACTCCACTCCTTATTTCATTACAAACAGATCAACTTGAAATTTTCAAATACCTTATTTCTCAGGGAGCAAATAAAGAAGCAAAAGATAAAGATGGAAATACTCCACTCATTATTGCATTAAAATCCGATAAACATGAAATTTTCAAGTACCTTATTTCTGAAGGAGCAGATAAAGAAGCAAAGGATAATGATGGAGAAACTCCACTCATTATCTCATTTAAAGCAGGTCAACTTGAAATTTTCAAGTACCTTATTTCTGAAGGAGCAAATAAAGAAGCAAAAGATAAATATGGAAATACTTCACTCATTATTGCATCAAAGGCAGGTAATCTTGAAATTGTCAAATACCTAATTTCTGAAGGAGCAGATAAAGAAGCAGTGACTAATGATGGATTCACTCCACTCGAATGTGCTTCACAAAATCGCCAACTAGAAGTTGGGAAATATCTTCTCAGCGTGGGAGCTAACAAAGAAGGAAAAGCGATTGGAAATCTTCTTGATCTAATTAATGATGAAAACGTAATGAATGATTATGATCTTGAAACTTTTATCAATGTCTACAATTTATTTGATGAACTTTCATCACCAGGTAATCAAAAAAATCTATCAAAAATCGGAATACAAGAACTTTCATCTACCAAAACCGACCTTGATAGGAATGTTCTTCATGTAGCATCTGAATATGGAAATCTCAAAATTGTTAAATATCTCATTGAAAGTGACGTTCTGAAAAGTCCAAGAGATTCTATTGGATATACTCCACTCATTATTGCATCAAAAGCAGGTCATCTCGATATTGTTAAATATCTTATCTCTGTTGGAGTATATAAAGAAGAAAAGACTAATGCTGGATCCACTGCTCTCATGATTGCATCACTTTTTGGTAAGCTCGATGTTGTTGAGTACCTCATATCTGTTAAAGCTGATTTAGAAACAACAAATGAAGGAGGAAACACTCCTCTCCTTCAAGCAACAGAAGTAGGTAATCTTGAAGTTGTAAAATGTCTTATATCTGCTGGAGCTAATAAAGAAGCAAAGAATAAATATGGATATAATCCACTCATCCTTGCGGCAAAACAAGGTCTTCTTGAAATTGTCAAATATCTTATCAGTGTCAAAGTTAATAAAAAGGCAAAGTCCAATGAAGGAAAAACTGCACTCTTTTATGCATCAGATAAGAGTGTAAGGGATTATTTGATTTCTGTTAAGGTAAAGTAATCAATTTATTATCCTTTTATTTTAATTTAATGGTGAGTAAATGAATTTTTTTTAATTAATAATTGAATGGTAAAATAATTCTGACAACAATAATTACTAACAAATGAGAATTTCAAAATCTAAAGTCGCATCATCATTGTTAAACCTTTAAACGAATATAATAATTATTAATTATTAAAGTATTAAACAATTCTTTGGGCTCTTTAATCTCATCTGACTATTAATGTTGGAATTATAATATGTATTGTAGAAACAGAAGGATATGAATAAGAAGGAATGATTTTACATGAGGCGCAACTACGATTATTTAAAATTGAATGTGCAATACCAAAAATAAAATAATGGTATGATGAAAAACAATTTCTTTAGGATATTACACCAATTTGACATGCCCTTCAATTAGGTTGTTTAAGTTTAATTTCATTTTTGATTCCTGTCAGTTGTAGTGGTATATGAAGTGTGATTTTTGAAGTGAATCAAAAATTCGGCACTTACGACCCCACCGCTCTGCTCCTATGCTCTCAACATTTCTTAATTTCAAATCCACATCCAAAATACACGCCTCCCCATATATGACAATATCACTCCTTCGCATCTTTAAACATTTTATTTATTTTTAAACTTGTCATAAGTTTCATTAGGATTTATAACAAAAATTCATTCAAATACTCATTATTTCAACTGAAAGTTTCATTTCAAAAATAACATTATTGCAATGGCATTGTTATAAAAATTAAACTCTGAAAAGAAAGAGAATTTCATAAAACAATGATACATCTACAGTTTATAAATAAATAATATAGTATAAAATCTATATAAATAAAATAAAATAAAAATTATGCACCAAGTTTTCCTTGAAGTGCAGCAAAAATTGCACGACGTTCATCCATAGGTATATTACGTCGGTATCTTGCTTCTGCTTTGTCAACTTCTCTCTCCATATCCTTTCCTCTTCCGTCATGGAAAGTTAGAGAGCTGATTCTTGGCATAACGATCTTCAAATGGGAGGAGACCTTAGATTTCTGTGACTTTTCTTTGGAAATTGAGTGTCTTTCTTCTGGATTTAATGGTCTGGAGCGAGAAGCCAAATCTTGCTCCTGTCTGTACTCTGTGATCAATTCCTTTGCTACTTCAAGTGGATTCTTTCCGATAATCGACTTAATTGTATCGAAAAATGCAACTTCGTCAGTAATGAACAAAGGTAAGATGGAATTCTCTGAGATATCATTACCAGTTGATATGGCTGTGATATCTGCTTCTGAAAGATGCTCTGTAAATTCGCGATTACTCAATAAGAGATTTGAAACAGAATCAAAGCCATATTCTTTCATATGACTCAATAATGTGACGAAATGATGATTGGTAAACCACCCTTTGTTATCGCCTTCAAATAAAATTGAATCATCTGTCACTTTTTCAAGAGCTAAGTCAATCGAAGTCATAATTCCAGAACGGCGTGTTACGCTTAGCATTTCTCGCTGGTCGATAACGTAGTTCTCTGGGAACGGTGGAGGATTTGGTTCTGATGGAACTCCTGTTGCTCCTGAAGGGATTTTCAATGGAAGAACCAAATCTAGCGAAACTTTGAAAGAATTCATGATCCTTGTGGCCAAAAGCTTCACAGAATGATCTGGTTTAGAGATTACACCAGTTCTCCATTGAATTTCTTTTGGTGTCATCTTCAAAATTCTTCCTCCGAAATTCTTGAGCAGACCAAGAACATCGAATACTTCTGTACGGCCCCAATAAGGAGTTAATACAGCTTGAACATGCTTTTCGCTTTCGATAATCTGCTTCTTCATCTGATGTACGATGAAATGGCTTCTGTTTTCATCAGTGAGTGTTGGACTGTTTGTTAGAAGCTCTTGCAATATCTGTTCGTCGGTTATCTGCTGATTGTGTGCTGGAGGAGTTAAATCATCAAAATTGAATTGAAAATTTAGCTCCGTGAACTTCTCTACGATAAGCTTTGCCTCTAGAGAAAACAAGAAGTAGGGTGCTGTCCTGTGAATTGAGCTGAAAAGCTGTTTTACGCTGACAACAACGGATCCTCTTCTTGTGAACGGGACACTGAGCCAATCTTCGCGGTCAGGGGACATAAGGAGTGGCAGATTTGCGTTCTTTTCGGTCAAAATCACTTGGGAAAGGATTGGAAAGTGGAGAAATCCTGTTGGCTCAAGAGATCTGAAGAAAAGAACAATGGAATCGGTACAGAACTTCTTGACTGTCTCAATTGGACAGTCTGGAACGATTTCTTTCTGAATTCTCTCAAATGATTTTTTGGAATATCCGTATTTTTCGAGAGCTGAGAGGATTCTTCGAGCATAAATCAGATCAATCTGATAGGTAGGTGTAGATTTCTTCTTCTTGCGAGTATTGAGCGAAACATCTTCAATTGTGAATCTTTTGAGGAAATCATCAACGGATTCATCGAGATCCCATTCTATTTCCTTCTGATCTTTGTATTTGAGAAGGTCCGTAACAACAGTTGACGACTTGGCAAGGACATCTTCAAATGAATCTTTTGAATTAAAATGTAAACCATTTAATTCTGGTGGTTGGACGATCTCTTCCTTTGGCTCCTCTAATTCAGCTTGTTTTTCCGTATATGAGAAGTGAATTGGAGTATAAGGTTTGAATAACATCGAAGTGTTTCGTTTCGGCTTAAGCTTTATACGGAAATGGAGGTCTGTGTCTCCAAGAACTGCATCCCAGAGCTTAAGTTTCTTTTGCGCTCGAGTATACATCGTATGTTCGTAAGTTCCAAACGTAATCAAGCGCAAAACGAGAACACGCTTTGTCTGGCCAATACGATGGCATCTTCCGAGGGCTTGGAGGTCGTTATTCGGGTTCCAGTCCGGATCAAAAATAATTGTAACGGAAGCCTTGGTCAAATTGAGGCCTTCTGCACCAGACTTCGTTGATATGAGGAATATGAAGACGTCCGAGTTATCAGAAACGAAGGAATCGATAGCCGTCTTCTTGTCATCTGCTGATAATTGGCCATCAAGCATCACATAGGTATATTTCCTTAATTGGCAGTATTCTGCTAATAATTGGAGTACTTTTATACGCTGTGAGAAGATCAAAACGCTTCTGTTTTGTTTTTTGAAAATTGGAAGTATCAAATCAAGGAATTGGAACTTGCAGCATGTTTCCACTAGAGCCTTTGACCGTTCCATTCCCAAGATTGCTGTATAATATTCTTCAGATCCTTCGACCATGAACGGATGATTACAAATTCTGTGGAGCATCTGCGATTCCTGGTAGTTATCTCTCTCCTGGCCTTGTATTCTCCATAATTCATGCATCTTTACCAGTCGAGTAAGATCCTTTTGCGCTGGAGTCAGATGGAGGAAGACAAATCTTTCATCTTTTGGAACAAGACTCTTCTCAACCTCGTCCAACGAACGTCTCATTAGATGGGGAGTGATCATTCTGCGGAGTTCGAGCATCTTTGCCGGTTCCATGGAATCAACTTCTTCATCTGGGAACAAATCAGGGTTATCGAAGTAATCAGGAGACACAAAATTAAGTAGAGACCATAATTCTTGGAGAGTATTTTGGATTGGTGTTCCTGTCATAATAATTCTATGTTGTGCTTTCAAAGTATCGAAAGCCAAGTGGGTTTGGCCATATCTCTGCTTAATTCTATGTCCTTCATCGATGATCATGACCTCAAAATTGATGTTCCTGAAGTATTCATAGTCTTTTATCAGAATATCATAGGCAACAAGCAAAACATTGAATCTGTACTTGTGGTCCTTCTTATCTGGTGATATTCTGAACGTTCTAAGGATAAGTCTGTCGTTTGGATCTCCTTTATACATCACATAATTGAAATCACTCCATTCTTCAAGCTCTTTGCACCATTGATTGTAAGTGTTGTTCCTTACAGCAATAATGTGAGGACCTTCCCATCCGATATCTCTGAGTTTTCTCAAAAATATAATCGCTTGAATTGTTTTTCCGAGGCCCATTTCATCGGCCAAGAGAGAGCCATGCTGGTCACAGAAGCACTGGAGAAGCCAGTTAACGCCTGTTATTTGGTATTCCTTTGGTAAAAAGCCAGAATGAGATTTAAACGTTTCTGCTTCTGATAATTCGATTTCTGGTATTAAAGTTGGTCGCGTCGGTATCGTTTTTTCGACATGAACTAAAGTGTCCATGTAATGGTCGATTACATTATTTGGAGATGTTGAATTCTTGACTTCCCAGTAGTATGCTGTACCATGGGAAACCGTATATTGTAGTAAAAACATGTTCTGTCCGTTGTCCATTTCGCGATGTCCAACAACATGTACTGGGGAATCCCATTTCGTAGAAAATGTGTAAGTTTCTGCTACGTAGAATGAAAATTTGCTTTCGGTTTCTGTAAATCTTGTTAACGCGGTTTTATAATTTGGAATTTCCATTAAAATCGTCAAAGGAATCCATTGAGCAATAGGATACGGTGATCCTTGCATCGTAACTAAGTATTCCATTGATTTGTTAACCTCTCGACTCAAAATGATTCGGTCAATTTTTCCATTTCCTCCATCGACGTCATCGAAAATTGTTTCATCGGCTTCTTCCTCAACGTCTTCCTCTTCGAACCCTTGACCGTTTTCTTGCTCTCCATCTTCGAATCCTTCTTCATCGACAGCTTCTTCCTCAGATGCGTCGCTTTCTAAGTAATTAATCGAATAATCGCGCTGACGAGCAGTAATTTGGATATCGTCGCCAGTGGTCGGAGCGTAAAAATGATCGGGTTCGTCATCTTCCTCTTCATTTGCAACAAATGCATCTTGATCAACAGCTTTCAGGTTGTGTAAACTCTTGGATTTCTTGTTATTGAGTTTCCCATCGGATGTCGACCGAGACATTGTCATCGAATGAATACTTTGCTGAGATAAAAATCGATTTAGCTTTTCTTGTGAATTGTTTTTGAATTCTGATTGAGAAATCCAATTAACATCTTCAGTCAAAGATGGTATTTCTGAAAATATCGTAAAATAGTCGTCGATAAAGATTTGCAAAATTTGAGGCGTCATTAACTCGGAATTTGTCTTTGGTTCCTTTATCAATACGCTGCAAACTATCTTGAGAAGCTCATTTCGTAAGTTTTTGTCGGTTATTTTATTGTAAAGGAGGATAATAAAAGCAATCAACCTAGAAAGAAGAGCTTGGTTGACAAATGGAAGTGTTTTCGTGAATGTCACAGCTTGATCAACTCCTTTGATCAATGGAATGCACAAAAAATTCGTATCAATAAGGATATGATCTGGAATTGAGGAAATGTAGTCGAAAAATATCTTTAAAAGCTTTGTATTGTTCGTATCTTGGTTAATTTTAACGTTATTTTCGGCTGATATTTCTGAAATATCGGCTTTTAAGTCGATTTCTTGGTGATATGAACGAATTAGCTCTTCATAATCCGAACATTTCTCCAGAATATGGGACATGATGATTTCGAGAAAGTTGGGGATGATATCTTTGGTTTGTTGGCATAGTTGTATGAGATTCACACCCCAAATTCTCATAAATGGTTACAAAACTTTTGTTCAGTCAACTGAAAAAAATTGCTCTCTATTATTTTAACGGATTTTTTATTTTCATTATACAATGATGCTAATTCATCAGTAATGGCTGGCTGAATCTAATAAAAAGAAATTTGAAAATTTTAAAAATTTATAGAAATGATCAAAAAGAACATTATTCGATTCCCTATTCAGTACTGAATCAAATGGAATCTACTGGATTTTTCCAAATTTTTTCTAAAAACATAAAAATAATCATCAAATTCTTGAAATTTAAATTCATTTTTCGATTTTTCGAATTTTTTTTGGAAAATTTCCAAAAATTTCTATCTACCATAACATTTTATTTTATATATCATTTCAAAATCATCTAGAAAATCTTCGATAATTCTAAAGTTTAAAGAAATCGATTCAATTTCTCATAGAATAAAGTGTTTTATCATATTATTATAGCAGTAAGACGTGTTAGCATCCATAATTATATCATGTTACAACATAATTTATATAGTGTTTTCATAATTTCAAGTGAATAAAAATTGAAAAACTATTTTAATTATATATTAAACTAAACCGAACAAAACTTTATTCATAAAAGTGGAGATAATATCCTAATTCTATGTTCATTATCGCCAATGAACTCTCTAACAGCGTTTTTGATGAATTCGCTCTTTTGTACAACGTTTCTCTGTGCTGCGAACAGTTCCTTTGTCTTCTCCTTCGATATTCCCATTCTCAGGCGCTGTTGATCAGTTGCACAGAAGAGGATGCAACTTAATAAAATATTTTGTTTGTCAATTTCTTCGAAACCAGATCCATCTCTGAAGTTTTCCAAATGGAGGTCAACCATTTCTCCATTCTCTTCGAAATCATCGATCTGTATCAATTCCATTGTCTGCAATAATTCGTCCTTCAACTCTTGGTAGAACTACAGCTGGCCAACAGCCACCCAGATGAGCTGTACCATCGATATAGCGAATGGTCGCGTCGACTGTCTGTTGTTATATATGTAGTTCCACCATTGTTTTATCGTATCAAGTTTAGATTCGATAAATTCTTTGGTAAACAGCTTCTTAACTATGTACAAAGTGATCATATGGGCTTCTTCTCTAAGGAATATAATAGGAAGATCAGTTGTGAACTGTTCAATCGTCAAATCTGTTATCATTTGTATGTAATCAGGCTCCAGGATGTCGTATCTTATCATTACCCATAAGATTCGAAGACAGACATACTTAACACCTTCATCTATAAGGTCGCCCATCTTCAGCAATGACATTGTGAAGCGGAATATTTCAGGAACTTCTGGACCTGGCTTTGTTAAGCAGAATTTCATCTGGTTAAGCATGATGACCATGAGCTGGACCGAAATATCGGTTGTTTCAGGGGGAACTCCACCGAGCACTTCGAAATTTCCGGAAATATAATCAATCATCGCGTCAATTCCAAGCTGTTTGATATCTTCTGGCATGTTTTTGCCGAAACCGAAGAATATCCTGCCAACATTCAATAGTGTTTTGGCAACAGTTGGTATGTCTGTGCATGTTTTCGCGATGTCGAACATATTTGAAATAATTTGATGGGCAGCAGCAGGATCCAAGTGCGGACAAATGACCTGGAATATATCAGCACCTGTTGCTACAAGGCATGGCTCAGTACTGTTGAGATATTCCACTCCAACTTCAATAATTCTCTGTGTGAAAGAGAACTGGCAATTGGATGCAAGTCTTGCAGCAGCAACAATGGATATCTGGGCATTATAGAGGTGTTCGCTATCGAAAATTGTCCTTTCTATCAATTCAGAGTATTCATTCGCTGTTTGAACGGCTTCGTCGGGGTATACTTCAAGAAGATCGGCTAAATGAACAATACCGTTAGCGATCAATGCAATATCTTCTGAATTTAACAACCTTTCGATACCTGCAATTGTTATATCTTTCATTTCATCACGAATTACAGCGCTAAGGCATTGCAATTCAATGGCAATGTATAATGTTCCGTCAACAACATCTAAATCATCATCTGTAAACAGAGGAACAACAAAATTTGCAACTTCCCAGGCGGTTTCCTCTGAAAAAGTGTATTCTGTACGAAGAGTTTTGAATACTGCGTAAAGGCATTGGCTGATGATGTCATCTGAGATCTCTGGAGCGAGTTGAAGGATAGGTAAGATTATTCCAGTGATTGTTACCTGAATAACATCATGCAAACGAATCAAGGCTTGTATGGCTGTGAATCTGAGGTCTGGATTTGAAGAAATGATCAATGGTTGGATGATTTCAATCAAATGTTCGAAATTAATAATGCTGAATCCGAAAAAGACCGGCATTTCTCGTATTATATTGCAAAAGATTATCAGTAGAGTCTCATTTCCTTCGACTGAAATATTTTCATTCAAAAATTCTTCAAACGATGACCAATGAGTAGCAAGCCAGTTGGAATAATTCAGTACGAGTGTAAGGTAGATAATTCCGATGGTAATTTTCGATTGCATTGTGTTAATTTCTTGTAATTCTGCAATCTTTTGTACAGAAAAGTCGCATATCATTTTGTGTTCGAAACAAGCGAATAAAGAATTTAATAATTCGATGAATTTCTCAAGTAGTAGTGGAGTTGACTGATCTGCGATTAAAATCAGATTTATTAAACTGTTCGTGATTTTAAGACCAAGATCATAGAAATATCTCTAACAGTCTTACCAAACATGAACAAGGGAACAAGTCTGTAGTATAAATTGAGAGATTCATCCGATGAATATTCGAAAGCAACGTTTGCGAAGTCATAAAATATCGGAATCTGTGCGGCAATCTCCGAGAAAATAATTCCAAGTTGGTTCCAAAATATATTGAAAAGGTAATAATCGTATTGTCTTGAATTCTTTGCCATTTCCAATATCTTTGGGAGATGATCTACGATATCTTCTGCACGGTCTGGATAAAGCGAAGCGTATAAACCAATTAATTTGCAAAAAACGATAGGCGCTATTTTGTTTGGTGAATTGCAGAGTTGATCTTTATAACTGAAGGCAAATTTCGTATCATTTACAATTGGCTGTTGCATGACATCTTTATCTAAGTGGTCATGCATTTGGATTGCGAGTTCTAGAGAATAAGATTTACCTGTTGTTTTTGCGTAAAAATCTCTCCATTCCTGATCACATCCTTTGAGAAGGCGCATCGGAATAATTGTGAAATGCTTGAAGTCATCGTTTTCGAGTTTTTCACATAAATCTGGTATTCCTTGTCTTAAGTGGTCTAGTTGTTCTTGAGAAAATTGATCGATCTTGGTTCTAAGAATGATTTCCATAAAGTTACATGCTTGATACTTTACTAACGAGTTTTTATTTGATCGTAAAATTTCTTCTAGTTGAAAATAGAACGAAACAGGGTCTTCCATGAGCTCATTATATATATTTAGAGCATTTTCTTGCTGACTCTCTTCCCCTTTATTAACAAGTGTGATCAATAATTCGACTTTAGAACTCATTTTGTTTCTTTTTTTTCTTTACACGATACACTTTTGAAAAATTATCGGCGTGAAGTTAATCATTAAACACGAATTAAGGATGTCAATTTGGAAGAAAAGTGAAAAAATTCCTAAAATGCTAAAAATGAATTGTCCAAACGTACTTTTTTATCTCATTTTTTTTGATTTTGAAAAAAATTTGGAGAGAAGAACTCTTCGTTTTTGAATTTTGTCACGATGGTTTTAAAGTATATTAGACACATGTATTGATATTACTATTTTTGTATATTTTGAGAGAAAATCCCTAAAAAGTGAGAAAATCTGAGACGGTTTGAGAAAATATATAAACTATTGAAAATTTGAATTAAACTTCTAATTTGGAAAAAAGAAATTTGGAGAGAAGAAAATTCAAAAATCGAGATTTAGACTCAGTATCAAATGGAGAACAAAATGTTTCTTCATATGAAGGAAAAAAATGTTCTTGAGAAGAAATAGAGTTTTTAAAATTTTATTGTATGTAAAAAAAAAAAAAAAAAAAAAAAAAAAAAAAAGGTAGTGGGGCTTCCAGGCACTTCGTGCCTTCTAGCCCCGAAGATGTTTAGTATAAATGAAGTTTAGAGGACATACATGACTGTGAGTTTTATTTACGACAAGATAGAATATGAGAGAGGTCCTATAAACCGGACAAGTAAGGGTCATATAAACATCTGTCATTTTACTCAGAATTTTATACAGAATTCAATAAAAATATATTTTAGGGTAGAAGGGTATATCTACCCCGTTTTCTACCCTCATTTCTACCCTCTTGAATTTTCATGAAATTTACACCAAAAAATATATTTTAGGGTAGAAGGGTATATCTACCCCGTTTTCTACCCTCATTTCTACCCTCTTGAATTTTCATGAAATTTACACCAAAAATATACTACTAGGGTCATTTACGAAGAAATCTCAACAAAGTCTTTACGATGAAGTCTTGACAAAGTCTTTACGAAGAAGTCTCAACAAAGTCTTTACGAAGAAGTCTCAACAAAGTCTTTACGAAGAAGTCTTAACAAAGTCTTTACGAAGAAGTCTTGACAAAGTCTTTACGAAGAAATTCATGAAAATTCAAGAGGGTAGAAAAGAGGGTAGAAAACGGGGTAGATATACCCTTCTACCCTAAAATATATTTTTGGGTCATTTACACTCATTTACGAAGAAGTCTCAACAAAGTCTTTACGAAGAAGTCACAATAAAACATCTGTCAAAAGCCGCTTTTCTGTCACTTTTCAGGAAAAAACATTTTTATTATATATATAAAATGAATTTTACAAAACCACCGTTACCCTTCTTTGGAAATAAGAGTAGATGTAAAGATATTCTATTGAGAGAACTTAAGAAACTACCGAATGGTCTAACATTTGTAGACTTGTTCGGTGGAAGTTTCTATATATCTCATTTGTGCCATACAATATTTCCTGACTCAAAGATTATATGCAATGACTTCGACAACTATATGAACCGTCTCAAACATATACCAGACACAAACAAAATATTGAAAGAGTTAAAAGAAAAGATACCTATAGGTAAGATGGAACGTATACCATTAGATAAGAAAAATACTGTCAGAGAGGTTTTGAAAAAAGCAGAGTATATTGACTGGGATAGTATATCTTCTAGACTATTGTATAGTGGTTCTATAAGAGTTCATGACATTGAAACACTTATGTCAAAAGTTTTATATCTTAACTATACAAATGTTTTCAAAGAGGACATAGAAAAATATATTGAGGGTATAGAGTTTGTGAGATGTCGTTGGACAGAGTTGTATGAAAAATATAAAGACAAGGAAAATGTTTTCTTTATAGTAGACCCGCCGTTCTATAACACATATGATTTTCAATACCAAGTAGACTGGACTTTGAGAGACTCTTTAGAAACTTTAGACGTTTTACATAACCATCCATGCTTTTACTTTACATCCGATAAAAGTGGTTTGGAAAGTGTCATGAGATGGTTAGAGGACATACATGACTATGAGTTTAGATACGATAAGATAGAATATGAGAGAGGTCCTATAAACCGGAAAAAGTGTCATAACAAAGAAATTTTACTAGTAAGTAAATGTGGTTTGAAATAGGACTACTTGTTTTAGGTTTTTTCCATTGTGTCATTTACTTATTTGACGTGGCAGAAAGATATAGAGAATATGAAGATGAACCAATACCAGCAAATGTTCAGCATATGTACTCGTAAGAGATATTTTTATCTAATATTAAATGGACGCACAGAACTTAGCGAATGCACAGCAACCTGGACAACCAAACCCAGAGAATATTCCAAATGAAGTTAGAATACAAACTGCAATGGCAAACTATGGTCAAGTGCCAACAGATGTACAAATGCAAACTGCCATGTCAAATGACGCTGCGTTAGGTTTGCCACCATGGTATGCAAATATGAGATGGAAAGAGTTTTATACAAACCCTGAAGTGGGATATAAACAACTCTATGCAGATGACGCGAACACAGGAGTTGACCCAGAGTATGTTTTCTACCAGAGGAGAAATAGAATGTATGAGCTCCAGTTAAAGAATGCTATGGAACTCAGAAGGAAACGTAAGAGACTAGGTGGACATTAGATTTTTACATATAGTAAAATGGGTTTCTTTGGAAGAATAGGAAACTTCTTTCGAAATGTTGGAAGAGGTATATGGAATGGAATAAAATCTGTCGGAAGAGGAATTTGGAACGGAGTCAAAAATATTGGCAAAAGAGTAGGTCAGTTCGTTGGTATTATACCTAAAGACCCTGAACCAGAAGAACAAGCTCCTGTAATACAACAGCCTGAACCTGCACCACAGTCAAGTTGGCAACCACAACCGGTATATTAAAAAGTTATATTTTTACCGTTCGATAGTAGTTGTATATGAAACTAAGTTCTAAGTAAAACGCGTGGTATAATGGAATTATTCTCTTTCTTCCATCTGTAGTAAACCATACTTGAAAGTCTGAAATACTTCCACTTGGTGGTTCGTATAGCTTTGTAGGTTTTTCGTAAAAGTCATTTGCCAAGCATAAAAAAGAGTTTTGTGCACCAGAAAATGAAGCATGAACTATAATAGCGTCAGAGTCGAAAACATTTTCATATGTTCCATTAGGGTTTGAGACTTCATAATAGTCCGGGTGTACTGGATACCATGCAGGCTGATTTAACATCCTCAAAAATCTATGCCATGCCAAGTTGTTATATTTTGTAGAAATATAAACGTTTTCTCCAAGGTCTTCTATTTTATTGAATTTAACAGTTGCATTTTTCCTGTCATATATAATATCGAGATGGTACTCTCCTTCGTCAATGTTATACTGGTTTGCATATTCGATATAGATGTCGTTTATTTTTTCTTGAAAAGCTTGAAGAGTTGTTTCTAAGTTTACAAGCAAATTCACTTGTAAAAGTTTTCCCTGTTCAAATTTCTCATACGTACGTTTTTCTTTGTTATAGTATCGAACTTCAAAAGCGACCGTAAATGGGAAACCATGTATGGCTTCTGAAATGAACTTCATTCTACGAAAGCCAATAGCTTTTGTGACGGATGGGTCTCTTAACCATCTTAACGGGTAGTCAAAACGATAGCCTTCATGCTTTACGGTCTCTGTCTCAAACTTTTGACCTACGTTAGTAAAAAGTTCATCTAATGGTTTAGTTGTAGCAACTCTTGAATTTTCTTTTTCTATTGAAAGCATATTTTATCTAGAATAAAAATGTCGAAAGAAACAGCGTCTATGAGAGAAATACAACACAACCGACAACTCATTTTGCAAGCTCTAAATAAGAACACAACAAACTTTTCAAACTATTCTAAGATATCTGAGTCATTGAAAGAAGGAAACTTAAAACTGACATTAAACCCAATGACAGACGAGTTTCTGTTTCAAGACAGTAAGAACCATACTGTCTGTATAAATCCAACAAAAGGAACTTTAAACGAGAAACCTATATCTGAACTTCTTTTGAAAGCAGATGTTGGCAACAAAGCTGACAAAGAATATGTCATTGAAAAAGTTCAAGAAGAACATGACAGAGCAGATGCAACATATGCAACGAAAGAACATACTCATCCTGAACTAGCAGACAAAACATATGTTGACAATAAAATGTCAAGTGAAGTGACAAGAGCTGACAAAGAATATTCTAAAAAGACTCATACACATACCATTGCAAATATTACAAACTTACAAGAGACCTTAAACAGGAAAAGTGACGTTGGACATACACATACCATTGCAAATATTACAAACTTACAAGAAACCTTAAACAGGAAAAGTGACGTTGGACATACACATACCATTGCAAATATTACAAACTTACAAGAAAAGTTAGATGGCAAAGCTGACAAGAACCATACACATACCATTGCAAATATTACAAACTTACAAGAAACCTTAAACAGGAAAAGTGACGTTGGACATACACATACAAGTTTTACAACTTTTACAGCAGATGATATTACACTAAACACAACCTTGCCAAGTAAAGCTCCAACAATACCACCGGCAACAAGTCTTGTAGATACTTTGATATCTAATGACAATAGTATTATACATCTAAGACAGGAACTCAATGTGCTTAAACAAATTTTGCCGAATCTTATTTACCCGGTTGGCTCATTGTATGTTCAATGAACTCTACCAAACCAGAAGTAGTACTTGGTTTTGGAACTTGGACTCAAATAGTCGACAGGTTTTTGTATTGTGCAAACTCTTCAAAGGAAACAGGTGGAAGTAAAACGATTTCAGGTGAAAACTTACCTGCGCATAGTCACTACGTAGATTTAACTACATCTCTAGAAGGTTGGCATAAGCATAGATATTGGGATTGGTCAAGAATGACAAAAGGTAAAGGATATGATGTTAAAGACGACGTTGATTTTGCTATAAATTGTTACTGGGATGACACTCAGGGAGGAGGAAGCCATACACATCGCGTTTCAGGGTATACGCAAACAACGGGACAAAGTAAAGACTACATGCCACCTTACATGACAGTTTACGCATGTATAGAAATGCTTAGTCGTCATTTTCAACTTCTTTAGCATATTCGTCAGGAGTTGTCTTATATTTGTTAGGAACTGTCTTTGAAAGTATACCACCTTGAACTTTGACAAGTTTGAAACGAGGTCTGACAATAGTAGTTTTATCTTCTGCTTGCAGTCTGTACATTTTGCCATGTTTGCCTAAAACTTCATAATATTCTCTTGTATACTTTCTTCTATTTTTACGAAACACGAATGCGAGTACCTGTCGAGTTCCCATTGTTGTCATAGTCAATAGTATTTTCATATGGGTCGCGTTTAGGTATTTCTATTTTTACTTTGTCACCTTTCTTAAGTTTGAAGCCTGGCATTCTTTCTTGTTTGTCTCTTTTGACTAAACTATTAAATATATAGTCTTTCTCTAAGTCAGGGTTGTTTTTCATTTCTTCGGGGAGTGGTTTCCCAAACCTTTTTGTTTACGGCTATTGTAAATATTTAAAACTTGTCTCATCTTTGCCATGGAGAAGTGTCTGTACTTGTCGTCATATGACATTTCATTTGCTTCACCACCTTGTGGTTGGTTTAAGTCTCTTAAGATTTTTATACAACTGTCAATGACACCAAGAGCAGAATGGTTTTTGGTCGACAATGAAATATTGGTTTACATTTTTTGAACGCAGATAGTTTTAATATCGTCTGATTTGAAAGAACTTTCACAGTCAGATGTCAGTTTTGTTGGATGGTATTTGTCAACGAATATTGTCAAAGCAGTTTTCACATCTAAAATATTTTTGGACTGTAATGGTATGGCTTCACAGTATCTTGTGTTTTGACCGACAAATATTAGCCAGTATGGTGGTCCATCTTCTCTATACCTCGGAATGTTTTCCAAGATATCCATAAACCAAGCATTGGTGTTGAACTAAAGATTTTTTATCATGAGTGCTTTCTTTGTCGCTTTAGAAACATAGGGGTCCTTGTTTGGATTCGTCATTTTTACCCTATAAGAAATGGGTTTATTTGGCGCATTAGCAGGAGTCGCATCTAGATTTTTACCCGCAGTGGGAACAATAGCCAGAGGTGCATTTGGAATTGGAAGGAAGATTTTGAGTACATTAGGTATACTGAAAGAGAAAGCACAACCTATTATACAAACTGTACAGAAAGGTTGGGAGGTAGCACGAGATGCAGCAAATCTTATTCCAAATCCTGAAACAAGAGGAAAAGTTCAAGGATGGATGGACAATGTAGGAAGACAAGCAGGAAACTACTATAACAAAGCAAATGACTACTATAACCAAGCAGGACACTATATGGACCAAGGTGAAAGATTCTTTAACAGAGGATATAACCATGCACAACAGTGGGTAAACAACAACCAACCTCAACCGCCTCAAACGTGGGGAATGTAAATTTTTTTACTGAGATGAAATGAACAATACAGCATTGAGACAAATGGGTTCAAGATGGATTTGTCGACTTCCAGCAGTTACACAACCACGTGTTTGTCAAGTCCTCCCTATACCTCAGGAAGTTTTAGACCGACTTAAAAAACCTAAACAACCAGTTGAAAACAAAACAAACTAAAATTTTTTACTGAGATGAAATGACGAAGAAGTTGAAACGGTAGATTTGACACCACAAACAAAAAGTTCAGAACCATTGTCAAAACCTGTCAAAGAACTTACAGATGAAGAGAAAAATTCAATAATAGAAAGTGCCAGGTCTGGAAATACAAACCCTAACTACAAAGTCACTTTTCATAGAAATGGAACGGCTAGTATCTCAAAAAAGAAACAGACTCTCACAAATAAAATATTGAAGTCTGAAGGAACTAAAGAGACAGCAGATGGGAAAGTATACTTCACTGACCAACAGTTCATTATAGAACATCTCATTGACTTAGAGTCGAAATATTCTAAACTTTACAACAAACACAAAAAGTTGAAAGGAAAACAAAAACAAATGGCATATGATATTTACGAAGATGTTGACGACACAACCATACCTGCAAGTGAGGTAAAGTCAAAGGAACCGAAAAGTGACGAAAAACCGATAGAAGAAGAAAAACCAAAAACTGAAGATAAACCAAAACCAAAGTTTAGTTTCCAAACTAAACCAAGTCAACCTTCATTAGCTGGTATGGGTTGGCGTCAAAGGCTTCTGGTAGCTGGTGGTTATGTTAAGTAAAGGAAAAAACATTTTTTCAAAAATATATTTTTTTATTTTATTTGAAATGTACGCTGAGTTTGTTGGAGTAGACCGTTGGGAAACTTGTTTGTTAGATGAGAAATATGAAATTCACTGTTGTGAGTCATTTGAAGTCAGAAACAAAAAGACAAAAAGAGTTTTAAGCGAATGTGAGCGAAATGACGGATATGCTAGGATGAGGATTGGTGGGAAATGCTATTTTAAACATATTGTCATTGCAACTCATTTTATACCGAACCCTAACAATTTACCTTTTGTAGACCATATAAACCGTATAAGAAACGACAATAGACTTGAAAACTTACGCTGGGTCACTTGTTCTGAAAACAATAAGAACAGAGGCAAATTTGGAGATATAGTATTCGAATTTGTCGACGAACTAGAAGATGAAGCAATTGAAATTACAGACTATGGTAAGCATACGTTTGAGTTTTACTACTATAGCGAAGAACAAGACTCTTTCTACTTTTATACCGGCGTAAACTATAGAAAATTACAAGTATATTTTACTAAGGATGGCTATGCTTATGTAAACGCTAGAGATACAGATGGAAAATACGTTCGAATACTTCTTAACAAATTCAAGAAGCTATATGGCATACCATTTTAAAAAAAACATTTTTTTATTTTTATAAAAATGCCCTCGCATAGAATGGATAGAAGGTCTGCTAGAATAAAAGCAGAGTTGCAAAGATATGGTTGGAAAGTTTCAAAGAAGTTTAAATATAGGAAGGGAAAGCCAATAAAAGTCTATGACAAACTGGCTGGTCTGACCTACGAAATGGACCTTGAAACAGCACGCGCCAATTATCCAAACAGACTAGAGAGGTTAGAGGAAGAGCGTCTTATGAACATGCCTTTCGATGTTAGTGAGCCTCAGGTTGAAGGACAAGACGGCTTTGCCAGATTCTACTGGAAACATGACGAACAATTGCATCCTTTGAGAAGGAAAAAAGGAAAAGGTGAAGACACACATGCTCCCATGGAAAGAACAAGATATGCATATGAAAAGTACCGTGAAGTTAGAAGTAAAATTACATCTGGTCGAACCTTTACAGTAAACTTTGACGAAGGAAAGAACAAAGAAGGCTTCATGGGAGTACTTGCTGCCATTCAAGACGGAAATAAGAAAGGATACAATCTCAGACTAACAGTAAAAGATTTAGATGGTCATATATACTATGCAAATGGCAATGAACAAACAGCCGCAAAACTTCTTGACGCTTTCAAGACTACAAAGAGAGAACAAATGTTTGACTCCGACTCAGACATTTTGAATGCAATTGAAGGAATTGTAAGCGTGAAGTTCGAATGGTACCAACCTAACCCTCAAGCAGTCAGACAACATGTTTGTTAGATGAGAAATATGAAATGGCATACCATTTTAAAACATTTTTTAAAACAGTATATTTTTACATATATTAAATGTTTCAGGTTGAAAAACAAAGAACAAAAGTAGTAGATACAAAACCGTTAGACTATATCTTTACAAATGCTGGTAGGACTATTTCAGATGAAGAAATTTCATCCCGAACCACCTAGTAACAGTTTCTCTGACTTTCAAGTTTGGTTCACAACAAACGGTGTGCAGCATATTATTCCATTATACTACGACTTTTATCTCGAATTGTCTTTCATATACAACTACGGAAAAGTGCTGAAAAAGTATTGAAAAATATATTTTAGGGTAGATGGGTATATCTAACCTCTTTTCTAACCTCTTTTCTACCCTCTTGAATTTTCATGAATTTTGTGCTGAATTCGACAAAAATGAGTTTTTGGTTGAAAGAATACGGTGGAGCCAAAAGTGGCTCGACCTCAAAACAAGCATTTTGTGAAGAATATACCAACCCGCGGAAAACGGCGGGTTGCTTTTTATACAAAGTTCATGCAGGAATTCCGGATGAAATCAAACAGGTTAGAGGAATGTATGTAGACCCAAGACTCGTAAACTATATTGCAATGTGGGCTTCTCCAAAATATTGTATAGCAGTTGGAAAAATTATGGACTCCATAGACAAGAAAGTTCATGAGAAATTAGATGAAGAAGAACTTGAAGATACAGTAGAGAATGCAAAACCTTTGTTTGAAGAAGAAGTTGGAAAAATGTGCTTAAACAAATAGAACATGAACGTGAGATATGTTCTGGTTATAGAGATTCTCCATACGAACTAGACCAATGGGAACAAGAAGATTTAAAGAGAGAATTTAGAGAATATGAACTCGCTAAAATTTCATTAGAAGCTGCAGAAAAGAAGTTAAAAGTTTGGGGTCGTTTTGTACAAAAATATTGTGAGTAAATGAACCATTTTTTTTTCGACAAAAATATATTTTAGGGTAGAAGGGTATATCTACCCCGTTTTCTACCCTCTTTTCTACCCTCGTAGAAAACACACAAAACTCTTGAATTTTGTTGCTGAATTCAATAAAAATATAATTTAGGGTAGAAGGGTATATCTACCCTCTTTTCTACCCTCTTTTCTACCCTCTTGAATTTGTCATGAGTTTTCCCGAAATAAAAAATAAAGTTGGTTTTTTTAAAAAAATATTTTTTTATTTTTATTGTAAGAACATGTTAGCAACAACAGCACCAAACTCGTTAGTCATGAACCCAACTTCAATGTTAGTAGAAATGAAAAGCTTCATTCCTTCTTCATATACTTTCGAAACAGAAATCCAGAAGATAAAGCAAGAACTTCTCCAAGGAGATTTAGACTGTAGTGCAAAAGATGAAACAAATGAAGAATATCTTTATGAAATGCAGGATATTATTGACCATCTACCTAAACTTCCTGAAATCCAACAACAAAAACTCACTATTCCTGAATTCGACGAAATAGAAGTCAAAGCAACTGACTCAGTAGAAATAAAGAAGTTCATACGAAAGGTAAACTATGAGTTTCTTGGATTTCATTGCAACCACAAAGTCATGGACAAAGATTGCGATATGGTATATAAGAACATCTCTGACATATACAAATCTGAAGAATTTAAGACCTACGACAACTTTGTTTCGTTAGTTGCAAAATGTGTATGGCAGATAAGAGATAAAGATAGAAGAGGTAAGATATGGAATGAACAGATAAAACCCGCAACTTTTGAGTTAAAGAAAACCATTGACGCCTTAGTCATACTAGCAGGTAAGGTTTCAGAATATAACGCAAAAATGAACCCGCAATGTTCTAAATGTAAAGCAGCAATTAGGAAATATAACTACTCCGTCAAAGAGATAGAACGTATGCGAAACGACTATGCTGACTTAAAGAGGGAGGCAGAGAAACCAGCAGAAGATAAAATGGACATGTTGACATTTCTGAACAAAAACTATCCAACAGCAGAAGATTTCCTTCTATCTGACGTCAAGAAGAAATATAAAGAGACTTTCGGCATAGTTAAAACATTCGATATCCTCAGCGAAGAAATAGAAGCTACAAAACTGTTTAGAGTCTCACGAATTCATAACGTTTACCATGTAAAACGCTTATAAAATAACTGGGGTAGAAATGAGGGTAGAAAACGGGGTAGATATACCCTTCTACCCTAAAATATATTTTTGTCTGATTTACGCTCATTACGAAGAAGTCTTGACAAAACATTTACGAAGAAGTCTTGACAAAACATTTACGTTCATGTTTGACAAAACATGTACGATGAAATCATGAAAATTCAAGAGGGTAGAAATGAGGGTAGAAAACGGGGTAGATATACCCTTCTACCCTAAAATATATTTTTGCTGAAAAAAATGACCAAATTTCATGAATTTCCTTAAGATAGAAAATAAAAGCTAGTTTTTTTAAAATATTTTTTTTTATTTTGTATGTAAGAACAGAAAATGTTAAACATTGAGTTTGAAACAGTTAGAAAGATAGACAATGACACCAAAATGGTTAGAATATGTGATTTAAACGTAAGATACTCAAAGAAATACAAGAAATATTCTTTGTCAGACATTTTATCTCCATTTGGAAAGAGACCGAAGGACTGGGTTAAAATTGCTTCTACTCAGAAATTTTTGACAAGAAATCCTGAGCTTTTGATATCGGTAGCATTTCATGGAACAAGAGCATATCTTATAGACAAAAGTCTTATACCAATAGTTTTGTTATGGTTAGACCCAGTTGTTGGATATAATTTCATAACATATGGTTCATTCGATACGGAACGTTGCAGTGAAGGCTTACTTTACATCGTTCAGAAACCGAAAGACTTCAATACAAAGAGATATAAGATAGGAAGAACATTTAATATAACTAAAAGATATGACTCTACAGTCAATAGAGTTAAGGTTGTGTTTGTTAACGATATGAGAGCTGCAGAAACAGAACTGCTTGAAAAGTTTGAGAAAATGTATGGTGCTCCCACGAAAGGTAAAGAAACGTTTGAAGTAGATGAGATCGACAAAGCTATAAAATTATTTGACGAAGTTGCTGAAAAATACATGTAAAGCGTTTATTTTTGGTCTTTTATACAAGATAGAAAATAACGCTAATTTTATTTTTTTTTATTTTTTTATCCGGAATATAAAGACAGATATGTCAACAACAGAGAACACAACAACTGCTATCGTTCATGAAGCTATAAATGAAGAATATGAGTGGGTTCAGTTTAACAAACAACTCCGTCTCATTCGTTCGGTCAAAGACGATATGTACCAAATGCAAAGTATTTTGACAGCATGTTTTGCACCAGATACTAAGGTTCCTAAAGACTGGTTTAGGAACCAAAGCACTATTGAACTATTAAATGAAGCACAGCGAGACAGACTTTTTTCTGAAAATCGTGAAGAACAGCGAGTGGGAGAAAAACCCCAGTCGCCAAAACTCTATGAAAATCGTGAAGAACAGCGAGTGGGAGAAAAACCCCAGTCGCCAAAACTCTATGAAAATCGTGAAAAATTGCCAAATGGTTTGAGAGGTTGGTATGTACATAGACTTCTTGTAAATAATGTGGCACAATGGGCTTCAGCTCGCTATTCATGGTATGTCTGTAAACTTCTTGACGAACTTCATAGACAAGAACGTGAAGAGCTAGAGAACAAGCTTGAAGCAAAAGACAAAAACATACAGAAAAGAATACCACGTTCGGTACCAAAAGGAAAGGAAAAGAACTATAAGTATATGATTTACACTGAAGAGATGGAAAATGAAGAAGACAGAGATATGGTTATGTTGCATTTAGTCAGAAGAAACAACAAAAGCTTTTACGACCTTGCTAAGATTTACAAATCTGACAGAAATTGGTTCTATCGCGAAAACTTACCGATTTCAATGACCCCAAATGAAGATGTGAAACAAATAGTTCAAGATACGTTACCTCAAACACACTATGATATGAAAGGTTGTACAATACTTACCTTCAAAGAAGATTTGCCGCTACTGAAAGAAAAAATAACAGAGTATTTTGACAACTTCAAAGAGGAAGAGTAAATGAACCATTTATTTTTGGTCTTGACTTCAGATGGCTCAGGTAGCTCTAGATGGTAAATTGTCTTGTCAAATCCTTCTGGCATTCCGAGTCCTTCCTTCCGACAGAAAAAGTCCTTCCATCCGACATTCCGAGTCCTTCCTTCTGGCATTCCGAGTCCTTCCTTCCAACAAGAAAAAAATTTCCCGACAACTGGAAAAAAATTTCCTGACAACTGGAAAAAAATTTCCTGTTGTTCGTCCGTAAACCATTCAAATTTTCGAAAATTGAGAACTTTTTGGTCGAACTTCAGAAAAAGTTTTTCCTTCCGACAGAAAAAGTTTTTCCTTCCGACATTCCGAGTCCTTCCTTCCGACATTCCGAGTCCTTCCTTCCGACATTCCGAGTCCTTCCTTCCGACAGAAAAAGTCCTTCCTTCCGACAGGACACAAACAGATGACTGACGTACCACCAACCGAGTCCATTCCCAAGCCAGAGGAACCTAAAGCACCAGCACCACAACAGACTAAGACTAAACACTTACATTTTTACGCTTGACTTTTTACAATTTGAACTTTGTTTGCGTAGATATGAATTCTGAAAGAAGTATGAGGGTCTTGTATGACTTTGTACTTCTCCCATAGTTCATGTCTGTCAAACTTACCTGCCATGGACTCTTTCATAAGTTCCATGAAATCGTCTTCGGACAATCCAGGGAAAAGTATGATATCAGTAAGTATTCTTTTAACATCCTTACTTAAACTCTTTGCTGTCTGTACACAAATGACAACTGAAATGTTAAAGTGTCTGAGCTTCTTAAGAATTCGACACATGTCTTGTTCTCTGTTCTTTAACAAAGGATGAGAAGCAAAGTCATCTAAGATAAGAAGACATCTATGAGGGTACGTTTTCCAATCGTAAGATTGCAATTTCTTCGAAATGTATTCTATCTCTTTCTGTTTGTTTCTGAAGTGTTTCTTCTCTAATATTCTCTGCATTTCCTCATTTGGGTCTTTAAACTTAGAATTGACATACTCATTTATAGCATTGTACTTCAAAACTCTTCTTTGGTACTTCTTTATCCAATCCAACAACTCAGAGTCTTTTATACATACTAATTTTGACTTCTTTATAATATCTTTGAACGAATTGACGGTTTGGTCAAATTGACCAGAAGTACTACAAATGACTACTAACTCATAGAATGGGTTCTTCTCATCTAGTTCTTGTTGTTGTGCAGCCATTTTAAGATAAGTGAAAGTCTTGCCCGACCCAGGTGGTGCAATTAGACCTGTTATACCATTCTGAGCAAATAAGAACTTGTCATGTATAGGCTTTATCTGAGCATTTTCTAACTTCCTCTTGTTCTTGTTTAAAACATTCTCAAATTTCTTGTCAATGTCAGCAAACTTTTTTTCTAACATATTTTTAGAAAATTAAAAATTTTATCTTTTAGGAAATGTCTAGCGATTTCGCTATCTATATTCGAGACAAGCTTTTCGACAGCAAAACATCTGTAGACCATAAAATCTTACATAGTGTAAACAAGAAAGGTGAATTTGTTCTAAAGTTCTGTTTCTGGGAATATGACAAGAACCATAAAACATTAAGCAGAGCAGTCTTCAAATTTGTCAATGACAGACTTGTTGACAGAGATGACGCCGATTGGAAAGATGAAGTCCAACAAAAGTTCTTAGAATGCAAAGAAGACACATGCGCTGTTCTTGAAAATGAAATAGAAAACAGAATAGAAGAGCTATTAAAGGACAAAGACCTTTTACATAAATATGGTTGCGCCAAATTTGACATAACTCCACCAGAGAAGAAGAAGAAGAGAGAAAAGAAAGAAAAGAAAGTAGAAGAAGAGAAAAAAGAACCTGAACCAGTTCCAGAGAAAAAGAAATTTGACATGTAAAAATAAAATTTTATTTTTAGAACATTTCTGGGTCAATGTCAATGTTCTCTTCCTCTTTAGGAGCAAACACTGGCTTAGACTCTAAAATCTTTTTACCCAATTTACCTTGAACTTCAACTATCTTAGACTCATAATATTCATAGTCGTCTGCTTTCTTTGGTTCATAAGGTATAACAAGTTTGTATGCTTTGCCTTCTTTAAGGTTTGAGAACCTTCTGTCAAAATTTTCTTTGACTGCTAACAAACCTTCTATGTCTAAGTCTTCAAATTTCGCACCATTTTTAGTCACAATAGCAAACTTAACCGGTTCGATGTTCCAAACTTTGTCAAATGTAGACTTTTCAAAATGGTAGAAGTAAACATTCAAATAAGCGAATGGGTCTAGTTCTTCTTTAAGTCCTGACATGTACTTGTTTACTGAGATGAATTTTGCCATCTTTTCTATCGGATAAAAAAAATATTTTTTTTTAAAATTTACTCAGAAAAATTTTTCTTTGTATATACGCCGTTCTGAACATCTAAAAGATTTTTGACATTTGCCAAGAATGTTCGTTTAGATGCTGTCATATAACCATACTCTTGACAATATTGTTTATACGAGTCGTACAAAGACCTTTCATCTAAACACTCAAAGTTAGTCTCATCTATAAACAGTTCATATACACTCTTGTTTGCTTCTAACAATGTTTGTCTTTCTTCGGTATGTGGAATTTGTCTTGGATTGAACTTAGAAATATCTAATGTCATAAAATATGAGAACAAGTGGTTGTAAAAGTTAGGTGTCAAAGTTTTGCTAAGTCGTCAAAATATTCTGTATCTTGCATATGAGAATCTGACGTTCTGACAACTACATATCTTCTGTCAGAACTTTCTAACTTCATCGGAACAGCGTTGTTTGAAACCATGACGAAGTTTGCAACATTTTCACAAACTCTTTGGTCTTTATATTTTCTTTCAACAACTCCAACTTTGTCTGTTATAAGACTCTTCAAAGCATCTGAGTTCAAAACTTTTGTTGTATCTATACTTTGAAGTTCGTTACATACTATAAGTTTCATATTCTCTATTGAAGAGTTAAATTTACCGCAGATGTTTTCTAAGTTTGTCATATTAGGGTTCGAATAGCCCTCTAACAGTTTGCACAAAATATCTGTAAAGAAAGTGTTCTTACCAGTTCCTTGTTTCCAATTATGATGAGAGCAGTTTCATTCTTAGCACTTGGATGTTGTAAGATGTTTGCAAACCAACATAAGATATACTCATAGACTCTTTCGTTTCCATTGCATATAATTTCTTTGACATGGTCTAACCAAGCTTCTATAACATTTTCTTTCCATTCTACTTGTTCGTATTTATATCCAGTGAAGATAGAATAGAAGTTTGGAGATGGTGTATAGAACTTTATACCTCGAACTGAAAAATCTTCTAACTTTGACAATAAGATATCCCAAGCATCTAACATCTTCATGCCAACTTGTACGACTTTTATTTTCTTAAGTTTTTGTCTACATTCTTGTTCTGAAACTATTGTCGCTCTTGGTTTGTTAAAGACAACATCCCATTCTTTCATGACATAACATTCTGGGGCAGAGTCAACATAAATGACTAAACGTTTCAAATTCTCGACTGCTTTGTTATAGTCTCTAAATGGACACATATTTCTGAAGGCTTGGAAGTCATAAAAATCTGAAACGTCTATTCTGTACATTTTTATAAAAATAAAAAAAAATATTTTTTTATTCTTGACTTTGTTGTTGCATTTGTTCCATTTGTTCCATTTGTTGTTCTTGAGCTATTTGTTGTTGAAGTTGTTCTTGTAGTACAATACTTTCACCAGTTGCATCTTCCAATTCGAAACTTTCTGCCGTCATTGACAAATACATAGGACATAAAAGTTTTACAGGAACAAAGTTTGCGTCAACTAAGGTTAAGTTTATGTTTGCTAAAGTGTTTGAGTTTACTAAAGCTGAAAACTCTGCATTCGAATGAACAATAGGCAAACCAGCAGAGAATGTGTTGTTTATACGCATGAGTATCTTTTGGTCATAGTAGTTTCTGTCGACATTCGAATAGCACTTTGAACCTAAGTTTGAAACAATATATAAAATAGGTGTGCTTAAAGTCAATGGAACAGATAGACCTTGTATGACACCTTTTCCTGTTATAGGAAACTGTTGGTAGTAAAAACCAGATATAAGTTTTGTATTATAGCTCATATCGTTTATACTAAACTCAGTCGGACATCCAAACATAATGAAACCTGCTCTAGTTGCAGCACATGTTACATCCGTCCTTAAAGTATTAAATAAGTCAACAAAACCTGTTGGTGGTATATCTGAGTAAGTATCTTCAAAGAAGTATTTTTTACCATTCACAACAACAAAGTCTTCTGGTGTCAAAAGAGCAAAACAGGCTTTAGTCGTCATTGTGTTTAAAGTTAGTTTACAATACCGTCCTTGAGGACTTTGTAAGTTTGTTGTTATAGAATTATATGACTCAGGGTTTTTAGTCGTAATAGTATAAACCACTATGTCTTCTGCCATTTACTTAGCAAACAAACTTTAATGAAATGTTGTGGTCGTCAAATATTTTTATGACGTCTGGGAAACTATATTTTAAGTTCAACGTTTCACCTCCTTTCATAACGTATATCTTGTCAATGACATTATATGAAACACCACAGCAAGCAATGTCGGGTTCTATTTCTTTGATGTTTATATCGTCTGCCTCTGTCAAAAGTTTCAATAGTTCTTTCAAAATTTCATGAGGTGCGATGACATATGAGTTCACTTTTACAGGTTGTGCTCAACCAAGTTTAACATTATACCCAAAGCCTGACAAATCTTCTCCTGAGTTTTAAGTTTGTCTTTAAGTTGTTGGTAGTCGTTTCGAATATCTGCAACAGAACTTAAGTCTCTGCTAACTTCAGGATATGTTGGTTGTTCTTTTACAGGAACTATTGTTATACCATCTTCGTCTTCGTATGGTTTCCCCACTTCAACATCTCTTTCTTTGACATTGACAACAACACTTTGACTGTTTGTTTGAGTTGGTGAATTTAACTTCACATCTGCCACCGCCATTAAACCTTTTGAAACACTTACGCTTCTATTTTTCGGAAATGACATTTTACTTAGAATAAAAAGATGGACGTATTTGAGTATCTCTTCGAATTGAAGCAAAACAAAGTTTACACACACAAACAATACAAGTTCATTGACAGAGTAGTTCTTTATACAAACAATGGAAAATGTTATAGAATAGCAGTCTTTGCTGAACCAAAATATTTTCATAAAGCAAAGAAAGTTGGTATAACCGAGATGGTGAAAGTTCTTGAAGCAGACAAAAATATAACAACAAAACTGACCGATATTTCTAAAGGTAAGTTTATAATACAATTTTATGTCAAAACTGGCGTACTGTCAATATTTGACGGAGAGAAGTCAGTTCAAGAACAACTTACTGACCTGCTGCCAAAATCTGCTCGATGGAAGCTGTCGTTATACCAATCTGAGGAGCCCCAGCAGGTTTCATCGAACGAATTTTCAAAAGAGCATCTTCCGTGAAAAGTGCTATTGGTTTTGTAAACTTCTTTGCTTTCAATTCATCTGGACCGTCTCTGTCACCAGTATATTGTATTTGAACTGTACCAACAGTTGAAATACCACCCATAAAGTCTTCTGAGTCAGCAAATGGAATGCCAAGCCAAAAGTTTGAACGGTCTCCATTTGTATATTGAGTTTTTTGAGCTCCTGTATGAGTCCATACTTTCACATATGGCATAATAGAACTTTGCATTTCAGGGTTAATGGTTGTTGTGAAGTTGTTGTTAAAGTTCATAGCATCTAATGTCAAGTTGTATGACCTCATATCCTCAACTGTAGAATATTCTTCTCTTGGATAGTATTTGCCATCTATGTTTATATGGTATTTAATACCAGGGTTGTAGAAGCAAGAATAGTCATTTATAGTTGTCTGAACAGTACAAACATAGTATCTGCATGTTTCATTGCAGTTGTTAAAGCAATATCTGTTCTTGCACCTGGGTCAGCACTTTGGTTTCCAACTTCACCTGCAAAGTCTTTGACAGATATTTGGTGTATAGGGAACATAAGCGGAACTGCAATATATTTGGCAGCTAAAGCATTTGAAATATCTGGGTCCAACATATAGACTGCAAGTCTGCTTTCTATTCTCTTGCATTCAAATTTTTCGCATGTGAACTTAACTGGGTCCCAAGCATCTCCAGCAGCATTGAAATAATAGTTTACTTCAGTGTTGAGGTTTGAGAAACCAAAGTCTAAGTCAACTTTGTTTTTGCAAAAGTCGGCGAATGACGTTTTATTTGTTCCCACTACTTCTGTAAGAGTGAATGGGTCTTGTGTTGGTGCAATGACTAAGTTATTTTTGCTTGGAGTAAGTTCGATAGAAATTTTTCCTGCCCAGTTTGGCAAGTATCTTAAAAACCTGAAGATGAGGAAAGATGACAAAGGAACTCTAAGTTTCAATTTTACTTTGGTTACTGCTGCTGCAGTTTGTCCAGAAAGGTTAACATAAACTCCTGGAACGTTAGGGTCAAGTCTTCTTATTTTCTCAATAGTTGCATACTGGTCTGTTTGTTCTCTAGCTTGTGGTTGTACTGAGTTTCTTAAAGCGAACCATTCATAGTTTGCCCATGTTACTGTTTGAACTAAGTCAGAGTTAGAATATATCTTATATCCCATGAAAACTTCTGGAGCATATTGGTATCCGACATAGAAAATTCCATTGCAACCTTTCTTGTCAGACAACTTGGCAGAAGGTTTTATTTCAATGTCTTGTTCCACGTATAAGAATGAGTTGTCAATAGAAATTATATGAAACCTGTCGCAAGCAATATCTACTGTTGTTGAAGAACCTTCTCCAAACTCACCTACGTTTCCATAAGAAACAGCAGTTGTATATTCGTAAGTTCCAGGAACTATTTCTGACCTTCTAATGGCATTGTCGCATTCGTTATACCATTCGGAAACATTTCCATTCATAGCATCCAAAACTGTTGGCGTTATATTCTGAGCGGCGTACATTTCATATGAGTAAAAATATAGAATAGTTGGATTTATATGTCATAATAGAACCCACGTGGACCAAGCTTTACTTTCTTCCTGACTGAGTTTTTAACTCTTCTTTTTCCTTCATTGCCCTCTGCTTGAAGTTGTTGCATCTTTGCATTATGTTCATCTAGTATGTTGCAAATTTCCCATGTCCTTTTTGCCTTTTGGCTCTGGTCGCCCATCTCAGGTAACCTATATCCTAGAAAGAGTTTGTCATAGTCTGTATTTGAGTCTTCGCGTATTGTTTGCATGACTCTTTCCTGAGTTTCCGGTTCAAGCTCTTCAAACAGTGCCTGTCCATAGGAATATGCTCGTTTCCAAATATATGTTTTTGTAGCCATTCTGGTTTTCTTTCCATGTTACCAACTATATCTTTTGTGAATGGGAAAGCTTCTACCCAATCTTTCAGTCTTGCGTCGTTTATTTCTGTAGTTGGTTTTATTTTGTCAAGGAACATGTTTTTCAATACTAACATTTCATTTGGTACTGTCCATTTGAGTTTTTCTTAAATATTCATCCCTTCTCGGTTCATTGTCTGCAAAGTAAGTTTTTATGACATTTTGTAAACTTTCGTTTGCAAGGTCATGTACAATAGGTTCTCTTCCTTCGCTGTCCATAACTTTCTTTCTAAACTCTTCACCAAATATACCATCTCTATGGTTCTGTGTAGTTCTTTGAGATAAATGTTCTAGAACGTCAGGTGTTATATTTCCATCAGCCATGTTCATTTCATACTGGTCCAAAATATCTGCATCTTTCATATCTTTCAATGGCATTAAAGCCGCGCTTAAAATACCAGCTATATCTCGTTCACCATTCAATTCCATTGCGTCTACAACTTCTTGGAATTGTGGTTGTAAGTTTATGAACCACCTATCCGGATTAGCTTTATGACCCCATCTCATTGTAGTTCCATCGTCTGCAGAAACAAAAGTAGGTTTGTTTCCATCTTGGTTAGGTTCTGAATGAACTTTAAACAATGTTTCATTTCTATATGTTTTCTTGAAATTTAACCTTTTATTTTCACCGAGTTCATCCGAAGATTGAACGTTAAATGCTCGTAAGTAAAAAGGGTTGTTGTATTTGTGTACATTTTCTTTCAGTACTTCCATTCTATGCTGAATATTTTCATCTGGTGTTGGAGTCTTTTGTATGTCGGCAAACATTTTTCGATATTCTTCTACTATGTCAGCCGAATTTTTTTTAGACTCTTGGAAATATTCCATATTCTCCGCATACTCTTGTTGAGGGTCAAGATTTTTCGGCTGTTCCAAATCTTCATCTAGTTCTGTGAAGTTAGTTTCCAAAGGAGTGACTTGTTCGTTTCCTTCAGGCTCTTCTAGCTGTTGTTGCTGAACTATTTCTTCCATGTCTGGTTGTATCTGAACTTCTTCCTGTGGAGTTTCTTGTACCTCATCTGCTGGCATTTCATATATTCCGAGACCGTTTTCAACAATTTCCCTATCTACGTCATCCGCATTCATAAGCTTTTGTTCTTTCGTTCCGTCTCTATTTTTTACGCGTTTCATGACGAAAGTTGAATTGTCATTTAGCTCTGACATCAAATATCTCGGAGTAAATTCATCCATGTCATTTGGATGATATGCTATTAAATCATATCCCTTTGCGAGCTTGTATTTTCCAGGTTTGAGATTATATCCGTTTTGGTGCTGAGCCATAAAGCTAAATAGGTTCGGGTCAGTATTTCCATCCTTGAACTTTCCAATAGCTTCTTTATATCTGTCACTAAAGTCAACAGTATCTGCGAAACCACACTCTTCTTTAAGCATTTTTAAGAATTCTTGGTTTCCTTGTTCTCTACTTCTTTTATGTCCTTGCTCTGTTTGTGGTTGTTGCTGTGCAGGGTTTTGAACTGTTGGTTGTTGTGCAGGGTTCTGAACTGTTGGTTGCTGTGCTGGTTGTGGAGGTGGTTGTTGTGCAGGGTTTTGAACTGTTGGTTGTTGTGCATGCCTGTGTCTGTGTCCATGTGACGATGTAAATGTTTTAGGTAGTCCTGGTGCAGGTGCTTCTCTTGGAGGGTTTGGTGGTATATAAGTTCCACCAGCTGGCACATATGTTCCATCTGCAGCGTAATGTCCTACCTGACTTTTCGTTCTTAAGAAAGCATTTACTAGGTCTGTTTTGGTCTGTTGTAACTCTTTTTCTTGACTTTTCACAACAGTTGCTCTAACGGCGTCATAGGCACTTTGAACTGCCTGTCTCGTTGCTGCATCTGTTATTTTCGTCATATTTTGTGCTACTTCTTTTAACTCTTTGTCGAAACCTTCAGACTTCAGTTTCTTTCCAGATGAGAAGTCGTTCACTTGTTTCACCTTACTATGAAGAGCTTCGAAGGCGTTCTTAAAGTCAGCATTTGTTAAAGCTTCATTTGAACTGTCTTCATCCGCTTGTATTTTTGTCCTTATTGACCCTATGAGTTGGGCTGCTTTAGCGTTGGCTTGGGCATCTAACCAGTCATTGTTAGCTTTTATATATTCTGCGCTTTTCATTGCCTTTTGCATGGCTGCGTCGTTATTTTTACTTTCTTGTGCTAAGTTTTCATACTGTACGGTTTGGTTTTGCAACTGTAAAAGTTTTTCTGCCTTTACATTTGCTTCAACTTCCTTTTTATACTCATCGCTATCCATATATGTCTTCAGGGCTTTTTGTTTTATCTCTTCATCTTTCAGTATTTTATATTGAGTAGTATGGTTTTTCAAATTTATGACATCTTGTTCCATTTTTGCTACTTCTGTTGCTTTTTCTGACACTTTTTTCGCAATATTCCTCTGTACTTAGTTCTTTCAGTTGTTCTTCTTTCTTCTTTTTCTCTACGTTTAACTCATTGAGTTTCTTTGTGTGTCTGTCATATTCTAGTTTCTTTTCGTTTTCACTTATTTGCTTCTGTATGTCTATGTTGACTTTTTGACATCTGTTATTTGATTTTTGAGTGAACTCAAATTCATTTGACTTTGAGGGTTATAGGCTGTTCCGTCTGCAGCTCCACCATAGCCTGCCATTTTCGCTAAAAGTGCCGCTCTTAAACCTCCACTCTGTGCACCAAGAACTCGGTTTAAAAGCATAGGATTGCTTGACATTTGTTGCAACATAGTGGGGTCATTCAGCATTTGTTGTTGCAACTGTTGTTGTGGTGTCAGTTTTACTATTGGATGTTTCAATGCTCTCTTCCTCTTACGTATATTCTTACGTAGCTTACGTGGCATTTTAAGTGAAGTTAAAAAGCGGCTTTTGACAGATGTTTTATTGAGACTTCTTCGTAAAGACTTTGTTGAGACTTCTTCGTAAATGAGTGTAAATGACCCAAAAATATATTTTAGGGTAGAAGGGTATATCTACCCCCGTTTTCTACCCTCTTTTCTACCCTCTTGAATTTTCATGAATTTCTTCGTAAAGACTTTGTCAAGACTTCTTCGTAAAGACTTTGTTGAGACTTCTTCGTAAATGAGTGTAAATGACCCAAAAATATATTTTAGGGTAGAAGGGTATATCTACCCCGTTTTCTACCCTCTTTTCTACCCTCTTGAATTTTCATGAATTTCTTCGTAAAGACTTTGTCAAGACTTCTTCGTAAAGACTTTGTTAAGACTTCTTCGTAAAGACTTTGTTGAGACTTCTTCGTAAAGACTTTGTTGAGACTTCTTCGTAAAGACTTTGTCAAGACTTCATCGTAAAGACTTTGTTGAGATTTCTTCGTAAATGACCCTAGTAGTATATTTTTGGTGTAAATTTCATGAAAATTCAAGAGGGTAGAAATGAGGGTAGAAAACGGGGTAGATATACCCTTCTACCCTAAAATATATTTTTGGTGTAAATTTCATGAAAATTCAAGAGGGTAGAAATGAGGGTAGAAAACGGGGTAGATATACCCTTCTACCCTAAAATATATTTTTATTGAATTCTGTATAAAATTCTGAGTAAAATGACAGATGTTTATATGACCCTTACTTGTCCGGTTTATAGGACCTCTCTCATATTCTATCTTGTCGTAAATAAAACTCACAGTCATGTATGTCCTCTAAACTTCATTTATACTAAACATCTTCGGGGCTAGAAGGCACGAAGTGCCTGGAAGCCCCACTACCTTTTTTTTTTTTTTTTTTTTTTTTTTTTTTTTTTTTTTTGTAATAAAATAAACAAATATTAAAATTATTTTTGGTAACAAGAAAATTCCCAACAGAAAATATTTGAGACAAAGAAAAAAGAAAATTGAAAAATATTACTCTCCTTTACATTTCTTGAGATTTTCAATTTATTTTTATGAAATTGACAATTTTATACGTTTAGATGAAAATAAGTGATTTTGCTTGAAATAAAATTATTGTTTGTTTACAGCTATCAAATAGATTTTTGCTATTTTGATTAAAATTTGTTAATCAAATTAATAATTTTTTTCTAAATATCTTAAATATCTGGATCACTCACTGATACGATGAATTAAACGATAAAAATAATACAAACTCAACTAAGTTTCCTGTCTTTCAACCAAAAAATATTATGCAATTTAAATTAAATTGTTTATTCAAATATAAAACAAAGATGAAATAATTACAGTTATCATAAACTTTATGAATAACTCTGTAATTGGTTCAGAATTTCGTAAAAATATTTTTATTAAAATCGATAAGAATATGTTTACCTACTATCATCACATATCTATAAACAAGAGTAGAGTGATTTTTATCATCGAAACTTTTTAAAAGCTGCAAGCTGGAAGTAAAAATCTTGTTTTTTTTTCTGAGTTAGTTGTAGAACTATTGATGCACGAGTTATCATTGTGATGTAGAAGGATGTCAATGCACTGACTGAAGGATATGAAGTGAATTGAATTTCATTGCATTTCAATTTGATCAAAATTTGTTGAAATTATATGAATGTGTCAACATCTGTATCACTCTCCTTCACTTCTTCCCTATTTTTTCGAGAACGAAGCTAGCTCAGCTTTCGCTGAGCGAATTGACACTTTTGATGCCCTAAACGTACATACTCTCAAATTTATCGAAAAAAATAATACTACCTAAACTCGTATATTCTTATTTTAAATATGATATTATCCTTATATTCCACACTAGAATATATTTAAATCAACTTTTAAAAAAAGTTCGAATCCTGCGCGTCTCACTTTTTAAATTTTCCAAATGGAAAATTATATTCTCCTAAAACGAAAACAATTTTCCGAATTGACATCCTTACACGAATGTATTGATTTTGTATGATTGTCGTTTTATCATTTATCAGAAGCCAGAGTGTTTCAGAAATATTTCATATTTTATCATCAATGCCAAATTTGTGATTGAATCAAACAAAAACATATATAAACATCCATTCCATTTAAATTGCGTATTCAAATAATATAGTGTGGTTGAAGTATAAGTGGTTTTATAAAAACAATTTTTATTACAACAACAATTCAATAAGTTTATCTTGTATCTGAATCCAAAACAAATTTAGCAGGGAGCATCATATTCGATTGTTTATCAATAATAACTAAGTTATCATTATTACCCCATTTAATTGCATGACATCTGAAATTATCATCAATATACTTGATAGACATGCCACTTGGACTCCAAATAGAAAGGGTGTTGGTTCCAGTTCCAATCAAAAGGTGATTTGATTTTAATGACCATGAAATATCTTCAACAGGGTAGTTTAATACGATTACTTGTTGTGTAATGGTCTCTGTATCCCAAACAAATACAGTGTTTGGCATTTTTTCTGGACATGATGCAATAAACTTGTTATCCCGAGACCAAGCAAGTCTAGAAATACCTGTAGCATTCTCAACAATGTTTGTAATGTTATACGGTTTGTCCATATTTGCAAAACCACCTTCTTGTTGTTGAAAAACTGTTGCTGGATGGACAATTGTTGGCTGATGGATTAATTCTTCAAGATTTCTCCAGATACCTTGTCCAGCTGAAACTCTAAGACGAATCATGTTGTCATAATTTCCTAATGCAATGATTTTGGAGTTTGGACTGATTCCAACACATTCAATGCCAAGAAAACCTTCATAAGCTGCATAATCTGATATATTTTCGGTATTTATATCTATAACTTGTAGTAAATAATGGGATTTGCAATCAGGAATAGCAATAAAAGAATTATCTTTTGACCAATAGAGAGAAGTCGCATCAATAGTTGATAATGAGATAGATTTCTTAGGAGTAAAATCATTTCCGAGTATTACAAGTACATCTTGGGCCTTTCCTCTTGTTAATATTGCAAGATAATTACCATCATTTGAAAAAACAGCGGATTTGAATGATGATTTTGGTGTAGGGAGTCTCTTGAATGTATTTCGTGCAATGTTCCAGAGTAGCAATTGTGATGAATTGATTCCAAAAAGTAAAACGTTATTTCCTGTAGGAGACCACAAAACACGCTCTGTTTCGATGTATCCACCAGAAATGGAGTACGATGGTGGGGAAACTTGCTTCGGACGATACTTTGATGATATAGAGAAAATTGAAATTTCGTTTAATGAAGCCATTAGTACCATTAAATACTTACTGTCTGGTGACCAAATCATTTTTTGAATTGTATTCGGGCAAATAATTGTATTTTCTTGCGAATAATCATCTGTTGAAACAATTTCAATGTGATTATCATAGTTTAAATATGCAATATGCTTCGAATCTGGACTAAAAGCAATATTGTCGTTATCTGAAGTATCACATTCTAATTCATGCATTATATCTATATTCATTTTTCAATTTCCAAAAAAAAATTTAAAACAGAATATCCCCCATAAAATTTTAAAAACATCCCCCTTTTTTTATTAATTTTTTTTTATTTTTTACTACAAATGTCTGAAGAAGATTATTCAAATGCATTACTTACCTTTGTTAAGGCTTTTCCTGAAACTGGAGATATACCCGAGAAAATTGAGGATCTTAAATTCCCAAAACCATTGTTTTTGCTTTATGAATTCCTCACGGGTGATGATATTCAGGCAAAGGATTTAACAGAAGGAACAGGAAGCACCGCTTGGCTTCAAACTCATAAGGCATTGAAGGCATTGCTTGAGAAATTGTATCCTCTTGTTAAAGATTGGACTGAAGTCAAAGTAGATTCACTCTCAGTCGTTAGACGTGGCGACCAACAGAATATTCAGAACTTCATCATCTTATTACTCATTCTTGGCGTTCATTGTGCTAAGAAAGACGAAGTTATTAATCGAATTAAAAAATTACCTTCTCCAACACCAAAGCAGTTAATGGGTGTTTTAAAGAAATACTCAATAACTCCTAAGGAGCACAAGACACCTACAAAGGCCGAACCAGAAAAATCTCCAGTAAAAGAAGAGCCAAAACAAGAAACTCCAACAAAACCAAGGGCCAAACCTGCAGAACCTCAAGCCACTCAGGATAATTCCCAGGATGATGAAAAAATCAAATTATTAAATTCACAAAATGAAAATCTTTCAAATGAAATTGAAAAAATCAAACAACAAATCGAGCAAGCAAAGAAGGATAAGGAAGCAGCAGCAAGTAATACAAACACAGGAATACAAGAAATCGCTTCAATGAAAGCTGATCTCTTCTCTATTCAAACTCAAAACAAAGCCAACCAACAGAAATTACAGAAACGTAAAGACAAGAAAGCTCTCATGGCTAAACTTGAAGCAGATCGCGATGCCCTTAAGAAACAAGTCGATGAAGCTGAAAAATCTTCCGAAAATTCAAACTCAAAGGAGAAAATCATAGAACAACTCAACAAACGACTCCAAGAAATACGCCTTGATCCTCGCAATGATAGAATCGATCAAATTAAAGAAGATTTAAAGAAATACGAATCCTTGGTCAAGAAACTCTACAAAGCCGAGGAGAGCCTTAAGAATCGTATCATTGGTCAACAGAGTCTTTCCGCTCTCCAAGAACGTCTTCAATTCCTCAAAGCTCTTGAACAGACAAATATAGACAGACTCAAACGTGCAAAACTCAATCTTGCTCTTAGCATGAAGACTTTGAGATGTGAATCGTTCCAAAAGGAGATGCGCGCAATCATTTGAGTTATATTATAAAAATGTTTTACTTTCCGAGACTATTTAAAAGATAATTGTATTCTAATTTCGCCAATATATTATCTTCATGCTCAGTTTTTTTTCGAATTTATAGTTTCTTATTTGATTCGATTATATTTATATCATAGATGAATAATAGCACAAAATTTCAGAGGAGTAATCAATCAAAATATCAAAAATTACTTGAGTTTACACATATTTCTTTTCAATTTAATTTTGACCAATTATTTCCTTTCCGAAAGAAAGATTACTTTAGTTAAATCAAATCAGCTATAAACTGATGTTACATTTTGATAGTTAGAGTTGTATTGAACGAACATTTCAATTCGAATAATGTTGAATACAGCAATTATGTTTCATTAATGAAGCTTTAGCATTTATAGGAGAATTAACATACAATTCACGCACAGGATATAGGAAAAGAAGTCTAAGATGATGTGAAATTGAGCCGAAATCAATCAATTAAAAATTGAAAAAAACGATGAAAAAGTCAGACATCTTCGAAATAAACATGTATTTATATTTGAGCTCAATCAAAGTCTTCATAAAAAAATTCCCATCGGTTGATTGGGTTCAAGCGGTTAGCAAAAACGTGACAAATAATGGCCGGCGGAAACGTTCCAGCATGGCAGAGGGCTATAGCCATCCCTGGCATGCTTATTTTCGGCACTGCTACAGTCGTTACACAGAAGTTCCTCTTTGAACAAAAGTCAACAGGTCGCGACTGCTACACAAATCCACATAAATTCTCAAAACCATGGTTCCAGACAAATTCTATGTTCGTAGGTATGTGTCTTGCTCTTGTTGTTTATGAAGTTCAGCGTTGCTTAAAGAAGAAACCACAGGATGATGCTCAATCTCTTGCTTCACAATCCGAAGACCAAACTGATACAAAGAAGGGTAGCGAATGGAAGACGTACTTCTATGTTGCTGGTCCTGCTTGCTGCGATCTTCTTGCTACATCTCTCATGAACATTGGTCTTCTTTTCATTACTGCTTCTGTTTGGCAAATGCTTCGTGGTTCTATGGTTCTTTTCTCTTCTATCTTCTGCCAGTTCATCCTTAAGCGTCCAACATACTCCTACATGTGGTGGTCTGTACTTTTGATCATTATCGCTCTTACAGTTGTCGGTGTTGCTGCTGTTTGCTCCACAGGTGTTGGCAAGGCTGGTGTTACAATCGGACAAGTTATCATGGCTATTGCTCTTACAGTTGGCGCTCAGATCATCCAAGCTTCACAGATTGTCGTTGAAGACTTCCTTCTCCACGATATGACAGCTTCTCCAGTCCTTATCGTCGGTCTTGAAGGCATGTGGGGCACAATCATCACTTGCATCCTCTTCCTTCCAGCTACACAACTCATCCATGGTCCAGAAGGCAACGGTATCCACGAAGATACTCTTGATACATTCATCATGATCAAGAACAACAAGTGGCTCCTCTTCTGGGTTATTCTCTACGTCTTCTTCATTCTTGCTTACAACGTCACAGGTATGTTCGTTACAAACATCACATCTGCTGTCGTTCGTACAATTCTCGAAGGCCTTCGTACCCTCTGCATTTGGATCGTCCAACTTATCATCTACTACTCATTCATGGCTCGTGGCGACCACAAGCACACATCACTCGGTGAAGAATGGACAGTTTGGAGCTGGATGCAGCTCGCTGGCTTCGGCCTCCTCTTCACCGGAATGCTTCTTTACAACAAGATCATCCAGGTTCCATTCTTCAAGTATCCTCAGGTTAACAGCACACCTAAGGTTAATGCTAAGATTGATGATACACCATTAAACCAGGAGTAAGAATAATAAACTAATTTTATAGTATTAGAAAAATTAAAAAGTTCTTTTTTCAACCATTTACTTTATACTTGTTTTCTTCTGTTGTTTCTATTTTTGAAAGCGATTGAAGACAATCTCAAACTTTTGATACAGTTTGCCATAAAAATCTGTGCGGAGGATCGCAGACATTTTTTAGCTTATCCCTATCAAATTATATTTTAAAATAATAGGTCGTTTTGCTGAAATACATAACATGTCAGAATATGATGATTATCTAAAATTTCAAATCATCGATAGGGAATCATTGGATGAAAATCGTTAAATTATCATTTAAATCATATTTACTATAATTTTATGAAAGTATTGTTCATCAAGTTTGCGAATTTTTTCCACGTTTTTGAAATTTCGTCTTATTCGGGTCATGGCAAACCCAAATTTTAGCTAAAAGTGACAGGAAAAAAAAACGTTTAGTAATAAAAAAAAGACCGATGAGAGCTTCGTTCGAAATATAGAGGGAACTGAGAATGCGCAACCATTCTCAGGGAATATTGGATGCTATTCCCGTTCCCTCTGTATGGAAAATTGAGGTTTTCAAAGGGAGTTAAAATAATATCAAATTTATACTAATTTACTTCAAAATACAAAAGTATTTGACAGCTAAAATTAGTTACTTTAGCAAGCCTATCAATACCCTTTTACGATTATTGTTACTTTTTCGAAATAAAAGTAAAAACAAATTTATACTAATTTACTTCAAAATACAAAAGTATTTGACAGCTAAAATTAGTTACTTTAGCAAGCCTATCAATACCCTTTTACGATTATTGTTACTTTTTCGAAATAAAAGTAAAAACAAATTTATACTAATTTACTTCAAAATACAAAAGTATTTGACAGCTAAAATTAGTTACTTTAGCAAGCCTATCAATACCCTTTTACGATTATTGCTACTTTTTCGAAATAAAATAAATTTATTATCAAAAACCTTTTTTTCTTAGTAAAAATAAACGAAATTTTTTACCTTATGAACTTTTGATGGAAATATGCAAATTTAAAATAATAAAGAAAGCCGCGAGCGAAGCGATCGGCTTAGTTCGAAGATTTTGATTCAAATCTTTGCTGATCTGTAATTCGCGGAAGCCGCGAGCGAATCGAGCGGCTTAGGTCTAAGATTTTGATTCAAATCTTTGCTTATATTCCTTAAATTCTTTATGAAACTCGCAACAGTTCCATAAAAAATTTTAAATTCTAAACTGTCGAAATTACCGATCGGTAATCACACCCTTCACGGGTGTGTCAATTTTAGCTAAAATTACCCCTACTCTTCGGGTCATTAGCGAAGGGATAAAGAAAATTTAATTTGTTTTTGAATTTGAAATGATCTATAATCTAAATCACCTTCAAGTATGAATCATGAAATTTCTGAAAATTGGAAACCATACAATTTAATAAAAATTATTGGTCGCAATAACTCTACATCATAAATAAACAATCTTTAATTATTCTTTTCGATTCTCCTTAAAATCCTCAATATTTCGATCGTTTAAATTATTTAAATTACAATTCATATAAGGAACAAGACGAATGATAAAAACCTTTGGGTTCTATTGAAAACTGACAACGATTTGAAAGCAAACTCTTAAATCAATTCAAAACATGTTGTTAAGATCTGGATAGAGCACCATCAATAATATTATTTCTAATATTGAATTTTACAGTTTGTTCAAAAACCAAAATTATTCCGTCAACTGAAATTCCAACACATTTAAATACATTTTACCTGATGAAAATTTCTTGTACAATAATTGAATATCTTTTTTCAAAATGTTTTCAATATTAAATAAAATAATCGTCGTTCCGTCATTTCAAATACAATCATTATTATTACACATAAGCATTACTTTAAATATTTCAGTTTTGAGAAACACTCAATAAATTCTATCCAAAATTCATTCTGACTTCGACCAGAGTAGTTCAATTTTGAACAATATAGTTTATTAGATGAATTTCCCTCAGCAATATTACACCTTTTATAATTACTACCCATATCCTCAGCAGATGATGCAGTTCCCTCCTACCAACTACATGTGGCCTGCAGTTGACAGAGGGAACAGTTCATTACGACATAAATTTACAAAGGCAGAGGACGACCTTCTCAAGCAATTAGTGGCTAAATTCGGAGAATCTAACTGGATGGCAGTCGCTTCGCATATGAAAACGAGAACACCACGTCAATGCAGAGAGAGATATAAAAACTACCTATCAGACAAGATTAAAAATGGGCCATGGACCCATGAAGAGGAAGTTTTACTTCAGGAAAAAGTTAAAGAACTCGGACAAAAGTGGGCAAAAATCGCTTTATTCTTCGAGAGTCGATCAGATGTTAACGTAAAAAATCATTGGACAGCGCTTGTTAACAGGCAAATTCGCGAAAATTTATCAATGAAAAACAACCCAGCACAGCCAATTGTTAAAGCTGAGGAAACAAAAGAAGAAGACGTAAACTCAGAACCCATCTATGTCCCAGACACAGTTAATCAGGACACTCCTCCACAGGAAGATAAACTATATATACAACCAACTCAAGACCAAACACCGCCGTCTGCTGAAGACGCTATTATCGAACCACCAAAGGATAATAATAATAATTCGAATTCTTCGACCAGCATTTGGGATCAACCGCTTGTACTCGATCCAGCAAATGAATGGGCAGCAGTTACATCATCATTCAACGGCAAATCCTTATTCGACTTCTTTTAAAATGTTTGTATATGTCTTTTTTTCATCGACACTTTTTTGAATTATGACGCAAAATTTCGTAATCTTTGAATATACTTCACAGACGAATTAATTCCGAAAATTCGATTGTTTTAATATTTTAAATCATCTTTGCTTGGAATTGTTTTGTTTTGTATGACAAAATTTCCTGTTCCGACCATGGGTATCATTGAATTCACATCTTTTAGGCAAATATATTATCTATAACATAACACATTGCTGGTTATTATATTCTAAACTTCCAACTATCGTATTTTCCATCTGAATAATTCACTTTCAAAAACGCCAATTATGCGGTTCAAAAGATATAGCACATTTTGAAGATCAAACAACGAGTTTTTCAGATTTTGAAACATTCTTTTAGTCATCCAACATTTTTTCTCATATCATTGTTACTTAGATCAGCAAATGGTCTATCTCATACCATCACCGACCATTAAACAAAGTTCATAGTCAGCACATATAAGGATTCTTCGATTCTGCCAAAAATGATTTCAGTATTGTTCTAATATTTGTAATCACTGGCATCTATTTATATAATATTCCTTGTCTCTATTTTGATATGTGATTAATGATACTATAGCATCGTTCAATGATTTTCAAGATTTACGAATATTAAGCCATTAAATTCTCATAAGTTTCTTTTACTTTCCTATGATACTTATAGGTTCCCTACCATTCAAGTATATACAACCAGCTTTATTGCTAATTGCCCGATGAGGAAACGAATACATTACAGTATGGGGGTTTTTAACGTGGAAAAAAGCTTTTTCAGCTGCTCCTAAGATTCTATGAAGAAAAAGCAAGTTCATACATAATCCTATAGTACCAGTCATTATAACCAATCAAGATCAAAGGTTAAAACTTATGTTATAAATATGAATATTTTTAAAATTTGGCAGTTCTGAGACAATTCTAGGGGTAAAACGCATTAAAATAAATGTTCTACCATAATCCCAGTATCATCTCTTCAAAATCGAAGCTAAAGTACTCACAAAATCTAGATTGAGAGGCGGTCAATGACTTTTGAGGGGAAATTAACGCATGGAATTTAATATTATTTAGGTTGATATTCTTGCTTATTATTTCAGAAAAAAATCTTAAAAATTTCAATATGAAAATTGAAAGCAATTCAAAAAAATTGCTAACATGTAAATTTTAATATCCTATGCATAATTTCATATTTTGAACATTTTTTATTTTTGTTTAAAACTTAAAATTTTGCGAATTTAATATAATTTATAAAATATAATACGTATATATATTTAAAATACACTAAATTTAACTGTTAATTGACGTTTTTGGGAATGAATTTTATCAAAACATGCCTGAATCCGAAAATTTGAAAGAACGAATTACACAATCATATATGTAGAATTCAAAATACAAACTTAAAGATTGTATACGTTTAAAATTATTCAGATTGTGTTTGATTTCCACTCATTTTGTTTCTTTTGAACTCTAACACTAACATTTCATGATGATTACATGATCCATTTATACATGGTTGAATTGTTCCAGATTCTACCAGAAAATCAATCCAAATTTCTCAATGCATTCATGTTGATTGGACAAAATTTAAAATTTATCAGCCTGTTTCCAGAGAAACTCATATATTCCCTAATGAAATGTAATTTTTGCTACATTTATTTCAATCAAATTTCAAAAAATTGACTGCAGAGCTTGAAAAGGTGATGAATCATGTTGTTATTAGATGTACATATTAGATTTACTATTACCAAAAAAATGCTCAAATTTGAATAGTTTTTAGAAAATTTGGAATTACACTCCTTACATTATATATAATTAAATGTTTAAATTTTATTTATTTTCCCTTTTAATTTTATAACGTGCTCTATCAAAACTAACCTCTCAATTGAAGGCCACAAAATCTAAGTAGTGAGGGTACACAAATTTTGTATGGAGTACGGTTCAATTTTTGAGAGCCTCACTACTTAGATTTTGTGACTACCTTAGAAAAATTATTTATCCAAATGCTTGCATTCTATTACAAATTGATTTTATTATATCTCTGTTATACATAAAAATATTTTAAACAATTACTTTGTTCTAACACAATAATTTTTAGATAATTCTTATGAATTAGACTTATACTTATAATTTATTGAGATATTTCTATGGCACATCAATCAAGATATAGATGATGATATTAAATGCATAGTTTCTATTAAAGATTACACTTGATTTATTTGAAATTAATTTTTTGATTATTATGTTTTTGTATTTTAATAAAAGGATTAACAAGAACTATATTATTTGAATCTATTTTCATCTAAAACATCAGAATTTTGAAAGAATAATTTTTTACCATACTTCAATAAGCATTGTAAGATCTATCATATCAATCTTGTATATCTATGCATGTACATAATATTATATCTGCTGTGATCTAGTTCCTAGATGCATATATATTTTATTTGATATCGAATACTTACAAACATCTAGTTAAATCTAATATAGGACTATCTTTTAATTTATAAACAAAATTTAATTGTCGGTAACACTCTCCTGTATAATAAAGATACAATTAAAAATTATATACATATATTACAAATCCAAGAACCATGAATCCCGAGTAGCATTGTATAGTCAAACAAATATTTTTTCATAAACACAATTAGTATTATACTATCTTGATTTAAAATTATATTTTTGGCAAATGAAAATGAATCATTTTGAAATATATAGATTCTGTTACTTTTAATGGATGCATGATGCACTATATGATGATTATCAAGAAAATCTAAACTGTTTTATCGCCAATTAATGGTAATGAAGAAAATCTGAAAAATAATTTAACATCAATATGATATTTAATGAAACAATTATTAAAACAAATTAAACTTAAGAATTAAACTATATTTATCATATAAACATCTATGAAAATTTACTTTAATATGTTTCTAGATGCATCTCAATGGAAATCCACGCTACAACAGTCTAGCGTTATGTGTAGGTCCTACGAACAGGATCTCGACGGATATAATATCAAATACATGTGTGGATGCATATATATGAAATACTAATAAAAATGATGTTTATTAAAAAATATGATAATTTATTTCTTCTAAAGTTTTTATTTTATAGATTAATACATAATATAAATCTATGTTGTATATCATTTTATCATTCAAAAGGAATAATAATATCAAATTAAAATTAGATCGTTGTTTTTCTGAGCAAGAATGTCAAACATTGAAAATAATGTTTATTTATTTCAATTATAAACTAATTATACGATAAATATTCCCATTTATGCATTCTATTTATTGCATTTAAGAAGATCATAATAAATTTAACTAGGATTCAAAATTGTGTATAACATAGTTATATTAACCTTCTTCTATGGCGATTTCTACAACTCTCTTTTATATAATCCAAACTATTATATGTAATCTTGGGAAAGTATATTAACTTTTGAGAAATTGTGAGGAAATATTTGTATCTTTCAATCATAATTAGGTATGACATGATATTTGTCATATAAACATCTATGAAAATTTACTTTAATATGTTTCTAGATGCATCTCAATGGAAATCCACGCTACAACAGTCTAGCGTTATGTGTAGGTCCTACGAACAGGATCTCGACGGATATAATATCACATGTATGTGTGGATATATATTCAAGAAAATTTAACATAACTTACTATGTATCAATTATAAAAATATATTATCAATCATAAAAATATTATATTACCTAATTTATCATATAGTTTATTAACATTGACATTGCATATCAATGTTTTGTATAATATCATTTTAATCAAAAAAATAAATTTAAATACATTGTCAGCTAAGACTTTTGACTAAAGAAATAATAAATACATTATTATGTAAAAATTGATATTATAATAAAATAAAAACTGTAAAAGAAATAAATTATCATATTTTTTAATAAACATCATTTTTATTAGTATTTCATATATATGCATCCACACATGTATTTGATATTATATCCGTCGAGATCCTGTTCGTAGGACCTACACATAACGCTAGACTGTTGTAGCGTGGATTTCCATTGAGATGCATCTAGAAACATATTAAAGTAAATTTTCATAGATGTTTATATGACAAATATCATGTCATACCTAATTATGATTGAAAGATACAAATATTTTCTAATAAAATCTCAAAAGTTAATACATTATAATAAGATTTTTTGTAATAGTCTGCAATTTACATGAAAAAGTGTCTGAATCACAAATACTCAGAACTTGTATAGATTTATTACACTAAACTATTAATGTTAGTCAAATATGTCGTGATATTATAAAATGCAATAAATAGAATGCATAAATGGGAATATTTATCGTATAATTAGTTTATAATTGAAATAAATAAACATTATTTTCAATGTTTGACATTCTTGCTCAGAAAAACAACGATCTAATTTTAATTTGATATTATTATTCCTTTTGAATGATAAAATGATATACAACATAGATTTATATTATGTATTAATCTATAAAATAAAAACTTTAGAAGAAATAAATTATCATATTTTTTAATAAACATCATTTTTATTAGTATTTCATATATATGCATCCACACATGTATTTGATATTATATCCGTCGAGATCCTGTTCGTAGGACCTACACATAACGCTAGACTGTTTTAGCGTGGATTTCCATTGAGAGGCAAACTTGGAAAAAATTGAAAATCTGGATTTGAACCTTCAACCTCTACGGCCAAAAACAGTTCCAGGCTAAAACAAAATCGAGTAGGGGTAATTTTTGCTAAAAGTGACACACTTGTAAAAAGTGACACACTCATGAAGGGTGTGATTACCGATCGGTAATTTCGACAGTTTAGAATTTAAAATTTTTTATGGAACTGTTGCGAGTTTCATAAAGAATTTAAGGAATATAAGCAAAGATTTGAATCAAAATCTTAGATCTAAGCCGCTCGATTCGCTCGCGGCTTCCGCGAATTACAGATCAGCAAAGATTTGAATCAAAATCTTCGAACTAAGCCGATCGCTTCGCTCGCGGCTTTCTTTATTATTTTAAATTTGCATATTTCCATCAAAAGTTCATAAGGTAAAAAATTTCGTTTATTTTTACTAAGAAAAAAAGGTTTTTGATAATAAATTTATTTTATTTCGAAAAAGTAGCAATAATCGTAAAAGGGTATTGATAGGCTTGCTAAAGTAACTAATTTTAGCTGTCAAATACTTTTGTATTTTGAAGTAAATTAGTATAAATTTGTTTTTACTTTTATTTCGAAAAAGTAACAATAATCGTAAAAGGGTATTGATAGGCTTGCTAAAGTAACTAATTTTAGCTGTCAAATACTTTTGTATTTTGAAGTAAATTAGTATAAATTTGTTTTTACTTTTATTTCGAAAAAGTAACAATAATCGTAAAAGGGTATTGATAGGCTTGCTAAAGTAACTAATTTTAGCTGTCAAATACTTTTGTATTTTGAAGTAAATTAGTATAAATTTGATATTATTTTAACTCCCTTTGAAAACCTCAATTTTCCATACAGAGGGAACGGGAATAGCATCCAATATTCCCTGAGAATGGTTGCGCATTCTCAGTTCCCTCTATATTTCGAACGAAGCTCTCATCGGTCTTTTTTTTAATACTAAACGTTTTTTTCCCTGTCACTTTTAGCTAAAATTTGGGTTTGCCAACAAAATCCACGTTAAGGGTCCACTGTAAGGCCAAATAAGGCCTATCGTCATCCCAAAAATATTGCTCAAGATGGTGTTTTACTAAGACCCAAAACTTAAAAAAACACAAAAACATTAACTTTACTCTTTTGAGATCCTTATCAGATGTGCAACAATTTGATGCAGTATCGCAATTCGAATCCGATTTTTTAATGTAGATGTACTCTAACATTCTTGAAAAAATGCAAAATGATATTAATTAAGCTTTTCATTTCTGTATCATACACGAAACAAAATCATTTATTATACTAAAATTTATCAAAGTTTGAATAATGAAAAAAATAATATCTAAATTTTTACATTGAGTCGGCTATTGATATGGTCAATATTAAATCGTTTAAAAATGGGCATTGGCCAGAATAATACCCACTAAAATACACTTTTTTTTAAATGTTATCAATTTGTTATGGTATATCTTTATGATAATGAATAAAATGCTTATCTTTCATAAGTAAATACATAATTTATGCTGAAACACAAAAAATAACACGAAAATTTTTTGCCAACATTTCAAAACTAAGGATAATGTTTTGAATATATAAGCAATAATACTTTGTCTGGAGAATTAAATTTGTGCTATCCAATTGTCAATTCTTTGAATTTTTTATAAAATGCACGATATTCCGACATTAGCCTCTTTAAATATAAACTACATGCATCACAATATTAGTATGTAATGGCATTAAAGCGAATTTCCTAATTTCTTCTCAATTTAATTCCTAGAAAAACTTAGGAATTAATGATTGGAAATAGGTCAAAAAATTCCTAATATAAAATTCATACTTATAATAAAATCAAAATTTGAAAATATCTATTTTTCAAAACACGCATCCAGAAGCAAAAAAATAGGAAAAAATCATGTTCTTATAAAACTCGCTGATTTTGCAATTTTTATGTGATTTGAAGTGATAGAATATATTATCATCTTATTAAAACATATACTTCATTGTTACATTCACAAAATATTAATCAGAACACTAGGAAAAGTGGATTTTCGAAAAAAGACGATAACGATTATTTGCAAATCGCCTCTCAATTTTGAGAGACTTTCAATTTTTACAGTGGACCCTTAAAACCCCCATACTGTACATTACAATGGAAGACACAATTTGTAATTTTTAGATTCTATCAGACAGCTTGAATAAACCAATATTAAGGAGAAGAGACTAAAGTGCCATCTCGCAATCAATATATCATTCTTTCATATAAATCACTGCGAAACAAAGTTTTTTTCAAGGAACGATTGATTTTGTCACCGAATTTACATCTAAATATGGTAATACATAAATAATTCTCGATTTAATCTCTCATTTTTGATAGTAAATGGGGTTGCAGAAATAAAATCTCATATATCTATTGAACTGAGATCATAACAATGCAAAAAATATAAATACAAAAATATAGCAAATCAAATTTAATCAATTTGTTTCATGATTAAAATTCAAAATTATATCGACTTATAATCAATCTTTTGTAAAACGCATTGATATGATGTGGATAGTACTTTAATGAGAAGCAGATTCAGAAAACTTTGAAAATTGATATTGAGAGTTTCAATAATTTGGAAATTAATTAAAATTAATAAAGCTGTTTGTTACACTTTGCCGATATTCAGATTTTGTGAAAATACCGAAAGTTCCTTAAATGAAATAATTGATATCGAGTAGCTTGAAAAATGAAGCAATTATCAAAGACAGCAAGATATGATAATAGATATGATCAAAACTAATAGCATATAATTAGTATGAAGATTGTTGGTCAATATAGAAAGTTTCCATTCATCTTACCAATTAGGTCACTTTTTCATAATGACGTGAAATATAATCATTCTGCAAATTTGATTCAAAAATATCACTCAAAAATGATATTAGATGGAAATCATGATTTGTGACTATCTTCTGAAAATGTCCCAACTCATAGAAAGTCCTTTTTGAAACAGTATTGAAAAAAATGAACTTGGTGAAAATAGAGTTACATTTATGAGTACAGTAAAATATAATAATATTTTCGATTTTTGTTAATTGAATTAGCGAGATAGTATTGAAAAAATGATAATTGTCCTTTCTAATATCGTACAATAAGGTGCACCTCCAGAAAGAACAATAATTTTAGCCATTTCATAAAAATTTGTTATAAATCTCGAAACGTGCTGCGTAAAATTCTTAAAATTGTATTCGTAGTAGGTCATAAATTATAGATCAAAAGCTATCATTTCTTACGAAAATAGGATGCACGTTGAAATTTTTATCTCAAAAGAACTTTGAATACACTCTGAGAATTTTAACAAGATATCTTTGCATATTATCATAATATAAATAATATTCAAAAACACGTTTGATGCCAACTTTTCAATATGCCTCTCAAAGCTGTCAATATCATAATAATCAAGATGTTTCCTCATCCAGTGTATGTCATCCAAAGAGTTGGAAAGCGTAACGATCTTTCTGAGCAAGCCCTCCAAGAGCAGGCAATGACAAACAATAGAATTCGCAGATGTGGACCAAGATTAAACATTGTTAACAAATATTTCGAAGATAGATTTGGTCCCAAGTTGAATTTCAAGGATCTTAAATATATTGCTGATCAAGTTGTCAAAAGAATTCCATTACACGTTGATAGAATTTCAAAGAGAAATAAAACAGCTATGCAATGCTGGTTCACTGAACAGTGGAACTTAATTAAACCAATATTGGACAATATGGTTATAACAATTTCAGAGCCTCAACAAGTTGCACAAAATCAAATTTCACAAATTAAACAAAATGAAGAGAAAGAAGAAATTATCACGCAAATCCTTCCATTTGAGGTCCTGACAAAATCAAACAAGACATTTTCAAATTTCCAGACTAACTTAATTTAAGTGATTCTGGAACCGTTTTATTTACGAACATTAGATCGGCTACTTGATGCTTTCACCGAGTCCTTTCTAATTTTCTTATTTTATAGTTATTTTTTGTTTTTATAAATTGTTTCTATCATTTTAAAATTCTTTCATTTTTCAATAATCCTTTGAATTTAATTGAATCTTGTGCTTTGTAAGCACGGACTCATCTCAATTCTGTATTAACTCAACTACATGGCATGGTGGCCAAATAGCGAAATACTTACTGTATCAAATCGAAGATTAAAGATTTCCCAATTTTATATTTTTAATAACTTACGCATTTCTTTTATAACCCTAAACATCAATGCAACCTATATTGGCAAGTGTTAAACTACAATGTTATTCTCTAACAAGCAAATCATCATCAACAATTGAAAATAATTCTTCCTTTTGATAGCAGGAACCATCTTATATTTCCTATAAATTAAGATTGAAACACAAAGATTTGATATAGCAAAGATTCACACAATATTTTACAATTTATTTCCAAAACAAAACAAAAGCAACAATAAGAACAATAATAATTGCAACCAAAGCAGTATAAATTACTGCATTTGACTTCTTTGCAGGCGGTGCAGATGATTCAGTAAGGCTGAGATCTCTTGCTTTAGTAACTGAAGTTTCCTGTTGTATTTCTTTCAGATCTTTAACTCTTTCATCTGTAAATACTTCTGTAATTTGAGGTGCTTTGCCAAATAATGAATCTGTGAAAAATTTTACTGCATTATCTTGCAATTCTTTTGAATTTTCACTAGAAATACCTAATTTCTGTTTGTTTTCTCTTCTTCTTAGCTTATTAGTTAAATTCTTCCACATTTTCCTATATTCTTGCTTCTTCCATTTTGCTAAGAAAGGTTTCATTTGTATTCCTTTTAATTTGTTATTTCCAGCACGAGCATCTAAGTTTTCTGATATATATTTCATTTGAACTTGACGATTTAATGAGAGACTTAATTGCAACCACTTTAAATGAAGCATTTCCTTTTCAGATTTGTTAGATCTTTCTTGACAAGCTTTATTAACTTTGTCAAGTGCTGATTGCCCTAAATAAGTAACATGATATTTATTCTTTGTCATCCAAAAAAATTAACAGTTTTCAAACGGTTAGTCACTTTTCCTCTTCTGCTTTTAGCTTCATTTTACTATTTTCGTTTGATTTCTGAAATGAGCAATCATTCAATTCGAGAGTTTATACAATAACAGTATTATAACTCATGCAATTTCTTATGAATAAATATTTTTGTTTCATAATCAGGATAAATTAATCCAAAAAATGAAAAACAATCAAAGTTATAAATACTGACAGTTATATTTTACATTACAAATTGATCATTTCCTGTTTTTCGGAGAATGTGGTGGTGGAGGAGGTCTTCTTTGTGGAGAACGATCTCTTTCCTTCATTGGAGATGGATGAGGCTTTCTTTCTGATGAATAAGAGGGTGGAGGTGGATAATCTCTCCTTGAATTTTGCTGATGTCTTCTTCGATCCATATGGCGATCATCTGGCAGAAATTCATCATCACATCTATACGGGAAACCTCTTTCATCTGGATATGGCCTTCTATCATCATATCTAGAATAATAATCATCTCTTCTGTCGTCTCTCCTCTCATCTCTTCTATCATCATAAGGAGGCCTACGACGAGGACCGAACCTATCATCATAATATGGCGATGGTGGTCGATAATCCTCTCTAAATCTATCTGAACTGTAAGAATGTCTAAGATCTCTTGGTCTTCCGTCCCTGAAGTTCCGATGATCATCATCCATCCTTTTGCGCTTCTGCTTTCTGCTTTCTTCGAGTGATTTTGTGGAGAAACGAGGCTGAGGAGGAAAATTCATAAGTTCTGCAGAGAAAGGAGGGCATAATGGCTGATGATCTGCGTAGTGGTGATGGAATATTGAATTATCAGGTGGTAAAACTCTTTGTAAAAGAAACAATGGAAGAGGTGGACATAACGGTTCTTGATTTGCAACTGAGGGACAGATCGGAACAGATTTGTATTCTGAAAATGGACTGAAGTCGACATAAACGGCTGGAATCAGCGGTGGCTTTATATTCTTTTTTGCAAGACTATCCAAAACGTAAGGGCGTATTTCGGCCAAAGCATGATCAAAATCTTCCTGTTTGATTTGCGGCGCGATAATGGAATTCCATTTACGGCAACCGGGTGAAAAGTTTTCGTAATAAAATTCGAGAGTTATTTGGGTTACTGTTAAAGCGATCAATTCCAGTGGAATTGAATAATAGTCTGATAGCATGAGAATTTCATTCTGGATTTTTTCTGATGTAGAAGAACAATCATTAAAAATAAAAGAGTGGATATCTATAGTTTGGATATTGTAATGCCAAGACATAATCCTTGAAATGTTTTTGATAACTATATCTTGAACATTTGGAAGATAAAAATTGAAGTTTAACGCAATAATTATATCTTTTTCTCTGGCAACAGCATTTTGAGTTAATGTTTCAGAAAATTTTTCTGCCTTTGTATCACCACATCCCAACTCTGTAGCAGCTTCGGCAAACTGTGGTTTAACAAACCAATCTCGAATGGCGTTCACAATTTGCCGCATTGGAACAACGCATTCATTAACTTTTGAAGAAAGATTATATGCTGCAACGAGAGATGTAAAATAATCTGACTTTTCCGGCGTCGTTTTTTCATAAAATTTCAATAAATAACGCATAGTTGATGAACAAAGCGGCGTGTTGAAATCCTTATATAAGCCAGGCATGTGCACCATTACTTGCAAGATGTTTTCCAACACTTCTTTGGGAATTGATGTTGGAATCATCCAAAAATTTTATATTTTTTATTGCTTTGAATTTTTACAATGAAATCAGAAAATATTATAATGATTTACAAACGAAGAAGTAAACAATTTTTAACCGGATAAAAGTTTAATTTTTCCAAGATTTTTTTTTAAAAATGTAAATTACTGTGATTTAAATACTAACAATTTCTTTAGTACGACAAAATATACCGATACAAAAGAACAAAACAGTACAAAAACTAATATTGGTATTTTTCCAATTAATATTTTGAATTTCATGGGTAATGCTATTGCAAAGTCAATGACAATTGACATAAGTTGTACTAATATCTTCTTCTTTCATGATTAAACCTAAACAAAGCTCTAAATTCTAAAGATAAATAAACCGATTATACTTAAAAGGAATATTACTATCCAGAACAGTAATCTGTAATTAATTTTAGTAAGATTGAATCTATTGTTGGACGCTTTTGTTGGATCATAATTTTTCATTTCGCTAATAGAAGGACTAGGAAGTCTTTCTACAGGTAGCGGCGTATATGGAGTCATTGGAGAATTTATTGCTACAGGTGTGTTTCCTTTTGACACAACTTTAACAGGAGTTGGTGAATCATCGAATATAGTTGATGATATTGAGCGCTGAGGGGTCTTCAACCCTGTAGGACTTTCTGATGGCGGCGTTCTTTTGAATTTTTCTTTATCTTTTTGAATGATTTTGATAATTTCTGCTTTTGTTGCATTGTTGTTAATCGAAACTCCATATTTTCGCAAAATTTCATGCAGAGATGCTATTGAATATGCATAAAGATTATCAAAATCTGCATCAATAAATGGATAATTCATTCGAAAAAAAAATTGACAAATTCAATTCTTTTTTGACATCTTTGTTTACTTGTAAAATTTTACAAATCGAATTTGTCAAAAAATGGGAATTGAAGGATCTACTGCTGCTCCTCAATCTCCCGCGGCAAGACCTAAACAAAGGCAGCAGGTTGCTCACCAAATACTTATTGTTATCAGAGGTGCAAGGAAAACAGGCAAAACTAATCTACTCGCAAGAATGAAAGGTTTGCAATTTATAGATCAATATAAACCCACACCGATTATGCAAGCAACTGAGCTTATTTGGACTCCAATAAGCTCTCCAAATGACAAAATCAAGATTGTTGTTTGGGATGTCGTTGATCACGCATTAAAATTGCCAAATGTACCGGAAGGAAAGGAATTACCAGATGCAACTACAGTCGATACATTCAGTCGAGCGGATGGCGTTGTTATTATTTATGATCCTCGCGATGAAGAATCAGCAAGATACGCTTTATCTGTTGTTAATGAAGCACCTGAACATTTACCAAAGATACTCGTAGCAAATTTCTTAGACCAATTCCAAGAACCACCGAAAATTCATCCAATTCTCGAAGGAGTTAAAGATAAAATTTTCCATTTAAACGCTTCAATGAAATCTAACGCCGGTCTGTCAGAAATAGCTAAATGGCTCGATCTGCCTTTACATATAAGTCTTAAAAAACTTTACGAAAATTTAATTGTATCAGCCAATCAAGAACTCGACAGTATCAAGGAAGAACTACATATCAAAGAGCAGGAAATCGAAAATACACCAATTCAGACCCAACCAGAAACTCAAAACATTTCAGACATTAAAATTGGAGAAATTACTGAAGGAAATGATGATAAAACAAAAGGAGATAGTATGTTTTGGGATAATAATGACGATGAATTCAAGAATATTAAGATGCCGGCGAATTTACCAAATCTTGACTTTTCTACACTCGAGGATACAAGTAATCCGCTTGACAATCAACAAGAAGAAGAGATTGAGAAACCCAAACCTCAATCAAGACCTCCAAAGAAAGGATCTTTAAGAAGAATTCTTGATAAAAACAAATCTGCCAGAGAAAAACCAAAAATCATACAGAGAACACAACAAAAACCAATTGCAACAGTACCAGTTGCTCAGCCTGAAGAAAAACAAGAAGAAGAGGACGAAGAATCAAATAATGAAAATATTAAACAAATCCAACCTCCTAAACCTTCTCAACCGCAAATACAAAAGCAACCAGAACCTGTTGTTATACCAACAATTGCAGAACCTGCTGATTCTTTCTTTGATAACGAAAAGGCTGAGGAAAAAGAAGATGACAAAGGCGAATTCTGGGGTGATGACGATGATACACCTGTTGTCCCACCAATGAAGAATATTCCAAAATTAGATATAAAATCTGACGAAATAACACAAATTAAGCCACTAAATCAGATTGAGACCGCAGCTACAAAACCAGAAGTTGAAGAAAAATCAATGGAATCTGTTGAAAATCAAAACGAAAAAATTATTTCATCTCCAAAGCAAAATTCTTCCTCAAAAGATAATTTCTTTGATGAAGATAATGCCGAGGATGAAGCAGCACCAGCAGTTCCTTTATTAAAGAACCTTCCGAAGTTAGATATCGATGATGATCAAACAGAACAAAAAGAGAAGACACAAATTTCAAGGCCTCCTTCAAGACTCCAAAAATTGAAGGAGAAAACAGAAAAAGTCTCTCTAAAAGACAGATTAAAGTCAAAGAGAGAAGGAACAGCAGCAACAAAGGTTGAGAAGCCAAAATTACGTGGTCCGGCTCCTGTTGCTCCTAAGAAACCAGCTCCTCCAATGCCAAAACCACAACAAAAATTAGATTCTTATGATTCTATTCAAAACAATGCACAATCATATGATTTATTCGATTCACCAGTAGAGAAACCAAATAATTCCACTCAAAAGCCTCAACAAATGATTGAAGAATACGATTCTTTTGATTCTCCAAAGGAATTAACAAAAATCATTGAAAACAAGCCACCACAGAGAATAGAAGACTATGATGCATTTGATACACCTCAAATTTCATCAAAAGCCGAAAAAATTAAAAATTATTCTGAAAATTCTGTCCAAAGTCAGAATTTATCTGATGACAGTCAATATAATTCATCAATACCAGTAGAACAACCAATAACTTCTGCTACAAGTCTTTCACAAAATAATTTGACTGAAAAAGAAAAACCAAAACCAGAACCAATTGAAAAAGTTGAAGAGCCAAAGAAAGAAGATGTCAAAACAGATGATAAACCAGAAATTATTACAAAATTACCAGATGAAGCTACGAAACCAGAAACTAATACAAAGAACACAGAATTTGACTTCGACAATGCATTCAAGGACATTGGTTCTGCTCAGATTCAAAAAGAAGAAGAATTTAATTTCGGAAATGCTTTCAAAGAGGTTGAAGAAGAAAGGAAAGAAGAAGTTAAGCCACAACAACAAGATAAAACTCAGGTATTACCAGAAAATAACCAAACAATTTCAGAAAATAAGATTAATGACGAATTTAACTTCGAAGAAGCATTAAAAGTCATTGAAAAGGCTGAAGAGAAACAAAACATTGACATTAATACTAATATCATGGCAAACGAGCCTCAAAATGATGATTTTGATTTCAATATCTCATTTGATAAACCAGAAAAGAAGGAAGAAACGTTGAATTTAGGTACTGATATGTTCAAACCTGTTGAAAGCCATGAAATTCCTGTTCAAAATGAAGAAGATACTGCAGATTTTTGGGATGAACAGCTCAAAGTACCTCCACAACCATTAGAAAGCCCTGCAAAGTCAATGCCAATCGATGACAACCTAATGACTGACAATTTCATGCCGAAAGAAAGCGATTTCTTCACAACTGACGATATTAATCAGGAAAGCAATAAATTCTTTGATGAACCATCACAAGAAGACGATAAAAAGACACAAATTATTGATGGCAATAAGAAAGAAACAAATTCTCTCGTTGAAGAAAAAATTGACAATAAATTCTTTGACGAAGATGAAAAAGGAACTTCATTTGATGATAACAAGTTCTTTGATGATGAAAACAAAGTCAATGAAGAAAAAGAAAACAATAATTTCTTCGATGATGATGAATCGAAAGAAGAAACGAAGGAAACCAATGCTTTCTGGGGTGATGATGATGAAAATGTTCCTAGTATCAAGCCACTTGCAAAACTTCCAACTTTGGACACATCATCTTTAGAAAATCCAAAAACAACGAAACCAACAGTTCTCAAGAAGAGGAACGAACCGAAAACAATCAAAGCTGCAAATAAAACAGCTACTAAACCAAAGATTCTTCCTAAGGAAACTTTGCCAAAACCAGTTTTGACAGAAAAACCAAAAATTTTACCAAAATCAGCTGTGACTCCAAAACCAGCTGTGATTGTCAAGCCCCCTCCACCTCCACCAAAGCCTATTGTTATAGAAAATGAAGAAGAAGAGTATAATTACGACGAAGATGAAGATGATTTCTACAAATAAGATTTTTTTTATTTTAGTATATTAGTAATAAACATTTTGTTCTATTTTTATAAGGGCACTTTTATTTTCTACCTCCGCCCACAAATAGCTGCTTTAAATGTCCCAATGGTTGTCTCACTATGATAAATTATTATATAGGGTGTCAGGAAACCCCCGAGGCATCTAGGGATCAAAAGGAGATAACTACATTCTGATTTCATATTCATAAACCTTTGTTATATTAGGTAACTTAGAGTTGTGTAACTTTGATTAAAAGATTTGAATGAGATCTTAAAGTTCGAATTTGTATCTTCAGGAACGAAAAAAATTAATTTTTTCTAAAAAATTGAATCTGAAAACCACATTTGATTCTCAGTTTGTTATTGGGATATTCTCCTGGATATTCAATAAGTTTGCAAAACCCTCACATCCAATTAAGGGTGCACTTACCATTTTCTGGCACGTTCAGATAATATCAACATATCTTTATTTTAATGACAAAATGGTATAATAGCCATTTTAGGAACTATGCAGTGATTTATAATAACTTTTTCTTGATCAAAAATATTAGTTTTTTTATATAGAAATTTGGGATATAAAGCTTGTATGTAAAAAAATCATCTTGACTTCCTTAGAAGACAAATTAACTTTCTTCTCAAAAAGTACGTTTTGCTTTGAAAAATGCATTTAAAAATTCATATGGTCACAAAAAATTACTTAATCTGTCACAAAATGCCATATAAAATTCAGCAAATAACGCAGCTATGAAGCATAACATCTATTTAGAAATTGCCCGTAGGTCTAATGCCTATATTAGCTCTTTATCTGCTACAAGGCTGGGCTCCAGAAGAATGCTGGAAACAATATTTTCCTGATGTAAATTATTCCGATTATGGCAATGTTATTGATCCAGAAATTAAATATAATGCCGAAAATAAGGAATCCTATATTACATTCAAGTCAATTTTTTATCATATTAATAAGGATGTAATTGTATCGACAAAAGCTAATGATCCATCTAATATTCTTATTTATGCATCAATCTTTTATGATGTAGGGTCAACTTACACAATTAGCATTTCTTACGCGACAAAGATGATTTGTAATAAAGCTTGCTTCACTAATACAGTATCAACAATTAAAATATCTACAGGAAAAGCGTTGAATGGTGAACTTAATTCATTTTTTTCCTCGAATAGGGCAGAATGTTATCTAAATCTAAAATTATCGTTTATGTTCATTGAAAATTCCAATATTTCAAAATGCTCTGATTATGCCATAACTAAACCATATAGGCCTAATTATTCAGAGTCTTGTGTACTTTCGTATATTTTCTTTAGTCATTGTGGTGGTCCTGCATCCAGCAACGGATATGCATTAATGACTTATGGAGAATTTTATTTGAGAGATTCTGTAATTCAATATTTTAAAAATGAACATGGAACAAGCTTGGGAAACCTCATTTATTATGAAGGATATAATGAACTTCAAGTGAAAGGGTGTAATTTTATCGAAAATTCTAACTTTCAATACTTGATTTATAGCGATTTTAATAGGGTTTCTATTGTTTCGTCATTCTTTTCAAATAATAATAATATTCCAACAATTAATATCGAGATATCGTCATTTTCTACTGTTACAGACAAAAATTCAATATCAACATCATATGATAATTGCAAACTATTTAATAATGATATTGTTAATTATTATGAAATCAATTTTTTGAGGCACCATTTTTATCCATACCTTAAAAGGACAAATGTTGATATCAAAGTAATAATATCTCAAAAACTGAAGGTTACATATGAATTAGATAATGGGGTTACAGTTAATAATTTTTTCTGGAATAGAATTGATAATGATTATGATTTCGATTTCATTATTCCTGATAATTATGCATTTGAAAATCACTATATTGATTTCACAATTCAATTCTACAACGGAAATACTGCAAATAAAAGAATTAATATTTGGTACAAGCCAATACCATTTGAATTTTATTCTATAAATATCCAAGATGGAACACCTCTCAAAATAGAATATAAGTTACAAAAAACAGATTTAACTAGTAATCCAGTTTTTATCATGAAATATTTTGGTTCAGATATTGAAGTAACCAACTCAAGGAGATTATCCGGAAATTTATATTTGTATGAATGTTTAATTGATATTGATAATTTTCAAGAGGGAACATACAATATTGAATACTATGCAGAAGATAAAAATATTGAATATAATACCTCATCTAACAGATTATCAATTTCAGTGGCAAGTATACCACCAGAATTTAGTATGGTCATGTTAAATCAAACAGAATTAGTATTTGGTGAAGATGAATTCATTACATTACAAGGCGGAGTTTCATACAATAATATAAATAAAGATCTAACATTGACTCCGATTATTGATGGAAAAGCATTATCAAAACAAATCACAATAAATATTAAAAATAAATCAACACATAGCTTTACTTTTAATATTCCATTTAGTGATTTAACATCAGGACCTCATTCAATTAAAATCAAAGTTCGTGATCCAAACTCAAAAGAAGTATTTTCAGATACACTTAACTTCATTATTAAAATACCATTGAAAATAAATTTATCTAATACTTCAAAAGCAACAGTTTTATTATCCCCAACAACAACAGTACTTTTAAATGGAAATGGAATTGCAGATTTTAATTCAAAACAATATTCAATTAAAACATCAATCAATGAAACATTGATTAGCAATTCAATTCGAATAACTCAAGGATCATCTCATTCATATACATTTTCAGGTAATCTGCAAATTCCAAACTATTTGAAAGAAGGAAATTATTATATAAAAGTTTGGATTACAGATAATTCAATCTCTTCAGATAAAATACAAAAAGAATTATTTATTTTCAGAAATCCACCAGAACTTACAATTACATGTGAACAAAATCAAACATTTATTCAAAATGTAAACAAATTAATCAATATTACTGGAAAAGTGATCGATAATGATGGATTTGATAATATTACAATTTTTTAGCATATGACAACTTAAGGGAATCTGCTTTTAATATAGCAACTATCAAAATAACAACACTTAATGAATATCCATTTAATCTTCCAATACAATTTATTCCAAGTTTATCAATTGGACAGCATAAATTAATAATTTATGCAGTAGATCAAGGAAGTCAGGAATCAAATAAGTATAAAGTATATTTTAATTATAAGCAAAAGTCTCAGACATTAAAATCAGATTATAAACGCCTTCTATCCATGAAAAAACACTACTCATTTTTTATCACCTCTATATGGAGGGCTCTAACCCGTATGATAAAACATTAATTTTTTTACTGCTAAGTATTATGACAAATACTTTGTTCCTTTAGTTCAAATTTAGATATATGTGGATCCAGAAAGAACTTTTTGATAGCATTTCTTAGGCCGTCAGAATCACAACACAATGATGAGAAATACATATTTGAGTAATTTGAATGAGATCAGTTGAAACATTTTATATGGAACTTTTTAGTGAAAATTCGAAAATGTGCATTCTATCGTTTGTTATGAGATTATTTATCGGCAAACCCAAATTTTAGCTAAAAGTGACATGGAAAAAAAACGTTTAGTATTAAAAAAAAAGACCGATGAGAGCTTCGTTCGAAATATAGAGGGAACTGAGAATGCGCAACCATTCTCAGGGAATATTGGATGCTATTCCCGTTCCCTCTGTATGGAAAATTGAGGTTTTCAAAGGGAGTTAAAATAATATCAAATTTATACTAATTTACTTCAAAATACAAAAGTATTTGACAGCTAAAATTAGTTACTTTAGCAAGCCTATCAATACCCTTTTACGATTATTGCTACTTTTTCGAAATAAAAGTAAAAACAAATTTATACTAATTTACTTCAAAATACAAAAGTATTTGACAGCTAAAATTAGTTACTTTAGCAAGCCTATCAATACCCTTTTACGATTATTGCTACTTTTTCGAAATAAAATAAATTTATTATCAAAACCTTTTTTTCTTAGTAAAAATAAACGAAATTTTTTACCTTATGAACTTTTGATGGAAATATGCAAATTTAAAATAATAAAGAAAGCCGCGAGCGAAGCGATCGGCTTAGTTCGAAGATTTTGATTCAAATCTTTGCTGATCTGTAATTCGCGGAAGCCGCGAGCGAATCGAGCGGCTTAGGTCTAAGATTTTGATTCAAATCTTTGCTTATATTCCTTAAATTCTTTATGAAACTCGCAACAGTTCCATAAAAAATTTTAAATTCTAAACTGTCGAAATTACCGATCGGTAATCACACCCTTCACGGGTGTGTTACTTTTAGCTAAAATTACCCCTACTCTTTGCAAAACCCTCACATCCAATTAAGGGTGCACTTACCATTTTCGATTTTCTGACAAGTTCAATAAAATTAAAGAAAGACAGTTCCAACTTAAAATATGCCTATCCTGGTCTTCTTTACCACTGGATGAAAATCTCTACTGCCTATATTAAGCGCAAAATTTTTTTTGTTTGGCCAATTTTTTTTTCCTTTTTTTTTGAAGAAATTTTTTTTGAATGGATGTTGATCTCTACATCGAATTAAACCAAAGATACTTGGATGTTGACGAGAGTAATCTTAAAGAAACGGCCTCATTCATAGCCAACTGTGATATTGGCAATTTTTCTATTGGCCGAACAATTATTGCTCAATATTTCATAAAAACATTCAGAGTTAGACCTAAAAAACTTAATATAATTGCAGATCTATTCGCCCAGGTCATCAATACACCAGCCACTTACAATGTCAAAGAATTACCAATCAAATTATTGGATTATTGCTTCGGATATGACAACGAAAGTGACTACAAACTTAAAATACGCGCATTTTACTTCATAAGGAAACTCTTATCTAAAGGAATTTACAACATTGATTCAGATATTTTGCCAAGATTGTTAACAAACATCGAATGGCACGAAAGCTGCCGTCCATACATCTTCAATTGTTGTTGCTGGGCTCCAGAAATTGATCACGTTCGTCCTGGCTTTTTTGATAAAATAAATCTAGACCATGCAACAGACATTGAGCATCTGAAAGACTTTTTCACACATCTAGAGGAACTTAGAGCCGATGGCTGGTCCCTTTTCTTCCGTTCTATTGAGAATGAAGAAGTTCCAGGTTCCATTGCTGATATAATCATGAAAGATGATATAGATTCATTCATAAACCTTGGCGCAAGTAATCCAGACTTCAACTACAACGGTGTTTTGCCCATAAGTTTCTTTGAACACCGAACAATGCTTCAAAGAGGCACTCATTACATACAAGCGGCTGCATTCTTTGGCTCCATACAAATTCTCAAATTTCTTATCCTTAAAGACATTCCAATCAATACGAAAGACATGTTCGAATACATTACATCTCAATATGCAGTTTGTGGCGGCTCTTTGGAGGCCATCAGGCTGTGCGAACAAGCCGGTGCAAGCTTCCTAGGCTGTGCGCAACTCGCTATTGAGTATTTCCAACAAGATGTCTTAGGATGGATATATGATAACCAGCCAAAGAAAGTTTGGAACTTGGACATGTACAATCGTGGCCGCATACATAATGCCAGCCTCGTTGGCAATCTAGCTGCCTTCTTAGAGGCTATAGAGACCGGAGATAGAATTGATCAACCGATGGAAGACGCTCTACCCATTATTCTTGCTGTTAAATGCAACAGCTTCGAGATCGTCCAGTACATTCTTCTCCAAAATCCCGAAGGAGTTGATAAAATTATCTATCAGCACCAAACTCTCATGCAAGTTGCCATTTCATACGCTAAAGATGAGATGATTGACCTCCTGATACAAATGCTCCCGAACTGGAACCATTGGCAAGGTTTTCATAAAGATTTAAACGATCTTTACATTGCGATCCATAAGAGGAGGCCATCGTTGATAATGAAATTGGCCGAGAGGATGCACGTTATAGATAACCCTACCAGATGCTATTTTATGAACGCTGCCATAAGATTAGGATCATTTTACGCAATAAGAGTCATGGCAGAGCATCCAGACATGTTCCCTTTCAATCCTAAGGACATACCAGAAAATTTCAATACAATTCCGGAACTTATTGACCTTCTGACAGAAAAACATATTATATCTCCAGAAAGAAAGGAACTTCCTGAGCACGCGCAGATAGGGTATGTCTATAAGGAGTCTCCTGATGATTACATTAAAGAAAAAACTGGAGTTATGCCAGATCCGTTCTGGATTTGCTCAACTCAGCGGAAATCAGCCAAAACTGTCCTTCAATACTTGATCAGTTCAATATATATGGGAGATCCAAACCTAGAGTTTATAAATTACAATTCAATTGGTCCCTTGGCTTATATTGAAGACTCTACAGAACTTGATACCGGAGCTCCAGATGACGACCAGCAAATTGACAACGATGACGACGAAGAGGAAGAATTTTTCGATGATTATGAGGAAGAAGACGGAGATGACATGGTTTTGACTCCTGCTGAGCTAGCACAGCTTCTCATGAACCTTACTAATCATGACCAGGAAGAAGGAGATCATAATGACCATAATAATGATCATCATGATCATAATAATGAAATTGATCATAATAATGATGATCATCATGATGAAATTGATCATAATCATCATAATGATCATCATGATGACGTTAATTTCCCTTGAGGGTTTCTTGTGTTTTTATAATAAAAATATAGAATATTTTTGTATGATACAAATGCATATATAAATGCATATGCTTTTAATGTAACATTTTAGTTGAATTTGAAAAAATTATTGGATTATCTTATTAGAATGAACAATCTGGAATGCATTTATCATTATTAAACTTATAGTTTATGATAAAAACCATGTAATCTATATATTTTGCATCAATTTGAAATTTTATATTCTTAATTTTATTCTTTATTTACATACAAGAGGACTAAATATGTTGTTCATCTATGTTAAATGGTATATAGTAAGCTATGTTTTAATAATCCATGTTATTTATGAGAATAGAAAAATATACATGAAGTATGTTAATATAAAATCAATGGATTTGATTGCACATGAATAAATAGTGGAAAAACTGCATATGCTACCAAAGATCTCGATTTCATAAATGGAAAATTTATTTTCGTTAATACTATTGCGAGATGGATTCACAAAAGTAAAATTGTTATATAATTTCTTAGAAGGACAATCAATTCTTGTGTTTTTTTGATAAAATAACTTGTATTCTCCTCGAAATGAACAAATTAGTTCAGGATTATCATTATTAATCGATCCATATATATCTAGATCTTTAAAACATTCATTAACTTTGCATGAAAGTGAAGAAAATGAATCCAAGCGAAAAAGAATTTTTGAAAAACTAATAGAAAAGGACGAATTAGCGACATCGGTTGACTTCCAAAAACTCCCATTTTGAAAGATGTTAGTTGGAGGAAAACATGACTCTGAGGAGCTTGCAAAAATATGTAAATCATTTGGCAAATACGAATGAAGGAATGAAATGAATCCAGAGGCATTGCGAGAATCGGGTTGAAATCTTAAATATTCAATTTGCTCGATCCTAGACATTACAAATCACTCATATTCTTTACATGTAAACATTTTAATCTTCTCAATTTTTGAAAGAAAGACGGAAAAAATAATAATCATTTTTCAAAATAGTTTTCAAAGAAGAACTAAAACCTATATGATGCTTTAATCATTTTGAAGGAGAATGAGATATTATATATGAGATATTATACATTTTTAGGGCATTAAAATAAAGAACACGAAGCCTATAAATAGGGTTGTTAGATTCCCGACGATAGGTGTCTTGGAAGACTTGCCTGGTGTCATCATAGTGTCTTTAAATCAAAAATTTTATTTTGGAGTTAGTTTTATTGATTTTTCAATAAAAAACATTTCTAAAACAAGAAAATAAAACGATAAAATATTTAAATTTTATATAAGGATCTTATATATTTAAAATAAATATCATTTTATTTTTTTCATTGGTGTCTGTCAAACCATAATACACTATTCAAAAATTCAATGTGTCTTGCGGTTTCAAAGACACCTTCAAATTGAACGATAGCACAGACACTATTGAATTTTACCCATTTTATTTAGTTTTTACCCTTTTTATTTTTAAGAATTAATGACTGAAACAGCCGTTTTGCTATGACCTCAATCACTTTATTTTTATTTTAAATATGATTTAATTTTATTATTTGAATAGGCCAACTTATATTTGAGAAGCTCAATTTGAGACCACTTAATACATTGAAATATCATAAATATTGAAATATTAAAAAGTGTATTTCAAAATATTGAAATTATAAAAATTTATAATACTGAAATTGAGAAATTAATAAATTCAATGTGTTTTTTTTTTGAAATAACTCTCAAATATTATTTTTTTGTTTATTTAATGATGAATAAATATGATTGCTTTAGTCAATCATAAAAACTAATTTAAGTTTAAAATAATGAAAGGATAATTTGATCGTTTTTTAAAATACAATTATTTTTGATGATTTGCAAGAATCTTTGAAAAGAATATAATATAGTTTCTATTTTTGTAAAATTTATCCAAATCATGTATTACATAAATTACCATTAAAACGATGAAAGAACCAAAAAGTGTGTTTTGTGTTTTGTTGTTGCGTGTGGATGCGGGATCCTGTTATTTCCGAAATCGACAAAAAATTTGGAAATTTAATTTCCGAAATCGAAATTATATTAATGTTTTTAATATTCTTATATCAAAAGGATTAAAGTTCATTAAGAGAAAAACAATTCTTCTTCTTCAATCTATTGGCGCATTTATTTCTACACGCCAATAAGGAAGGGAAAATTATAAGACACCATGGTGTCTTCAAAACGCTAATTTTTGATATTTTTAACAACCCTACCTATAAACATAAAATCAAAATATTGGGATCTACACGAACAAATATCTCAAACTGATATAAAGCGAAATGATTATCATGGAGGGCATTAGGACTTGGATTTACAACAGTTATATTGTTATATAACTTTCTAGTAGGACAATCAATTTTTGTGTTTTTGTTGTCGAATGATGCATAATTTCCCCTAAAGGAGCATATCCGTTCAGGTTTGCTATTATTAATCGATCCATATATATCTATATCTTTTATGCATTGGCCATGTTTACATGCAAGCGCAGAAAATGCATCCAAGCGAAAAAGAAATTTTAGAAAACTTACAGTGAAGGATGAAGAAGCGATATTATCTGACCTCCAAAAGCTTTCTTTTTGAAAGATGTTAGTGGGAGGGCAGCATGACTCTGATGAGCTTGCAGAAATAAGTAAATCATTTGAGAAATATGTATGAAGGAATGAAATGAATCCAGTAGAATTGCTAGAGTCTGGCTGGAATCTTAAATACTCTTTTGGGTTGGCTTTAGTCACTACAAATTCCTCATTTCTGAAAATTAATCATATTCTTGGCGTGTAATTAATTCAATTCTCTCAATTTTTGAAAGAGAAACGGAAAGAATATTAATTTATTGACATTAAATTTTGATTTAAAACATACTAAAAGGAACATATGGAGCGTCAGCTTATTCACCCAAAATAATCAAGAAAAAAAAGTAGTGATAATGAGAATTATAATCATATCAATTTTTAGTCTATTGCTTGTATCTTCTTTAAAGAGAAGAAAGAATGGTTATTTTATTAGATCCTCATAAGAATTAAATCTTTTAAGATAATAAAAAAAATACAAAGGATAAGTTAATATTGGGATGAATGGTTGATATTTGCATGAATATTTAGTGGAAGATTTATAAACACTGCCAAAGATATCAAAAAGATATAATACAAATTTGTTTTGTTGGTTATCATTAATTGATGGACTTACAACAGTTATATTGTTATATAGCTTATTAGATTGACAGTCAATATTTGCAGTTTTTGAACGAAATGAGTCATAATTACCCCTAAAAGAGCAAATTAATTCGGAAATAGTATTATTAATAGATCCATATATATCTAAATCTTTGAAGCATTCCAAAGATCTGCATGAAGACGCAGAAAATGAATTCATGCGGAAAAGATAATTTGGAAAACTGATAGAGAGGGAGGAATTGGCAACATCATCTGATCTCCAAAAGCTACTATCTTTTAGAACATTTATTGTAGGACAACATGATTCCGAAGAACTTGCAGAAAGTTGTAATTCACTTTCGAAATAAGAATGAAGGAATGAAAGAAATCCTGTAGTATTACTAGGGTTTGGCCTGAACTTTAAATATTCATTTAGATCTGCTCTGTCCATGAGAAATCAATCAATGTGTCATACTTCCCTTTTAATTTTTAAACTTTTTCCTCAGAAAAAAAATTCATTCTCCGAAATTGATTATTACACGGCAATATCCTATGATAATAACATGTTTCGAATATAGCGATGATCATCATAGTAAGATCATAAACGAACCAGATTAACCACCTTTACAAACTATTAATATTGACCCAGGTTTTGATTAAAAATAATTATTCTTTATTTTTATAACAAAATGAAAGCAAAGTATATAGAACAAGATATCATAAAACTGAAGCATTGACACATGCACGATGAAATGGCTATTGTGTCGAATAAAGTACCGAAAATATATAAATTTGATTGTAACTATTAAGAGATGGACTAACAACAGTTATATTGCTATATAGTTTATTAGCTGAACAATCAATTTTTGTGTTTTTCTGATAGAATAATTTGTAATCTCCTCTAAAAGAGCAAATCAGTTCAGGATTGCTATTACTAACTGATCCATATACATCTAAATCATTGAAACATTCATTGGTTTTACAGGAATAAGCAGAAAAAGAATTCATTTTAAATAGATATTTCGGAAAACTAAACGATATTGAAGGATTAGGAGTATCTTCTGATCTCCAATAGCCAGAATCTTTAAATATGTTATATTGAGAACAGCATGATTCTGCAGAGCTCGCAATTACAATTAATTCTTTTTCGAAATAAGAATTAAGGAATGAAAGGAATCCAGTAGCATTATTGCTGTCTGGTTTAAAATCTAAAAATCCTTTTAGCTCAGTTCTACTCATGATAAAAATCAGTCATTGGCCAAAAAAAATCTTAGAAGCCAAAATTTTTGTTCAAATTACAAATTTAATAAAGTCAAACTATAAGTAAAATATGATGATTGTAATGAACTTTTAGTTTTTCATGGTAAACAATTTTTTTTCTCAATATTTTTTTTCCCATTAAAAAAATGTCTGGTGAAGAAGATGAGATAATTTTGGGCATTGACCTTGGAACTACATTTTCTAGTATAGCGTATTATGATAAGAACAGGCAGATGGTTCATTTAATAGAAATTGATGGCAATAAATCAATTCCTTCAGTTGTTTATTACGGTGATCCAAAACTTGTTGGTAATCAGGCGTATGAAAGAGCGAAGATTGAACCTAATCTCGTCATATATGATTCAAAGAGACTTATCGGATGCAAATATCAAGATGTCCAAGAAATCTGCAAAACAATGCCATTTGAAATACAACCAAACGCTGATGATGATCCAGAAATCATTGTAAACTACAAGGGAAATCAAAAAGTACTTAAACCAGTTGAAGTTTCCTCTCAAATTTTAGCTTATCTCAAATCTCAAGCTGAGAGGAGACTTAGAACTAAAATTAAGAGGGCAGTCATTACTGTTCCACACGCATTTAAGAAAATCCAGACTCAATTTACAAAAGATGCTGCAGAAGCTGCTGGATTAGAATCAGTTCTGCTTAGTGAGCCAGAATCATCAGTTCTCTACTACAAAACGAAGATAGATACAGATGCAAAGCAGAACGTCATCATTTACGACTTTGGCGGCGGAACATTCGATGCTTCTTTAGCTACAATCGAAGGATCCGAAATAAAGATCCGGAATACAGAAGGTGATCCTCATCTAGGTGGTCGGAACATCGATCAAGCGCTAATTGAACATTTTAAAGGAAAAATTCAAGAAATCACTGGAATTGACATATTCTCCCAAGATCACAAGAAGGAATATCACATAGTCAAGGACGAGATTATCAAAGCGAAGAAAATTCTTGGCTATGGCACTCCAAATGTCGAGATACAACTGATGTTCGGAAAACCAGGTAGTATTAATATCAGAAATGTCGAATTTAATCAAATTGTCCAGCCATTCATCGATAGGACCATAAATATCATCCATAAACTCATTGAAAACTTCGAATTAGACAATTCAAATACTTCAATTCTTCTTGTTGGTGGAACTTCATTGATCAAACTCATCCATGAGAGGCTTTCCCTTGAGTTCGACTACAAAATACACTGCTACGAGCCTCTCGAAGCTGTTGCATTTGGAGCTGCAATAAAAGCTTACATGTTACAGACCAAAAAGGCCAAAAAGAGCCATAAGAAAAATGATGAAGACCCTGAACCTCCGAAAAAAGACACAAAACCCGAACCAAAAGTAATTCAAGAAAATGTTCCTATTCCAAAGGACATTAAGCCACATCCTCCGATGAGTCTTGCTTCTCCTATAAGTTCAAACATTTCTGAAGCAGAAAGTGTTAAAAAACTGACTGTATATAATTGTTTGTCAAAATCCATCGGAGTTAAAGTAAAAGGAGACATGATTTCGAAGCTCGCGTACAAGAACACGCAATTACCAATCACTACAAAGCCAAAGGAGTACGTTAACTCTGAAGATAACGAAGAATTGCTTCAATTGCAGTTTTACGAAGGAGAAGGAAGCACAGCAGCTAGTTGTGAACTTGTATCCATATATCCAATCCAAATTCCTCCATCCGCTGCAAAAGAATACAGATTTTCCGTTGTATTGAATATTTCCGAGGAATCTCTCATTACTTGTACAGTAAAGAGGACGAATTCAAGGAACAATGAGGTTCTGACGTTCGTTGTGGATAACAGCCTTGGAAATTCCCCAGAACAGATGATTCGAATGAAATCTTCAGTGAATGAATTCTCAAATCAACAGAATTTATCGGAAGACTTCAACGAACTCATGGATTCTGCAGACAAACTCACAAAAAGAGTCACAAGAGATGTTCGCGACAGAAATGACCCTCTTTTCAAAATGAAGAGCGAATTAAACGATTTGATGGAAGATCTGGAGAATGATGATGACCGTCCAATTGACCAGAAATTTAATTTATTGACGAAGAAGTACAATGAATTGAAGACAGAATACGAAAAAAGAAAATAAATCTTGTTTTTGGTATAAATAAAATTAGAAATGTTTTATTTACCATTCGATGAATCAACATTACTTTTTTAATGCTTCACCACACTGATTTCAGCATTTCAAGAACAGAAAATGCAGATATTGCCATGAATGCTATTTGACGAAGAATTCAAACAAAATTATGAGTTTAATTGAAATTCTTTTGTTCCAAATTTGTGTTGAGTGATACCAGTATCATTATACATATTGGGGAATGCTTATCAACTTTTTTTAGACAATTATAAGTGCTAATGAAAATATATCAATATATATTTATTGAAGGTCATATATATGAGTAAAACAAATGATGTTGTTTTCTCTTACCACATTAATAAAATAAATAAAAAAAAATTTAAAATATAATTTTATTTATTGCTGTTTCTCCTCATTCGCCTTATTCTCTCTCTTACGGACAATAACAAAACCTTCCAGGATTGGCGACAAAGGTTCGTATGTATCATCAACAAACTCAGCTCTCTTTCCTGCCTCGAGAACGACAGGGGTATCGAGTGTCTGGAAACCAGTGATCTTTCTTGGTTTTCCTGCCTGTCCAACAACGTCAACTGCCTGACCAACTCTGACCTGCAGAGGGAGGATCTCCAAGTTCTCGTCGAGTGTAACTAAGAATCTCGGTCCAATTGCAGGAACAATGAAGAACAAGAGGAGAGGATCCTTCTTAATAAGCAATTCCTCAGAGTTCATGCATGAGTAAGCAACAGCGAGTAAAGAAGCCAGTGCAACCTGGTGAATAAGTAATCCGTCACCGTATGTAGGAGACAAAGTCATCAGACCTTGTCCCAAATGAGTAAGACCGACTGAGTTTCTAAGTAATGTGAGAACTGATGTGTCATTCTTGTGGTAAAGCTCTAATGCGAATAATGTGTTGATAACTCTCGTGTTGTTTGTGCCGGCACCGATCAGACCGAGTGCAACGCATGCTGCTCTTGCGACGTTGACGTCTGGATCGTGGCCAATTCTGTGTAATTGGTCGACCAACTCTGGAAGTGGCTGAGAAATGGAAGTTAGAGCGATGGCGATTGGAACCATCTTCCTAGCATTTGGTTTGCCGTACTGTAATATGAGTTCGAACATTCTCTTGGACATTTGGGTTCCGATTGGGTCTCCAAGGGCAATGATAGCGATACCGATGACGGCGGCGGCATGGGAAATAGAGTTGTCGCCTGTGCAGACTCTCAACATGTTCTGGATCTGTAATACGTTGCCTGTACCGGCATATGCGAGAGATTCGAGTACGACCTTGAAGAATTCAGCGTACTGGGAGTTGATTGTAGAGAGAATCTCGAGAGCTGCTTGGATGGCGTCGCCTTGCTGGCCCATGAAAATGAGACCAATCGCGAGAGCAAGGAATGGTAGGTATGGAGCGTTCTGTGCGTTGGCGGTAGTTTCGTTTAAATCGTATAATATCTGTGAAATTGCGACGAGAGCTGGATCTGAAGGATGTCCGACGTAAATCATGCCAACAGCGAGACATGCCATGGCGCAGACTCTGAAGTTGTCGAGAGAAATATGTGGCTTGAGTAATTCGAGTAAGTCGTCGTCGGCTTTTCCGCCATATGCAAATGCAAGGCCAAGAATGGCTCCGACAAGGACGTTCTCGTTCTGGTTCTTGTTCTCCAATCTTGGTGTAAGAAGAGCGCGTGCGGTATCGTAGTCGGATCTGACAGCGGCTGTAATCAAGCCAATTCCGGCTAATGCGCCCATTGTTACGTATGGATCAGAGGAGTCCTCGTCTGACTGGTAGTAAAGTAAGTTGTTTGTACCGGTCATGATGTCCCAAAGATGCAACATTGCGATGGATGCGACTGCGACGGCTCTTCCGACTCCTACGTTCCTTTCTCTGATGATCTTGTTGTCTGTATCGGTTGTGAAGTAGAGATCTTTCTTGATGGCGGCGTTGTAGAAGGCGGAAACGAAGCATTTGGCCATGCCAAGATTTGCCTTGTCTTCGCGCTGGGCATTACGGTTTCCGATAGAAGCCTGGAACTGGAGGATGTCATCTGGTGTCTTTGGCTTGTTCCTTCCGAGGTGTTCTGCAACTTTATTGTATAAATTGTGGAGATCGAAGTTTTGCGCGATGTTGAGGAGCTCATCGTCCATCAAATCATCGAAAACAATAAGTTGGCGGGCAAGAAGGAAAGCAAACTGCTTCTGGACAAGCTTATCTTCGCAATTACGGAAAATGTCAACGGCGAGCTCTCTGTCGTTGAGCTTAAGAGCCATGATAAGGGCTTGGTTGACCTTGTTGAGCTTCTTGTAGATGGTTACGAGGACTCTAAGGATGTTTGTGTTGATTGGTTCTGGTTTGTAGTCGTATAACTGAAGTAAGTATGTGCAAACGCGATTGTGGGATTCCTCGTCGACAAGTGGGACGATGTCTTCGAGTCTGTTGAGCTCAAGAAGAAGATCGCAAGCATCTGGCTCATCATTGTGAGTCATGTAGTATTTTGAGATTTGATCTACAAGCGGATTGATGTCAATACCACTTGGGAGGTCTTGTAAATTCTTGCTGGCCTTTATAAGGTTGAGTGTTAAGCAGCGAACGTATTCGTGGCCCCAGAAACCAATATTTTCGACTGGACATTCAAGACGATAAAGGAGGACGTCATATTTTGTATCAACGTTGATAATCGATAATAAAGAAAGCAAGTCGGCAATTTTCTTGCGGAATTCTTCGTTTGTATATGTATTGTATGCGCGTGTTAATTCTTCTAAATATGGAAGTAAGTGCTTCATTGGCTTTGGAACTGATGTCATTGAGGAAGTTGATTTCTTTAATTCCTCAACGAGAACTGCAACTGCAGCCAAACGTGTTTGGAGATCGCCATTACATGCTTTTTCAACATTTGTGCGTAAAGTTTCTATTAGGATCTCATCAGGGGTTTGTTGCAACTGATCTTCGGCCATATTTTTTTTTGCTATTAGAGCGGTTTGTCACTTTTCCTTGCTCAAAATTGGTCAATTGCTAAAATTTTCCTATTCTTTTTCTTTTGACCAATTATCACCAATACCATGCTCCATACATGAAAATTATTTATGAGAATTCCTTCTAAATATTAGATTCAAATGCAAATTTTCCATCAATTGCATTATCCCTAAGTTTTAACTTATAAATTTGATTACATACTTTCTATCTAGGCATTCGATTCTGTTTAGCATAAAGATTTTCCATAAATATTTGCAAAATTTATTAAAATTATGGATTCATTTTCTTATGCTTGAATACTGAACTTAATTGCTTTTATTAAGCATTTCTATCTATTCTCAGTGACTAAAATTTTTTTGGAATAATTGTTCAATGGTAGACAAAAAAAATCCTTTACAGACTTGACAGTAAGTGAGTTGGTTCAATGCAAAGGGTTGGTTATAATGATTCATGATGAAAAATATCGAAATAATTTAATATCAATTACAAAACAAACGTTTAACAAAGATAAAACTACAAATATTTGCATATGCTAAATACGCAAGATTTTGAAACATAAAAAAATATAACATAATTTCTTATATTGAGATATTTCAACAAAAACAACTCTATTTTTCTTTCAAATCTTAATCATCAAAGAATTGAAGATTATATTGGGGTTCTCGGGTCATAACTCTTCAATTTTGTTTGAAGATTCTCAATTATTGTTTTAATTGAGTTGAAACTTCCATCATCGCATATAATAATTGTGAACTGAAGCAAGTTTGGCCTAATTTCACTAACTGCCGTTGATTTCTTATTCTTACAAAGAATAAGAGGAGGTAAGTAGATAATTTCGTTGCCAATGGCTTGATCTGTAAGTGACATCATTAGGTCTTTCAAATACTGTGGTTCTCCGTAGAAAATATGGACAAACATGTACATTCTGAAGTTTAATGCGAGAATTTCGTCAGTTCCGAGGAGTTGGTTCAAGAAACTCTCAAGTATAGATAATCTGTACTTCAGACTGTTGTTCTCCTTGAAGACTTTGCTGTTTCTTGTTGGAATTGACCAGGGAAGTTTAGATCTCCATGAAGATTTAGTGAAAAGATCGTAGCAGAACTTCTGTACATAATATCCTTCAAACAAATAATTGGAAATCGAGCTGAAAAATTCGAGATTTGACTTAGCTTTTTGCCAGACTTCGCTGACAACGTAAATGATGCCTGGAGTGATGAAGAAGAGCATCTGAATCGAGAAAGCTTGGTTCCTTTGATAAGCATCCTTTGAAATTTTCAGAATTAAATACAAAGGAAGATTTCTCGAATAAGTTGACACATCCAAGACCTTACAATTATATGCTGAGCCCACTCGTGTCACAGGACCAACAACATTGTTGAAAGTAATTCCGCTTGAAGCAATAATCGAAATCTTACATTGTAAAGCTCCGTGGCACGAAATATTCCTGATAATATTTTGGAATAATGCATTGCAGACAGTTGATGAGAAGAAATATGTAGCACTGACCTGTAAAGCGCATTCCATGTTTGGTTTTGATGGTTCGCTTGCGAAATGGTAGAAATGGGAGCGAGTACCGCTCTTACATGAAAGATTTTGTGGTAATGTACCTGAAAAGAAGTAGAACATGTCTGAAATAAAGTTAGAATTCGAATCTTGTTCACTTAGGATCTTGTAAGTGCTGGATAACTGCTGTGATTTGTCTGTAGCTGGTGAAAGGTATCTTTTCGCAATGTTAATTGCAAGGAAAATGTAATCTTTGAAATTCAAAATTGGTTGAGCGGTTTGGCATATGTCAGAATGCTTTGTAAGTGTATAGAAGTGAATTCCTTGGCTGTCTTTCTTAAATAGTTGTGTTGATGAGCCTAAAAATCCGAAATTGAATAAAATTCTTTGATAATTATGCGAATTATCGCCTTCTGCATCAATAATGAGTTCATTTGCAATAGAAAGTAGATCTGCAATATCACAATCAAGATCGAATAAGAAAAATATGACTGTTTCTTTGTAATTTTGATTTGAGTCTTCTACTTGGAAAAAACTGAAATTTGTTGTATCTCTAACTCTTGCAAATTCCATTGGATTACAAATAGGACAGATTCCTTCTTCCTGTAATAAAAATGCGCCGCATTCTTGACATTTTCTACGAGAATAAGAAGAACTAACACATCTAACGTCATTAGGTATGTCTACACTGAATGCAAACGCAGAATCCATTTCTGATGAATACGGAAAAAGCCTTGTTGTATTCCAAATCATTATTTTATCAAAAAAAAATCTGATCGAAAAAAAGAGTGAAAATTCTGAATTTCTAAATTATCGAGCCATTTGTAATTAGCATAAAATCTAATTCAGTAGCTCGAAGACTATCATTTTGCTAAGTAAAACAGCCTGGATAATCTAATTTCAAAAATGAAATTATATTTTGTTTGTTTTGAATCTCACTATAATGATCATACAAAGCTACAGAGGCAGTTTAATATTATTATGATGTTCTTATTCAATAACGAAGATGTAAAATGAAACAAATCTTTATTTAATAAATATAAACAAATCAATATAAAATATATTTGTATCCGCAACTAATATTGATGATGTTAGTCCATACAGTTATAATATTAAAATTACTTACAGCATTTTACGGATTTTTCTTCCGCTGGCTGGGTAAAACGTACTGTTGATCTCATTCTTTGTGTATTGAAGTTTGCATTCAGTTTTGCAGACTTAGAAATTTGTTTTACAACTGAATTAAACAATAATTCAATATTTTCGCCTGTTTTTGCAGATGTTTCGTATACACTTACGTTGATTGATTTCGCAAAGTTCTGCATTGTTTCCAAAGTAACTGTACGAATTGATTGGAGATCTGACTTGTTTCCGACCAAGAAAATAGTACAATCATCACCGCGAGCAGCTCTAATCTCGTTTATCCACTGTTTTGATTTCGCGAAGCTACTTGAATCTGTTAAATCAAATACGACAATTCCTCCGTCAGCATCTCTATAGAACATTGGTGAGAGAGCATGGTATTGTTCTTGTCCAGCTGTATCCCATATCTCAACTTGGATTTCGCCTTCGCCATTTTGGACTTTTTTCTGAAAGAAACCTGGTTGAGTGCTTGGCATCGTGTGAGGTGTGAAACCTCCATATATGTAACGATTTATGATTGATGTTTTGCCTGTATGAGCTGAGCCAACAAGAACTATTTTCACTTTATTCATATTTGCCACTCAGAAAAAAAAAGGAAGGAGAAAAAAAAACTCGTAAATAAGTGAACTTTAATGTTGAATTGCAGACATATGCCCGCACGGTCGAATCGCATATTTTTCGATTTTCGGATCCTTTATTTTTCAGATTTCGGGAATTTCAGAAATCGTTTTACTTGGGATCTGATTTACGATGATTTTCAGATTAACATTGTTCATTCCAGACCATGTAATGGTAGATTTGTCTGTCAACAATGAATAACGCCCCATGTTAATGCGATTAATCATTATCTTATTACATATTGGCCAATAAATAAGCTATATCATTACCAAGCCGATTTACTATAGTATATCGAAATATTTCATGAAATATTAGATATCTCAGAAATAATTGCAAAAACAATTGATGTTGATGATGAAAACAGTATGAAATGCGAAGATGAAAACGTAATTTTTAAGATAATTAAATATAAATCAACTGGATTTAGGCCTTGACGTATTTATTGACAATTTCTTCCCAGTTAACGTCCTTGTTTTGTTTGGCCAAGAAAGCAAATGCCTTCTTGATAATGAGAGCATATTCTTTCAATTTATCCTTAAATTGAGTTCTGATAAATGCGATTGCAGCAACGGTTGCAGCAACAGCTTTTCCATACTTCTCAATGAGTTCATTATCCATATTTTCAAACTCAGTCCACGATCCATTGACGTTTGGTTTCGGAACAGCGTCTTTAGATTTTTCTTTATCAGCGTCTTCTTCATTATCATTGAACTGATGAATTGTTGACACATCCTGGGAAACTACTCTTGCATTTGGCCTCATCATTCTCATTGGAGATGCTCCACCAAGCATATGAGGGGCCAAACCAGAACCATGGAGTTTTCTTTGGAGTTGGTGTCTTGCAATCCTCTTTGCTGGGTTTTCTGCTGGAGGTGGAGCTGCTTCGAAGATAACTCCGACATAAGCAGTAAATTTGGAAAGAACTCCGGATTCTATACTTAATTGGATGCATTTCTGTCTAAGTTCGTCATTTCTTTGGAGAAGAATTTGCGTTTCATAGTCTTCTATGATGTATCTTGCGAATAATTGTTTCATTCCTAAATTATCATCACATTTTGATACAGGAATGACAATATCGACTGTCTCATCTGAACAAGTACCACTGATCAATACATTCTCAGAATGTGGTGCTTTAATAAGGAAACTTTGAGGATTATTTGAATAAACTGAAGGACAAGGAGAAGGCCAGACCTCTGTAGCAGGTTTATCAGTTTGTATTGATATATTTGTAGCTGCTGGTGCAATAGCTGATGAAAGCAGTGTAATAACTTTTTCATTCATATTATCTTCATCAGCGATCATTATATAGTTGCCGCCGCTCTTTTTGGCCAATCCTTTAATAAGGCCTGGATCTGCACCTGATCCCAATCCGATTGAAAAGATTCTATTTTCATTTCTGTTCTTTAAAGCTGTTGCGCAAGTAATATCTGGATTATTTACCTCTCCATCCGTCAAAAGGAATATCTGCTTGACAAATCCTGGCTGTGGCTTTAACCCTGCGATGTGTTGTAATGGAGATAAAATATCGGTTCCGCCCATTTTGGCGTTGACTGACTTAAGCAAGTTAAGTGCCTTGTCAACATTCTCATCTGAGTAATCGCATGGTTGAAGAACTGTTTCGAAGCTAGTTCCGAATTTAATAATCGAAAATCTGCAGCCGAGTGGTAAAGATTGGATAAACAGTCTCATGCATTTAACAGCATTTATGATTCTTGCACCACTCATTGAACCCGAGCAGTCAACAACGAAATAAAATTCTGAATTTGATTCAATTTTACCTGAAAATGAAGGATTTGTAGAAATCGCAATATATCCATCACTAGAAACGGCAATACTCTTATCTTCATCTTTAATCGGAGTTTCAATGAAAATGGCATCTTTCTTTGGAGCTTCGTTTGTTTCGAATGTAGCATTGTGACTATCGATTACATTCTTAGTTCCATCAACAGAAACCTTGAAGTCGCTTAGTTCTTTTTGAGTATTGACTTTGAGAGAGAAATGGAAAGAATCAGGCTTATCAGAGTATTCATTTGTCATTATTCCTTTCTGATATTTTGTAGAAAGTGGGAACTTGAAGAAATATCCATTTTCATCAATGTCAGCTAAGAATGAAACTTTAAGATGAATTTCTACTGTTTTATCTTTTGGAAGATTTCCGAGTTTAAATGAATTAAGTCCATTGCCTGTATCTTCTCCAAACATTGCATGGCGCCCAGCTTCTCTCGCTTCATTAAATACTTGTTTTGCTTCATCTTTTTCTCGTAAACTTGGCTTTATTTCTTTTCCGTCGATGTTAAATAGTGTTTCATATGTACAAAATTGTGATTCGTTAGGAAAATAATATGTTAAATCTGTATTTTCACAAGTTGTATTTGTGAATACTTGTTTTATGTTAAATGAAACAAAAGTATCTTTCTGAATACCTTCTATACTAATTGATGTGTATGTTAGTTCCTTATCGGGGTGGGAGTTTTCACAATTTCCAATCATTTTGCTATTATAAAATTCACTTCACAGATAATACAATGAGGAGAAAAAGTGCTAAAATCTCTTCTTCAATTTTTTGATCAAACTCATTCAAACATTGCAAGATAATATGAAATTGATTTATAAAATTTCTCATATTCATAAACGCAAACCATTTTGATAATAAACTGCTTAGATATGGCCTAAAGGATTTTAATATACTCTTTATATTATCTGTTCTAAAAAGATATAGAATTGAATACATAAACACATTTCAATATCGAAATGAGATAACTAATAGTGTTGTAAACAGAAATTCATCAAAAGTGACACCTCAGAAAAGCTAAAATATTGAATTTTTGGAACTTTTGATAGAGCACGTTTTTAAATATTAATTAAAGTAAATGTATATTTTGTAAAGATTCTTTTTAATAAAAAATAAAATTTTGAAGAAGAACACAAAATCTTCTGAAAAATAATATCACATAAACTCATATTATTTTCTAATATATAACTATTTTATATAAAAATCAAATTCAATGATCTTAAAAGCGAAGGATAAACCTCAAAATTTACGAATATAATGAGTGGGAATATAATGCTTATCTATCATAAAATATGAAATATCAATTTTTGCTTTACGCCTAATTTTTGACGACAATTAGCAAAAAAATGTTAAATGTTAACACTCAGTCCATTTGAATATGAAAAATAAAATTGACTTTGATTAAATGTTTTTATTTATCATGCAATTCTTCTTGCGACCAAAGATTTGAATAAAAGTTCAAAAAATAAGATAGCTTAAAAATAATATACGGTAGTGTTTACTAATAGATGAATAGTATATAAATTCTATTAAAATGGATTTGATCCAAAAAAATATATAAAACTTGATCATAAATAAAATCGTTTTAAATTACTTCTTCATTTAAATTATAACAATTATTTTTGGTTTTATATTTTTTTGGATCAAATCCATTTTAATAGAATTTATATACTATTCATCTATTAGTAAACACTACCGTATATTATTTTTTAAGCTATCTTATTTTTTGAACTTTTATTCAAATCTTTGGTCGCAAGAAGAATTGCATGATAAATAAAAACATTTAATCAAAGTCAATTTTATTTTTCATATTCAAATGGACTGAGTGTTAACATTTAACATTTTTTGCTAATTGTCGTCAAAAATTAGGCGTAAAGCAAAAATTGATATTTCATATGGTTTTATGATAGATAAGCATTATATTCCCACTCATTATATTCGTAAATTTTGAGGTTTATCCTTCGCTTTTAAGATCATTGAATTTGATTTTTATATAAAATAGTTATATATTAGAAAATAATATGAGTTTATGTGATATTATTTTTCAGAAGATTTCATTCTGTATGCCTATGAAAAGTACTCTCAAAACTAACCTTTTCCTAATTATAATTAAATCTAGAATAGTGTATTGTGCTTAGTATTATTTCATTTTTCTCATTCAATTTAGAATTTACAAATGTCAAAAAATTGAGAGCTGTCACTTTTGATGAATTTCTGTTTATTACAATAGAATTGTTTATGCACGAAATTACATTACAACGCAATGTAGATTTCGTTATGAGTATAAAAAATAATAGATTAAAATACAACATTTAATATAAGTAAAACTCTCGCATGGTAATAATAGTATTAGTCGATAGTTCTTTGTATCATTAATATAGATGGTCTATCTGAGGAAAGTATTAATGTAAAATTTCGAAGTCTTTTTTCAGAATGGCATTTTCATATAAAATCTTGTTACCCAATTTGCAATTCCGGGAGAAAACCATGTTGTTGCTAGTGGAAGGAAATAATGAATATCCCAATTTGCAACCCAAGAGAAACAGTGGCGAGAGAATGTTTTGAGTTTAGCAAAGGGAGTCTTTCCTGGTTTAACATCGCTTATGAGTTCCTCCGATAAGTTTGTATCGGACATCTAAAATTTTTGTCACTTTTTGTTCAGCAATTTTATAATGAGTTCAGTGAATCATTCTAAAGTTAAACAACTTCAAGAAATGTTCCCGAATCGTTCAATCGAAACTATTAGACGTGTTTTACTAGATCAAAATAATTACGTTCCAAATGCAATTAACATTTTATTAGAACTTAAGCCAGATAAGAAAACAAAGCAAACTGAAGATGATCAACCACGAAATATACTTCCAAAAGGTTTCCTCTGTTGGCCTTAAGATACTGGTTACATGAAAGTCTTCGAAGATATTTCATCAAATTCTTTAGTTGAAGAGGACCCTTATCTTCGCGCAGAAAAGGTAAATCTTACGCCAGATGATTTTGATGTATCATCTCTTTCATTAGAGAGCTACCGCTCTAATGACCCCGCATCCTGGGAGAAATTCAAGAAGAAGTTACAATCAAAGATTGCAGCTGGCCAATTATAAGCCTTTGTTATGTAAACAAATATTAATATTTCTAAATTTTGTTTTATCAGCTATGGTTATCCGCAATGATTCTTCGTCAAACATCCGAGTCATTATCAACAATTTCCCAATAACTCAACTCTTATCAAATTTTGATCAGATACAATTTAGTTATTAGAAGATTTCTAAGAGCAAAAAAATCTATATGTGTGGTGGCATGCCCATGCTGAATAGCCGATGACGAGATTTTCTAAAGATTGAAATTGAATAGATTACAATTATCGTTATTTTGCAATTCATTCATGAAAAGGCCAGGAATTGGCCGTCCGAGTTTAACTCGAAGCATGGTATCGAGGAGCAATGATTTTAAGATAACTGGATCATTGAATGAAGAAATAAACAAAATGAATCAACTTATTAGCAAAAGACAAAGCGAAATAGAAGAGCTGGAACTTCTTGCAGATATTCTTTCTTCAGAAAAGAAATCAGAAACTCAGAAAAAGCATATTATTTCGTATATTAAAAGGCAAACTGATTCATTGTTGCAACAATTAGAAACACGTCGAAATTTTCTAGAAACGAATTCTAAAAAGTACAATTTACCTGAATTTCAGGGTAACATTCGTGAATCTCTTTCAGAAAAACACGTTCTTCTTCAAAAATATAATTTACTAATTGCTCAATCAAAAAATCTTGAAAGATCATTGACTATCGATGGTTTCAGGCTGAAAATCTACGAAGATCATCGTAAAATTCGAGAATTGCAAGATAAATGTCAGGATTATTTGAAAGGAGAAGATGTTTTCGTAGATAAAGCACAAAAAGAAATTGATAAGAATAATGCCGAAATTGAAAATATTCGTAAAGAAATCGAATCTCAAAAACTAAAGAACGAAAGGATTGAAGCATATCTAAATGACAGAGAAAATTTAGCAGCTCGTTTAATACAAACTGCATGGAGATCATTCTATGCTCAATTTAAGAATACTCCAGATTACCACATCCTTAACACCCAAAACAAGGAAAAAATTAAGAACTTAAATGATGCTCCAAAGCCTAGAGCTAATAGTGGTGTTAAAGTTTCTGGATTTCAGATCAAAAGTCACAAAAATTAATTATTTCTATATTTTGTATCATTTGTTTTGTTTATTATTAAAATTTTATATTTATAACCTGAGGTCAGTTGTTTCCTAAGAAGCCACTACATACTCCAGAGATTTCAATATTTGAAAAACATACTTAGCCTTATAAAATGTCTATTATGTAGCATTTCAGTGGCTTACAGAATATTAAAAGAAACCAAATAGTAAATGTTCACTAAAATCTATCAATTTATGTATTTCTTTCATATCGTGTACATCAACACAGATAACTAAATCTTAAATAGTATTATTGTAATTATTTGCTTGTGTATAGAAATATATCATGTTATCAAACTCAATTGCCGTTGATTGCATGGATGTAAAAATTTTGTAAATGAGATTGGAAATAATTAAATATATAAATTGTAGTATATGATCTTCAGATTAATATTCTATGTTCTAAATAACCGGATTCATCGAAGTGAAATTTTTTGATAGAATAACAGATTCCTTGGTCCTCTCTGATACATAATTAATAAATAACGCTTATTTCAATTGTCAATTGTTAACAAATTTTAAACGATACTCAAGATCTAAAAAGTGACAGAAACTAGGCGAAGATGTATTCCGGAGTTGGGGAATATGAACAAGGCGAAGATGGCCAGTTTCATAGAACCTCAGGCCGAAACTCTCACGCCAAAGGATACTACAATGAAGATTCTGATGAGCAATCCAATTCTTCTGACTTCCAAGGCTTCGATTCAGACGAAGATGACGATTTTAACGTAGACGAAGTAAAAACTTCAAAGAAAAAAACTAAGCCATCAAAACCCAAGTCCACAACCACTACAAAACATGCTCCTAGAAAGAATTTCGACAAGTCTTTTATCGATGATGAAAGCATTTATGAAGAAAAAGCACCAAGAAAACGCAAAAAAGTATCCAACGACTACTCCTCGGACTACGATGATGAAGTTTGGAGTGATTATTCGGAGTCTTCTGAAGATGCTGGATTAGCTTACTCCCGAGAACCAAGAAGGACCAAATCTGTCACATATTTCGAAGAAGAGGAAGAAGAGAAATCCGCATCCGAATCGGAAGACGAAGAAGAAAAGAAACAAGAAGAGCCAAAGGGCCCAAGAATTGAAAGAATTATTGGTATCCCTACTAAGCAGACAGAACCACCGACTTATTTCATCAAAATGGCTAACGAATCTTACAGGCACTGCAAATGGCTAAACGAAGAAGAAATTATGGCTCTCGGTGGGAAGAACCTGTTGAATAAATACAAGAAGAAAGTACAGCAGGTCGGCCTGAAGCAAATGGTCGAATGCGATTCTCAGGATATGCTAATGCTTCCTGAAAAGGAAATTTACAATATTGATTTTTGCGAAATCGATAAAATCATTGCGCAGAACGAAGAAGGAAAATATTTAGTCCTCTGGAAAGGTCTGAACTATAATGACTGTACATGGGAAGACGAGATTCAAGATAACGAAGCAATCGCTGACTTTGAACGCAGAAATGATATCTCACAATACAAAGAGCCGCGTATAGCTCTCATACAGCGTCCGGAATTGTTCCAACTTTTCGGTGAAAATTACCCATTACCTCCATTCCCAACCAGAAGAGAATTACGTGACTATCAGATCGACGGTATCAACTGGCTACGTCGCAACTGGTACAACCATCGTAATTGCATCCTTGCCGATGAAATGGGTCTTGGTAAAACAGTTCAAGGCGTTAATATCATTTACGATCTTTACAGAATTGGAGATCCAGGACCATTCTTGGTCATTGCTCCTCTTTCCACTCTCGATCAGTGGGTTCGTGAGTTCAAAAACTGGACTCCACTCAATGTTGTCAAATTTACAGGTCCAGGTAAAGAAATTATCGCCAAGTACGAGCTTACATATCCTAATACAGATGTTCCGAAGTTCAACGTCATTCTTACTAATCCAGATGTCTTAATTAAGTTTGATGAAATCTTTATGAACTTCTGCTGGCACTACGTCATCGTCGATGAAGCCCACGAATTAAGGAACGATGAAACAAAGCGCTACAAATTCATGGAAAGCATGAATATTCAGAATCTTCTCTTAATGACAGGTACTCCCATTCAAAACAACCTCAAAGAGCTCTGGTCCCTCCTCCATCTTATCGACAGAGCCAAATTTGACTCAGTTGAGTCGTTTATGCAGTTATACGATACAGAAAAAGATCCTCAGAACGCAACCAAGCGTTTGCAAGAAGATCTGAAGCCATACATGCTCCGTCGTAAGAAAGAAGATGTCGAAAAGTCAATTGGAAAGAAAGAAGAGACAATTGTCAACGTCGAATTAACTCGCGCTCAAAAGATGTTATACAGATCACTTATCGAACAAAAAATACCAGAACTCGCTGCTTCTGATTCATCTCACAGAAGAGCTTTACCAGAATTACCTAATCTTGCCATGCAATTACGTAAAGTTTGCTGCCATCCGTATCTGATCCAAGACTACGAAAAAATTATCGGCGATGTCTTACAAGGAATGTCCGAATTCGACCAACTTGTGAAATGTTCTGGAAAGATGGTTTTCGTAGACAAACTGCTTGGTAAATTACATCCGCTTGGAAAGAAGATATTAATCTTCTCCCAATTCAAACATGTCCTCGATATCATTTCCCAATTCCTTGATATGAGGAATTACAAGTACGAAAGAATCGATGGTGGCAGCCATGGTAACGACAGACAGAAGAAGATGGATAGATTCAACGATCCGACCCAAGATATCTTTGTATTCCTTCTTTCTACGAGAGCTGGTGGCTTAGGCCTCAACCTTACAGCAGCTGATACAGTCATCATCTTCGACTCCGACTGGAATCCGCAGAACGATGTACAAGCCCAGGCCAGATGCCACAGAATTGGCCAAACCGCCGAAAAAGTTGTAGTTTACAGACTGATTACTCGTGGTACGTATGAAAGCGAGATGTTTGACAGGGCCAGTAAGAAGCTTGGCCTCGACCAAGCAGTTCTCGATCATCATGCCAACAACGAAAGTGAATCTAAGATGGACAAAGAGGAACTGGAAAACCTGATTAAGCGTGGCGCTTATTACCAGCTCACAGATATGAACTACGAAGAAGGTGATAACTTCACAAGCCAATCCATTGATGAAATCCTTGATTCTCGTACCAGAATCTTTTCATCCAGCTCTGCAGACTCCAATTCCTCATTCTCTACTACTAATTTCACTGCATCTGAGAAAGATGCGAAAATTGACTTCCAAGACCCCAACTTCTGGAAGAACCTCAACCCGTCAGGTATCGTTGAGCCTCAGACCTACAACGCCGAGTACCTTGGCAAGCGAAACAGGTCCAGCATCAAGAGATACAAAGATGATGACGGAGACGATGAAGATGATGTCACTGATTGGTCGGTCAACAAAGTACAGAAATGTCTGACAGCGCTGAGAACATACGGTTTCAACCACTGGGGACCCATCTGTTCCTCCACAAACCTCGACAAGAACACAGCGATCGATGGCTGCTCAATTCTCATGTCCAAGATCTTCCAAAGCCGTGATAAAGAGCTGCAAAAGATCGCTGGCCCTGATTTCAAATTGAACGATAACCAGCGTAGATTGGCCAGTTCGAACAAGACATTCAACCACAAAGACATCAAAGCGAAACTTCAGCAGTCTGACAAGATAATCCACGCTCTCCAACAGTTGGCAACCATCAAACTGTTCATTGAAGGATACACGTCCATTTCCGGATGCAAGGATTCGAATGACTGGGATTCATCACGCGACAAAAACCTGTTGAACGCTGTCTGGTCGAATGGTGTTGGTAAGTGGGATGTTGTGTTGAAAGATGAGAAATTCTTCCCAGCAGGATTTCTAACAGACGAAAACAAGAAGGCCGCAATCAAGCGCTACAAGAAACTCATTGATTATTTGGACGATGACAAAACAGCTTCTTCCAGGAGTAGAAACACAGAACATTCACATGTGGAAAGAGCTCCTCCGAAACCTAAAGTAGATCCGAAACTAGAGAAACTGTTCAAGTTCCTGCAGAAGATGGGAATGCCAAACGAAAACAAGATTCCTAAGATCAAGGAAATCACAGGAATCGAGGATATCGATGGCACAATAAAGAGGTTCTTCAAAGCCGCGATAAGAGTCACAGAAGGAAAAGAACTCAAAACGGAAGACAAAGAGTTTGAACCTCTTTTATCAAAATCTGCTGCAGAACAATTGAACTCAAACAGGAAGTGGATGAAAGAGTTCAAACACTTCTTCAGACACGAGTTCATCAATCACTTGGAAATCCTCAAATTGGTGCCAACAAACCAATTGAATCTTCCTCCATTTTGGAACCCTGAAATCCATGAATATCCTCTTCTGAAAATGATTTATTTCAGCGGTTTCTATCATTTGAATGGATTGACAAAGAAAGATCCATTCTCTAAACTTCCTCAGGATGATATGAATTTATTGGTCCATTTCCTCAAAAGTGACATAGAAGTGAAGAAACACGTTGAATACATTATCGGAGTTTACAAGAAAAATAAGTCAAGTTCACAACCGATAATTTTAGAAAAAAGTGACAGAGAATTAAACCTTCCTATCACTAAAGGCGATACAACGATAGAGAGTTTGGGAACAGGTAAGTTCTTCCTTTCCAAGGGTGTTTTGTGCAGAGAAGGCTTCTCTGCTTTCGTCAGATTGAATAATGAAAAACACCACTGCCAGATACTGCCGGGAAAGAAGTTCAGCGTCAATGGAAAGGTCGCTGATAACGTGCTGGATGCTTTCAAGGCTGCTAATGTACAAGGAGGAGAGCTGGAGAAATTTGGTGTCAAGAAACCATTTGTAATGTATTGGAATCAAAAGAACCTTCAGTCAGAAGGTCATAAGATTGACGGCTATGAAAGAAAGACTTTCAAGTTTGAATAATATTTATATTAAAATTTGAGTGTTTATTTTTATTACTATTAACAAAATTTTTAGTCTTATTTTTCTTGTACTTTCGATTTTATTTAAAATTAAAAAGTGATGTAGGGAAAATTAAAATTCCCAGAAAAAATTTAATGCTATTGTTAACTGAGTTGTTTGGTTTCCATACAACACTCCCAAGAAAGCTAAATATTACTAATTAGAATAAGGACATATGGCAATCAAAATTTTGAAATGTTGAAATATTCTATAATTAAGGCTGTGGAAAGTTAAATCACACTTTGATATAGCAGATTAAGTCATAGCGATTCGAAGAATTACGATTTGTTGCAATTATCGATGAGAAAACATATTGATTTCTGGTGTTCGAAACAATTTGATATGTAAAAATAAATAGAATTTATATGAGCATTTTAAAACTAATATTTTAATATCGCAAATTTTTCGATAAATTTTGTCAAAAACTTAGTTTTTGAGATGTCTGCACTAGTTTGCTCAATTCCACTCAGATTAACTAATACAAATGTGTTGTATTTTTGTGATAGTTGTCATTTTCAAATTTAGCCAACCAAGTTTTTGGAACTAAGTCAAAATTAAGAATGTTTTTGGAATATTTAACTAAATAACATAAACTATCAACTATCAATTTTTTCTGCTCTCATCAAAAAATTGAACAAAAATCAAATTGAACGAGAGAAAACTCATTTAATTTAAGCATTTAATCCCACATAAAGTGATATTCCAATGTTTAGAGACAAATTGCTGTAAAATTAATTGCTTTTTGATAAAATGGCTCAGATTTCGAGTAGGTGACAAAAGTGCATACTCTTAAACAACCGTCGGATTTCCGGGTGAAATCGTGACACACTTTCGTCTTTCGTAGGCAGTGGTGGTTGTTACAAAAGGTAACTTCGAATGTAGCGTGAAATCTGCAAAAAAAATTCTGAAATTTGAATGGAGAACACAAAAATTGAATAGTTTACGTCAATAAAAAAGAGAAAAATGAAGCCAATGTGTATCGAACCTAGGACTTAGAGCAGCAATCCCACTGTTTATCAAATTACACTACATGCATCTCTCACCTCAGTGAATGAGATCAACTATATGATAACTTGTTCCCCATTATATTCTTGTGGAAAAGTGACAAATAGCAACTTTGACCCTCTCTCCTCAGATTTCGCTTTTTCACACGATAAAGAATTAAACGTCCGATCCAAAAAATTCTTATAATTAATTTGTAATACATTCTAATCCTAAATCCCAAACTAATTTAAAAACCGTTAATCAGAATTTTTATTGAGAGTTTTGAAAGGTTGACATCACATTCAAATTTTAATAAGTTCACGTAATATATGAATAAAGACATGAAAGTAGAATCACTCAGACTGAAAATAATTCTTTGAGTAGAATCTCGGTCAAAGAATTCAGGTTAATTTTGAGGATTAACTACACTGCAACTAGTATTTAAAGCAATTTCAATTACAATTGGAAATGGACGATAAGCGTATTTCAATTTTTTTGCTTTTTGAGGACAGCTCATTTTTTTGGGAATGACTGAGGAAGAGTCATATAAGCTCTATGTCATGGGTTCTGGTGGTGTCGGTAAGTCAGCCATCACCGTCCGTCTCGTCCAGGACCGTTTCTCAACAGCTTACGATCCAACTATTGAAGATTCCTATGTGAAACTTTTAAACGTTGACGGCAAATCAGCCAAGCTCGACATTCTTGATACCGCCGGTCAGGACGATTTCGAGGCTATTCGCGAAACTTATATGCGCGCTGGTAATGGTTTCATTGTTGTTTTCTCATTGACTGATTCATCTTCATTTGACGCTATTAATAACTTCATTAAGGATATCCGTCTTACATCCGGAAAGGAGGACATCCCAATCGTTGCTTGTGGTAACAAGTGCGATTTGGCTGATCAGCGTCAAGTTGAGGAAGCCGAAGCTAAGGCCTATTTCGAACAAGTTCATGTCACTTATTTCGAAACATCTGCTTCCAAGAATATTAACGTCGAAGAAGCTTTCAAAGCTGTAACTCGTTTGATGCGTGCAGCTAACCCACACTTCCAGAAGGAAGATGCAGCTCAGGCTGATAAGGCAAAGGGAGATAAGGAAAAGCAGAAAGACAGCAAATCTGAGGGCTGTTGCAATATCGAGTAAAATTGTAAATTTCTGAACTATGAATTTTGCGGCCTTTTATTTATAAAATTACAATTCTTTATACAGGCATTACATTGAGTTTTTGAAAAAAAACAACTCCTCATTTTTTTACGGGAAATTTTTTAAAAGAACTCTCATCGGTTCTAGCGTTTGAACCTTTGAGAGAATTGTATATCCTTTTCACGTGCGTTACCTTGATTTTTCATCAAATACGAAATTTTGATTTAATTGGCTGGTTATTAAAATTTTCTAATATTTTACAAACCTCCTATACACAGCGATTCTACACATGTTTACCAAATTCTACGAAATAATAACCTTTTTCACCTGAATTTAGCCTAAGATGTGATTTCTCCATTGGAAGTATTCGAACAATACGATTTCTAGCCTCAGATGTGTCCAACATATAGCCCTGATAACAGTTACGTAAATTCAGATTCACAAATTTGATCGTTTATTTATATTAGATAAGATTTTTCTGTTAATATGTGCATAATTCGTTCTACTCTAATATTTTAATGAAGAGCTAATAAAATCATCGAAGGTTTTATTCTCTTTTGGAGAAAAAAACTGTTTATTTATTGAAACTAAAGGTATGATTCGTTCGATTACCATAAAAAGAATCATCCTTTTTATAAAGAATTGACATAGCGATGGAGAAATTTATTCAAAAACTGTCCACGCGGGAAAATTTTCAATGGGGGTTATACAAAATTCTTTTTAATTCAACCACGATGAACTTCAAAGATTTATAACCTTGAATACCCATAAAAGGTATTTCTCCCAATAAACCTTAGAATTAAAAGAACCAAATAGGAATTCAAATTCAAAGTAGAATGGTTTGTTGAACAATTAGTTGAAATAATTCCTAAAAAGAAAGATAAAATATTTTATAACAAAAAGAGTAAATAAATATATACCTGGTTTGAATTATCAGAAGCATTGTTATTGTGATTAAAAATATTTCCGTCTGCTCACAATTTTTGAAAGAATTTAAATCAATACACGGAAATAAATTTAAATCATGCTTCGAAAGCTGCTCTGAGCAAAGTTTGTACATCGTTAGGATCCGCGTCAGTGAGTTTTTTCAATTTTTGAATGACATATTTTGATTTGTCATACTTCTTTTGGATTACTTCGTAATTCACCAGTCTCTGCTTTGCTTTCTCAAGAACTTGCTTCACATTGTCATCTGTTGGCTCTAGAATGTCTCCCATTGTTACACCAACTGTTCTCATTACGAGTTCATTTGATGAAGGAGCATTTCCACGAAGAATTTCATTTGCAAGGGCCAAAGCAAATTCAGTGATAGTAGCTTTCGCTTGAACTCTGATTCCAAGCTTCTGTGTGGCTTTCTTCAGCCTTTGGAGAGTTAATCTGCTGTCAGGAGTCGCTGGATACCTCGCTGACTTCTGCAAACTAATGGATTGCTGACGCTGTGGTAATTCGGCAACTTTAGACCGCAATTTCTTAAATGAGTCGGTTAAATTGTCAAAATTCTCTTCAAATAAGTTAATTTTCTCATCAATTACTCTTGACATTTGTGAGAACCTTGTTTCTAAGGAGTTCTTGACATCAGAAATTTGTTTATTGAGATTTTCAACCAAAATTTCTTTTTGTTCGAGTTGTTTCATAAGTTTTCTGATAAGTGCAAGATATTTCTTGGCCTGTTTATCGTTTTCGGAACTTTCAACCGTTTGAGATTTGGATCTCGTCATTTTCGGACATTCAGTTTGAGATTTAAGCATTTCTAACTCTTCTTTAAGGTCATTAATGAGTTTATCCTTATCAGCAATCTTGGATTCGCTTTCTGAGACCAAATTTTGTAAAGATTTGACTTTTTTAGCCGAATTTGATTCTTTGAGTGCTTTATTCTCTTTAGTAAGCTTACAGAGATGCTTTGCAGCCGTATCTAAGTACCCAGAATTTTCTTCAATCTGGTGTTTATACTTGTTTACTTGATCTTTAGCGATAACAAGCTTCTTTTCGATACTGTCTTCTTTATTTGTTTCTTCTATGACTAAAAGGAAGTCAGTTACATCGTTTTGGAGTTGAATTAACTTTTCAATTTCTTCATTCTTTTGATTTAGGTCAGATTCGAGTTTATTGATCTGTTCTAATGTTTCCTCGTTATTATTTCCATCCTTTTGTTTAAGTTCCTCTTCTAGTTTGAGAACTTTTTGCTGAAGAATTTTGAGATCTGAATTTTCCGTGGACAATTTCTCTAATTGTTGACTCATTGCATTGGCAGACTCTTGCATATTAGCTTTGTCTTGGATATGTCTGTTGTTTTCTATCTTCAAGGCTTCAATTTCTGAATTTAATTTTTCGGATTCTTCAATTTGTTGTTCTTGTTGTTTAATCTTGTTCTTGAACTCACTGTTCTCCTTCTCAAGAGCAGAAATCTTCTCTTCTAATTCAGAATTCTTCTCATTTTGAGTTTGATCTTTGAAATTAGAAAGTTTCGACTTCAATTCTTCATTTTCATTGGATAAACTCTCATTTTCAGCAAGAATATCTTTGTTCTTTGCACATAATTGGTCAATTTCTGAACATAATTTCTCAATTTTGTTTTCCTGGGCTTTTGCTGATTCATTTGCATTATCTTTCTCTTGTTTATAGTGATTGATCTCTATCTTCAAACTCTCAACTTCGACGGTGAGTTTTTGAATGATATCTTGAGAATCAGACAGTTTACTCTTGGCTTCTAGTAGTTCATCGTTTTCTTCATCAGATTTATCTTGTTTTTGCTTCTTATTTTCGTTGTTTTCTGATGAATTATCTTGATTTGATTTCAAATTATTGATTTGTTCCTTTAACTGTTGGTTTTCTGCTTGGACTGCATCACGCTCATTTGATATCTTATTCAGTTGGTCGCTCATTCCATTGATTGTGTCATTGAAATTATTATTGTTCTGTTTCAAGCGATTGTTCTCAATATTCAGTGTTTCAACCTCCATCTTGTTCTCATCCAATTGCTTCTTCGCATCTTCTAACTCAGATTGAGAAGATCTCAATTTATTATTAAGATTTTCGTTTTCTTTTTGGAGGTTATTTACTTTTTCAGAGAAACCATTGAGTTGACCTTCCATTAAATTGACAGTTTCCTTCAAATTATCTCTATCTTGCTTTGTTTGGTTAAGATTGAGTTGTAGAGACTCAAGTTCAGCCTTGTTGTCCTCATTGTTCGATTCTGATTCTTGCGACTTCAATTTTTCGTTTTCTTTTTCAAGATTATTTAATTTTTCTTTCAAATCTTGAATTTCTTCATTCAAAGATTGATCATTGTTGTTTTGTTGACCGGATGCGTTTGATTTGGCCTCCTCCAGTTCTTTCTTCAAATTTTCATTTTCATTTCTCAAAGAACTGAGTTGTTGAGATAATTGGTCGAGCTGTTGGCCCATTCCATCAATCGTATCGTTCAATGCAGACTTTTCTGCCTTCGATTGGTTCAATTCGATCTTTAGAGCTTCTAGAGAGGCAAATGAGCTATCAAACTGGTTATCATTTGATGATTGTTGTTGTTCGAGTGATTCTATCTTCTCTTGGAGCTGTTTCTTCTCTTTTTGAAGAGAATTATTTTCTTTATTGAGTTTATTGATTTGATTGTTCATTCCATCAACGGAATCATTCAATTCTGTGTTCTTTTTCTTAAGATTTTCATTTTCTTTTTTAAGATTCTCGATATCAATATTTAATTTTTGAATTTCTTCTTTTGAAGACTCCTGATTGTTCTGGCTTGCTCTAAGTTCTTCAATTTGCTTCTCAAGCTCTTCAATTCTCTTATTTTCAGAAGAATCTTTAATTTGATTATTTTCTTCAGAGAAAGATTGATTTGAAGACAATTTCTCAATTGTTGAGTTGAGTTCTTCTATTTTTGCATTGAGTTCATCTGTCTCTTCCTCTAAATTCGAGATCTGATTCTCTTTATCTTCAATTTCGTCTTCTTTGTCTTCTAAATCTGCCTTTGCTGTATCTAGCTCGTCTTGTAATGACTCGCTCTCTTTTTTGAGTTTTTCGTTTTCCTGTTTCATATGAATTAATTCTACTTGAATTTCTTCTTTAATTTCTTTGATTTTGATGAGGTTTTCATTCTCTTTCTTGAGCTGAGAGATCTCATCTTCAAGTGATGTGATCTTGTTGTAGTGAACATCCAATTGTTTGTGGCTGTTTTCTTTGTAATTTTCAAATTCTTCTTCTAAATTAGTTTTTTCTGCTTCTAGATTGCCAATAACACGTTGAACCTCTGTGTTCATGTTATTGAACTGTGTTTTGAGTGTTGAAACAAAGCCAAGAAGTGTAGAATTTTCGTTTTCTAAAGATTTGAGTTTTTCTGTGAGAGATTTGTTCTCTGCTTCTAGATTTGAAAGTTTATTGTTTAGCTCATCAGTTTGGCCAGATGCTTTAAGTAGTTCTTCTTGATTTTGATTTAATTTTGATAATTCTTTTTTGAGAGATTCGATTTGACTCTTTAAACTTTCATTTTCATCTGTGAGCTTTTGATTTTCGCCGGTTAATTGATTGATTACTTCTTCATTTTCTGAATTTTCTTTATTTTGTGTTTTGTTTCTCTCCAAAGCTTCTTTAATCTCTGTATTTTCGGATTTTAATCGCTGAATTTCTTCGTTTAATGATTTGTTGTTTGTTGCTTCGGTAGATAAATTTTGAATTTGCTCTTTCAACTGAGTAATTTCTTTTTGCAGCTCAATTTCGGTTTGGTCTTTAAGTGCTAGCTTTTCTTTGACTTGTTCAAGCTCGTCAGAAGTTTTCTCAAAATCTTCGGTTATTGACTCAACGTCTTTCTTTGAATCTTCTAGTTGCTGCTTAAGATTTTTGACTTCCTCTAAAGCATTATCACGTTGAGTTATTGTTTGATCAAGTTCTGCAGCAAGCGCTTCAAATTCAGAATCACTCATAACTGCAAAATGAAAGTTTTATTTGAAATTTCATATCTATATCTCCTAAAGATTTTATTATTATATTAATTGTTTCATTATATTATTTTTATATTAAATTTTGTCACTTTTTGAAGTGTAAACATTTTAAATTTCTTGAATTGCAAATAACATGTATTTTATAGTGAGTACAACTAATATTTAAAATTTCGGTTCAGAAAACAAAAATCAATATTTAATTGATGAAAAGCAAGGTATATGAAGTGCTAATAAGGCGTTTATGTCCAAGACTAGCTCACTTGAAAGCTAATACCAACATATGAAGCTATTTGTATGAATTGTAGCCAAAAATTCAAGATGAAGAAATGATGTTGAGTACAAAACTATATTTTTAAGATATTTTTGCTGTTTCAAGGTACAGCTTGATAGAAAATAAAAAGTTACTATCCCGGACAAATATGAGATTTCAGATGAGATGAAATGAATAAATAAACGTATTCGACCACTTAAAATGGACACTGCTACAGCTGTCGCCAACATTACCCCAGGAAGTGAAGTTGCTGCTCTTGCCCGTTGCTTTGATACACTTCTCCAAGCTGATTTTGCTGATACATCAATCCTCGAGAAGCTTCTTCCATTCCTTGAGAAGAATCTTCTTGAAAGAAATATCATTGATTACTCAATTGAACCAGGTATCGATATCACAAAGAACTACTTCGTTCTTTGGGAACCATTCCTTCGTGCTAAGACAGCTCTTCTTATCGGCACAATCATTGAGAAGTGCAAGGAAGTCCCAGATGTTTCCAAACTCGTTAACCCACTTGTTGATTTATTTTTAAGCGAAGAACAGATCGAGCAATGCTTTGCTTTAATTGCTCTTTCTAACATCGGCCTTCGTAAGCCAGAAGCCATCCTCCCACTCTTCCCAAAGCTTGTTAAGCCACTTATCCAGATTGTCGGTGCCGCTTCATCACCAGCTACATCATTCGATCTTTACCACTCAAAGGCTTTCCAGTCCCAGGTCTTCGAGTCATTCTTTGACTTCATGGATATCCCAGGACTCCTTGTTACACCAGATAATGTTCAGCGCCTCTTCGAAAACAACATCACTTTGGCCATCATACAAGTTGCCCTTTCTGAGCAAGTTTACATCGAAAAGAAGCCAGCAACACTCTGGCGCATGATTTGGCTCTTCCTCCGCATCACTACAGAGCACCCACAAGGCTTAAAGATGTGGGATGTCGATCACATTCCAAAGATAGGTCCTCAAGCTTGCCAACTCATGAGACTCGCTCTCGTCGCTCCAGATAGAGCTGCCTATATCCGTAACCAAGTTGCTAAGGTTCCAAAGGAACAATGGACAGCTGAGAAATTCACACAATTACTTAAAGAATTACCAAGACAGTAATCTTGGAGTATACCCCCATTAATTTAACCTTTTTTTAATTTTTATAACTCAATCTTTCATATTTTTTAAATTTGATATGATATATACTTTATTGGACATGTTGAATACGTCTTATATAATTCAGATAATTGATTTCCATATGCAAAATCTTTATCTAGTTTTGGATATCTGCCTCCGATTTCGTAACTTTGAATTTCGAGCAAACTGAATCAGATCAAAACGAGTTGGTAAGATCAAGAATAATGGTTAGTGATCCATTATTGTCAGAAATCCCAGATAATTTACTTTGCCAATTAATGAATCAGTGATAATATTATTAATAATACTGATACTAGTGATCATTCTCATGCGATGTGTAAAGAATTTCAATATCGAAAAATATTCACCCGAAAAGTGCCAAAACCAAAATTCAAGATGATGCGTAATTTCGATTTCTCTGTTAAGACCATAGTTGTCGGAGATTCTGGTGTCGGTAAAACCTGTTTGCTCCTCAGGTTCATTCGCGACGCTTTTGATGAAACATCTCAGCCAACTCTTGGTGTCGAATTTATGACAAAAATCGTACAAACAGCAAATCACAGAATCGAACTCCAACTTTGGGATACTGCTGGACAAGAGCTTTTCCGCTCGGTTACAAGAGGATACTATCGTGGTTCAGCCGGTGCTTTCCTAGTTTTCGATTTAACTTCAAGAGTCAGCTTCGAAAATATTTCAAGATGGCTTCACGATATTACAGAAGTTGCTAAAAACGATATCGTTAAAATTTTAATCGGAAATAAGAACGATCTCGACGCTCAACGCGAAATCACTGCTGAAGAAGCACAAGATTTCGCAAAAGCAAACGGCATGGTTTATTTCGAGACATCTGCTAAAACAGGATCAAACGTAGCCGCGGCTGTTAATGCTTGCCTTGATATTATTGACAAGAAATCACTCAACGGCCAGTTAGCTATCCCGCCCCCATCTGATAGCATATTCTTTGACCAGGATGAACCTAAAAAACAAGGCTGCGCTTGTTAATTTTTGGAAAATATGTTATCTTTTTAATGTTAACCATAAAAAAATTAGTTACCTCTCTTAAATAAATTACTTTCCTTTTGATCGGATGATTTTATACTATACTTACTCTCAATATTTTTTGATTTTCTCAAATGCATTGCTAATAGATTACTTTTCCGGCACAAATTATAATATATTCAATAAAATACTACATTTTATCCGAGATTTAGCCTTTTGAAAAGATTAATAGAAAGAAATAATCGAATCAGGAAAAAAATTCACCTTTTATTTGAATAGATTGTTTTTCATGCAAGCTTGTGTAATGCTAAATATATAAAGATTTCATTGTTGAATCAAATATTTGGTTGAGATATTTCACAATAATTTTGGTTTTGATTAGAATAAACTTTAACAAAAATAAGTTTAGTATATAAGAATTAAAAATAACAGTAATAGCTCTATATTTAGAAAAATAATGCATCGAGATCAGATGGAAGTGGTCCAATCTTTGTTGAGAAGTATTTCTCAAGCTTTCTAAGTTTCATTTCATCACTTTCTCCTGCGCACAAAGTAATTGCAAGACCTTTTCTTCCGAATCTGCCAGATCTTCCAATTCTATGGAGATAAACATCGCAAGTCAATGCGAAGTCAAAGTTAATAACAAGGGTAACGTTTCTTACATCGATACCTCTAGAGAATACATCAGTAGCAATTAAAACTCTCGCTTCTCCTGATCGAAATTCTTCTGTAATTTTTGCTCTGTCGTCCATCGTCATTTGGCCGTGAACTAAGGCAACTGTGAAGCCGCTGTCAACCATTTTACCCTTCAACCAGTTACCCTTTTCAACGGAATTCACGAAAATAACTGCTTTTTCGATGGCAATCGATTGATAAATATCAATAAGTGTATCGAACTTCCATTCTTCGTTCTCTACACGTACAACGTATTGGTCGATGCCTGTGAGTGTTAATTCATCGCGAGGAACTCTGATTTCAACAGAATTTCGTAGATGAGCTGTTGCAAGCTCTACAACGTCAGCGCTGACTGTAGCTGTAACAATAACTTTCTGTGCGTGTGGTAATTTCTGTAGAATGTCCATAATCGTGCTCTTGAAAGAAGTCAACATTTCATCTGCTTCATCCAAAACAACGGATTGAACTTTCTCTGCTTGGATATTGTGTTCCTTAAGTAATTGAAGGATACGTCCTGGTGTTCCTGAAACGCAATGAATACCTTTTTGTAAGGCTTTTACGTCTGCACCGAGAGAATTGCCACCAACACATGCGCGTGTGTTTGCTCCGAGTGATTTAAGTGTGTTTTCGGTTTGTATTGCTAATTCGCGTGTTGGAGAAACGATAATTAATTCTGTTGTTTTTGAAGTAAGTCTGAGGCGTGCAAGAGTGCCAATAGAGAAAGTAGCTGTCTTACCACTACCGTTTTGTGACTGAAACATAATATTTTTGCCTTGTGAAATGATGTAAATTGCTCTTTGTTGAATTGGAGAAGGCTTTTCCCAGCCATTTTTCTTGATAGCTTCAATAAGCTCTGGTTTAAGTTTCATACTTTCCCATGTGGGATATACTTCAAGTGGAACATTCGATTGAAATTGGCGATCTTCGTGAACTTCAGACATTGTCACTTTTATATAATTTTTGTCCCACCTAAAATCTTCTGACACTCATAAGATTTTAGCTTGGTGTTCCTAGTATTAGCTTTGTATTCATTTATGCATTGATTATTTGGATGAATTTTTTAATTATCTGGCTGATTTTCTGGAAATATATTTCTAAATCTAAAGTTCAGCAATCTTCCATGTATGGTTGTAATTTCTTACCAATTTTGAATGTAATTTTTAGATAGAGTAGGATTATGACTTGCCAAAAAGTTATTTTCTTCAACAAATAAGTTTACTTGATGCATCAAAAGGATCACCTAATGTTGTTGTTAGTCAAAACTATTATGAGCTTCTTAATCCTTGTAAAAACACAAATGATTGTTCACCTTATAAAATCAACGTTGAACCAGGTAATTACATCATTGAAGCTCATAGTGGTGAACAAACTGACTCATATGGTAGTTTCTGGGAATTTTCTCAAGAACGAATCAAACTCAAAGAAACAACAATACTCCTTATATCACTTGGCGGCACAACAGAGAAATCAAATAAAATATTACATTCAACAGATCATTTTAACACAATTATTTAAATTTTTTATATCAAATTGTGTTAGTTTTCCATTTTTTCGATTTAAAAATACGATTTATCATGAATATTAAACAAGTTCTATTTAAAGGTTTACGCGAAATCGCAAAAAATCCAAAAATTTATGTTTTTCCATTGTTGGAGTTAATACTGACTTTCATTATACTTAAATACTACACAAACATTATTTGGCAAGTCATAATCCTACTCTATCCTTATCAAAAACTAAATTCGGAATCTAATTTTCACTTGAACATCCATCTTGATTCTACAAATAAAAAATACAATTCTCACTGAACCAATTTGGTAGGATATTGTACCAGATTCTTTCAGAATTTTTAATTATTCTGAAAATTTTCTTTTAATGCATTCATTCACTATATTACGGCTTTAAAAACATTCATGAATGTAAATTTTCTGTAAAATGGCAATAGTCCTTCCGAAGTCTCTCATTTAATGAGAAACTTCGTAAAGACTTTGCCTTAAAGTACTCTAACTACTGTTCCATGTTTTTTACAGCACTACGGATTCTGTAGTTGAGCTAATGGCGGAATGTTCTGCCGTATTCTATATTTTGTTTAGATTCTCCAGAAAAACTTTGCGTTAAAGCACTACCATTATAAATTATGGCCCACAAAGAATGAAAGGGTCAGTTTGAAATAGTTTTATGTTGAATTTGACTGAACAGAAAATAAACATACAAAGAAAACCATTGGACTTTACCTTAAGTGAAAGATGGTGTGATTCACTCAATGTTATTTGACTGTATAATATGAATAGGACTAAATAAGAGAACGATTTTCTCTGGAAATCCCTTTTTCTTTGATTTTAAAATTTAATACAAAATTCAATGAGATGTCTCAAAAAATTATATAGTTTACTGCCGTTCCGACCTTGTTATTTTAAAGAAAAATTCATAATCATAAATATATTTTATATGGTTTTTGGACAGCTTAACATCTGGAAAATATTTCCTAAATTTTAATTGAAGGAATGATACGTTTTATTTAAATTTATGCTGCATCCTGTGAATGGAGCAAAATGTATCTTTATTATTTTTTTGAGAAATACTATCAATTTCCTTATTTATTAAAATTTTAGTCTTTGGAAAACAGAATTGCATTTATAAACCAGTAAAATTTTCAGAATTCATCGCCAGCTTTTTCAGAACTGAATTTCATATTGTTTTGAGCAGATTTTTTCCCCTTATTTCTTACACGAACTTAAGTTATTTTCTTCAACAAATAAGTTTACTTGATGCATCAAAAGGATCACCTAATGTTGTTGTTAATCAAAACTATTATGAGCTTCTTAATCCTTGTAAAAACACAAATGATTGTTCACCTTATAAAATCAACGTTGAACCAGGTAATTACATCATTGAAGCTCATAGTGGTGAACAAACTGACTCATATGGTAGTTTCTGGGAATTTTCTCAAGAACGAATCAAACTCAAAGAAACAACAATACTCCTTATATCACTTGGCGGCACAACAGAGAAATCAAATAAAATATTACATTCAAATGATCGATATAACACGATAATTCAAGAATATCAACCAAATTCTAAAATATTTTCAAAAAATATTAAATCTATTGATTCAAAACAAAATACGATATTTATTAGTTCACACCACGGCGAAATACAACGCAAAAACTATTCAAAATTTGGCACGGTGAGGATTATAAGAGATGATTGTTATAATTGCGAAAGTTGTCATTATTATGCCTCTGGTAAAGTTTGATGCGATAGGTGTCCCGAAGGATATTATTTACCATATGAAAAATCTCCTGGATGTGAACAATGTTCTCCTTCATGTTTATCATGTTCATCATCTACTTCATGCCAAGGTTGTTCTCAAGGAACTTATTTATCTGAAGGTCAGTGCCATTCATGTTTAGATCATTGTGCAAAATGTAGTTCACGTTCATCATGTGAAAGTTGTAATCCTAGTTATTATTTATCATCTGGTAACTGCACATTATGTTCACCTACATCTATATGTAAACGATGTAGTAATTCAAAATGTACACAGTGTTCAGATGGTTATTATGTATCAAATGGAGATTGTACAAAGTGTCCAGATAATTGTTCAACATGTAATTCACCTTCATCATGTACTATTTGTAATGATGGATATTATTTATCATCTGGAAGATGCACATCATGTTCACCTACATCTGTATGTAAACAATGTAGTAATTCAAAATGTACACAGTGTTCAGATGGTTATTATGTATCAAATGGAGATTGTACAAAGTGTTCAGATCATTGTGCAACATGCACTTCATCTTCATCATGTGATAGATGTAATACTGGTTATTATCTATCATCATCTGGTACATGCCAATCATGTCCATCTGGATGTACAACATGCACTTCATCATCATGTAATAGTTGTAATGATGGTTATTATTTATCAAATGACGAATGCCTTCCATGTTCGCCATTATCTGGATGTGCTCAATGCAGTAATTCAAGATGTACTAGTTGTATAACTGGTTATTATTTATCATCAGGTAGATGTGTATCATGTTCAACTTCATCAGGATGCGATCAATGCAGTGATTCAGGATGTAAACATTGTTCAGAGGGTTATTATTTATCATCAGGCGATTGTTCAAAATGTTCCGGTAATTGCTCAACATGTACTTCTTCAACGTTATGCACTGTTTGTAATTCTGGATATTATTTATCATCTGATAGATGCCATTTATGTCCAGATAATTGCTCAATATGTAATTCATCTTTAACATGCATTAGTTGCAACACTGAATTTTCTCTTTACAATGGTCATTGTTCTTCAAAATGTCCATCAGGATATTATTCGAGCAACCAAACATGTGTTAAAGTTAAACACACACATGATACTAAAGATGCATATTATAAGCAGCTACGTTTCTTACGTAGGTAATAAGAAATTAAACAAATTTGAATTGATGTTTACTTCATATATTTTAATTTTTTTGTATACTAGAGTCAAAATCTCGAGCACAAAAGTGACATTGAATACTTGTAAGCAGCTAAGAGATTAAAATATGAACCCAATTTTTATACAATTCTATATATTTATATAGTAAGAATCAAAATCACCAAAATCCACATTATGCTAATACTAGTGAGAACACTCAACATTCTCGATATTCGAATCAAAACTTAACTAGTATGAGAAATCAATATCCACTCTCATTAGATTTATAAGTACTTTCCTGAACGGATGATGAAGAATGAATTAAGATGGCTTGTTGTTTAAATTAAAATAATTTTGCATATTTTGGTTTGCATGCTTTAGAGGTAGCATAATCTTATTTTTGTAGGATGTGATGTATAGTGCCGAGCAGTGGCAGTTCATATGAGTCAACTAATTTTTTTCAACATCCAAAATACGAAATCATTGGTTGGATGATAATGAAAATGGTTATCCTAGAGTTTTAATCTTGAGTGGTAGCGTCGCTTTGATTCCCATAACGACATAAGCAATAGGATATATCTTCACAATATACAAAACCGGCCAAAATTGTCTCATTTTGATCTGCCATCAGCACTAATGTAATTATGTTTAATATTATAAAATACCTACGATTCGATTTCGAGATTCAAATATAATTTCAAATCTATCAAAATCTTTTGTGCTGCTTAAGAGAACATCAAAGTTTCATGAAGATGTAATTAATGAAATCGCCGAATCAAGGTAATATTGTATTCATATAATATGAATTTTTTAAAAAAGAGAAAATATAATGTAAATTCCATGATTATAGTATCTACTGTGTGCAAACTTAAAAAAGCTGTTCTTGAACATGTAGTATAAGTGTAAGAGATGATTTGATAAAATATATTCTGAATTCAGATTTTTATGGTGGAATTAGGTTCTCTCTGGGAACAAGGAACATTTGAACTCATCACCTATTTTCCAAATTTTTGAATTTTACCATATATATAATGGAAAAATAATAATATTTGTAACTGATTTTTTTTATTTTTGCATTAAAAATTGGAAATTTTTTCAAAAATTTCAATATTTTGTTATTTTTTTATTTATTGAAATAGAATTTTGAAATTTAAATACTGTAGAATCTTTCAATTTTGTTATTTCTATAATATTATCCTTTAATTTTTATATTTAAATTGTAATTTGTGTTAATAAGATAAACTATATCTCAAAATTGGATGATTTATAATATAAATTTGTCATATATGTTATCATTAATTCAATCTTTCTCAAAATTACAATCAACAACAAAAACAACAAAAAATTTGTTAAATAAATTAGAGATTTATACAATTTAATAAAGTGTAATAATATCAGAGGAGCTAATAACAACGTTTTATAATAGGTACAAAGGAAGTAAGTTTAAAGAATATTCCCTAAAATGAATTGAAAGCTCGAAATCTAAGCATTGCATAGGAAATTGTAGTTTATCATACATATTTACATTATCCTCTGTTCAGTCATCGAGTATCGTTGTAAAACTAATGATATTGGATACAAACGTGAAATTCCAAGCGAATCTACAAGTAAATATATTAAAAATCAATTTTTGGTATTTTTCTTAATAGGGTTACCGAAAGACTATTCTATTTAGTTGAACAAATTTTGTTCACAGCTTTATTGAATCAAAAGAACGTCAGGGACACTATCGCTAGCAAGTTTATTTACGTTGCATTGAGTAATTGGAAAAAAAGAAAGGAAACAACATTAATGTCATTCTTTAATGAGCTATGTAGTTATTTAAATTTCGACGCCGTTTGTATCAAACTACGTTACGGGGCTTGTGTAGATAACTCCCGTTTTAACGGTAGGGAAAAAAAGAATCAAATAATTAATCTGCCGCAGTTAATGGACCATTTCGGAGCAAAAAATAAATCTCATTAAGTAATAAATACGTTTAAACAGATAAAAAAAGGAAAAATAAAAAGATAAAAATTCAATAAAATTAGGCTAAGCCAGTTTGAACAAAAGAGAATCCAGCAATGTTGCCGAAATCGGTCATACCAGGGGTTACAAATGAATCTACAGCGATTTCATTGGTAAATTCGGGATCAAAATTCTGAGTTGAGAACCTGTCTTTAATTTGTGGAATATAGCTTGGCATGTACTCTCTGCCAAGAATTGCATCCCAATCAACTCCTTCAAAGAACGGATGACTTTTAATTTCTTCAAATGTAGCGCGTTTCTTTGGATCCTTCTCGAGTAATCTCTTCATGAAGTCGACAATTCTCTCATCCGCATCTTCAGGATAGAACGGTTCCGATTCAACAATATCTTGTAATAAAATCGACTTGTTCTCGTTATAGAAAGGAGTACGACCGAAAATCATTTCGTAAGTCAGAATACCTAATGCCCACTCATCGATCTTTGTTCCGTATTCCTGCTGAAGAACAACTTCTGGGGCTAAATAATCCGGTGTTCCACAGAAGGTGGTTGCTCCTGTAGTACCGTTTAACTCCTTTGAGAGTCCGAAATCTGTAAGCTTTATATGACCATCTGCGTCAAATAAAACGTTTTCAGGTTTCAGATCTCTGTAAATGATTCCGTACTTGTGCAAATGAGAGAGAGCCAAGCCAATTTCAGCAATGTACAATCTGGCATCGTCAATTGGAACAACTCCGACTTTTTCCATGTAATAAAACAATTCTCCGCCAGAAGCGTATTCCAAGCCTAAATAGACCTTACGATCAGATTGGAAGGCGAAACAGAGGTTAACAACGAATGGATGATGGATTTTCATCATGATATTCTTCTCAGTAAGAACAGAGCAACCATCAACATCGTTTATCACAGATTTTCTTATGGATTTGATTGCATAAAGCTGATCATTATCATATCTTCTGCAAAGCATGACCTTTCCATAGTAACCTCTGCCAAGAACAGAAATTATCTGGAAGTCATCCATCGACAGTTTAGTGCATGTTGTTTGAATTGATCGAAAAACGTTAAACCACTCGGATATTTCTTCAGATGAGCATGCAGAAAATAAAATAGGCTGAGCGTCCTTAGATGGCTTGATTTGAAATCTCGGATTTGTTGCTCCGCGAACTAATTCGAAAGTAACATCTGGTGTCATGGGGATTACAATATCAATGTTTGTAATTGCTTCATCTTTGGATACGATAATTGAGTGATCTGAAATAGAAACATACCTGTTATGCCATAATCCTTGGTTGTTTCCTTTTTTCTTTAGCCAGCCTCGTTTTGGGAGGGAGAGTGGGTCCTTGAGTGATTTCATATAATTAGAATTTTGAGATTAATTCAAAAATTTAAAAAGTCATATTTTTGAAAGCAATGCGTAAATTGTTGATAGTTTTATTAGGGAACATTGAATTGAACGAATGTAAAAAGTAGATTGAATCATCAATTCTGACAGTTACTGCCATGATAATTGAAAATATTGAAATAATGTCAAAAATCAATTGTATAAATTATAAGATATCAATATATGTTTAAATAATGTTGCATGCTAAGTAGTGTCAACGATAAAAATTGAGATCCTATTAATCGTCGAGGAAGTACGATTATTTTTTGGGCGAAAAAGTATCTTAAAATATGATTATTAATATGTTTTTAAAATAAAAAATTTGAAAGTTAATTTGAGATTCTCATATAATTTTTTGAATGAAAAAATAAATATAGTCTATATGAGTTTTTGAATAATCACACTTGAGATATATCTAAAAAATAATTAAAAATAGAGTTTGAGAAGACTTTTCAAGGTGTAATGAAAAGTGTGATATAGAAAATAATTATAGATATTTTAATTTTATATATTGTGCTAAGCATTATATTAAATTTTTAGGAAAAACACTTTTCATAAGTATTCAATATTTGAAAATACGCTCCAAAAAAGAATAGATTCTTTTATATTCGCTTATATAAAAGGAGACTCTCTATCAGATGCGAATGCCTGAATTCAGCACCTCTGATAGAGAGTTTCCTCTTCTATAAGCGGATCTTTTTCATGTTTTGTTAATATAAAAAATCAAAATCTACCAATATGAGAAATTAAACCCTGCGAGGCCAGTCTAGAACTGGCACTTCGCAGGGTTTAATTTCTCTTGACAAAATACAATAATCAAATGCTCCAAAGTTTTCAAATTTTTATTAGGAATAGGAGCCTACAAAGCACTGATTATATATCAGTGCCTGGTAGGCTCCTATTCCTTCTCTAAATGGGAGAAACTTTGTTTGAATAAGATAACATGCGAACAAAGTTTCTCCCATTTAGAGTGGGATTTGGAGGGTGGGAGGTACATAGATAGAATATGTATCTCTCACCCTCCAATTCCCTCGGGAAAGTTCGAAAACTTTGGTGCAATCAGCAACGATTGCACCAAAGTTTTTGCGTTTAATTGAAGGAATTGCTCTTTATGATATATACAGTTACAATGCATATATCATAAGGAGCAATTCCTTCCAGATATCTGGCAAACTTGCTCGCAATGGTTCACAATTGCGAACAAGTTTTGTCATTTGTCAAGAGAAATTAAACCCTGCGAAGCGCCAGTTCTAGACTGGTGCCTCGCAGGGTTTAATTTCTCATATTGGTAGCTTTTTATGTTTTTATATTAACAATAACTCATGAAAAAGATCCGCTAATATAAGAGAATCTATTTTTTTTGGACCGTATTCTCAAATATTGAATACTTATGAAAAGTGTTTTTTTCTAAAAATCTCAGAATATATTTACAATAGTAAAATAAATAAGATATTTAAATTTATTTTTAAATGCTTTTTTTATATGAGATTCTCAAAAGTTATATCAAAAGTCTGTTTTTTCTAAAATCTAATATCATAATCTATTTCTCATTTTAAGTACATCTTAATTCATTTTATTTTCTATATTTTTTCAATATTTTTGAGGGAATTGTGTTGCTTCCCCGACAATAAAATTGAGAGGTTTACACATTGACACTACTTAGCATGCAACAGAATATCATTAGAGACCATTCAATTTTTTTGTTTTTTACATTTCATAATCTTACATCACAATCGTTCGAAAATTTACACCATAATAAATTCGTGGTTAATAAGACATTTAATTTAAAAGATAAATTTAATGATCTATCTGACTCTTAAATTTTCATATTGTTAAAATTATTGAAAAGCGCTCTTTTGTACTTTTCTCCGATTTAGATATGCAAATACTAGCATCTTTTTAATAAAAAAGAGCTAGTTTATATCTTTTATGAAATATTCAGATTTTTCCCAAATATTCACCATCAAATCTACTCCGACATCTCATGAAGACACATTATTGGATCAAATTCTCCAATTTATCCCGCCCATTATTATTGATGGACTCGAGTCTAATTCAAAAGTGATCAATTTTGGAAATATATGCTTACTATCGAAATTATTAAGAACTATCTTATCACTAAGCAATTTGTTGTCAAAACAATTAATTCTCAGAATTTTTTCAATTAATCTTAATCTGTCATTGATAATTCCTTGTCATTATGCATAACTAACATTAAATATTTGCTTATTTTTTGAAGAAATTTATTGCAACGATTTGTAAGACTCAAATTCTTTTCAATTTCATTATTTATGTTTCATTCAATCTCATGACATTCAAATTTTAAAATTGTAGCAGTAATATTCATTTCTCGATTTAGAACAAGTTTTACAAATTTTATTTTGCCGCGCGATTATTTTCAATACAAAGTAGATTTTCAATCATTAAGAAACGAAATCAATTTAATTCATATTATTATAGTTATAATAAGGCATATAGTATTGCGCCTGTAAATTTTCATACAAATCAACAAGATTTTAAAATCATTTTTTTTGAAACGAATTCAAAATTTAGCGACCCTTCATCATTAGCCTTTTTTGAAAGCATAGAAGACTACTTGAGCACATATGACTCAGTGTACAACCTTACCTCCACTGAAGAAACAACAATTAGACAAATTGTCGAAAAGATCAAATCCATCTTGGTTTCTAAGTACAATGTCCCCATTGCTTCAATATTAACCGATATTAGCATACATTGTACTCTTAAGAACAAATATTTTGCCGCCTATTGGGAGGTTTTCAAGATCCTTTATAAGGAGTATCTGCCAGATAAAGGCCTTGAAAACATTCATCCAGCCTTTAAATACTTGCTGAATAAGGAATTCAACCTTAGTTTCCCTGTCAGACAGCCATATTTGTTAACCGTTCATGAACCCAGCTCCATCTTCTTCTTAATTATGCGCGACGACCTTCCAGCTTTAATCGAATACCTGAGACAGAGCTTTATCAGTATTGAAGATACCTTAGACTCTGCTCTATACCCAATTTACAATCTTAACCTCCTCGAAGTTGCCGCCTACCATGGCTCTTTGACCGTCTTCAAATACTTGCTAGAGAAAATGCTCATGAAGGTTACCCAAAACTGCCTCTACCTAGCAATTATCGGAGGATGCAAAGAAATTATCGACTTGTGCCTACAGTCCCAAAAAATGGATGATCAATGCATGATCTATGCATTAAGAACCCACAATTACGACCTTGTACAGGATCCAGTTCTCAGTGCCAACGTTGATAAATCCAAATTCTTGGAATACAACCTCAGGAACCTCGTTTTGTACATTAAAGAAAAACAAGACATGGACGTAGCATTACTTTACTCCTTCCATTATTACTTGCCACCTCTATGGGACTATTTATCAGATAACGGTGCAACCATAAATGCTCATGATAACGAAGGCAATACACCATTGCATATTGCTGCAAGTCACAATTACGTTGCAGCATTACAATGGCTCACGAACCACGGAGCAAATATCAAATTACAAAATTCGAAGTTACAAACTCCAATATGCATCGCATCGAAGTTCCAAAGTGTTGAATCATGCCACTTCCTTCTCGATAATGGCGCCAACGCCCTAACGGTCGACGATTCCAAGGTTCAGCCACTCCACTACGCTTGTTCCTACGGAAACATCAGATTAATCACCACGTTCTTAGATCGTGGTGCAGATATCAACAGCTTGGATCAAGAAGGCCATGGAACTCTTTACTACGCGATCAAATCCCACTCTTTGGAAGCATTCTGCTTCTTGATCGACCACGGAGCTGACATTCACGTCAAGGACACAAAGGGACACAGCCTCATCTTCGCCATTACCTCTGCAGAAAGCATTCCGATCTTCAACAAGCTGCTCCAGCTCGGCTTCAACATCAATGAGACAGACACTGCCTTACGCACTGTTCTCTCTTACGCAGCAGAGAGAAATGACCAAGTCTTCCTTGACTATCTCATGCACAGTGGAGCAAACGTCAACCACCAGGATGCAGAAGGCAAGTCACCATTGCACCACGCAGTTCAAAACGGAAAGGTAACCAATGCAAAGCTGTTGGTTCTCCAAGGTTCGATGTACGACCTCGAAGACAATAAAGGCAAAGTTCCAATTGAACTTGCCACGATGCTCGTCAAGAGAGAGGTCGTCAACTACCTTCAAGACTGGTTCCGTGGTGATTACAACCATGTCGCTAACTATTAATTAGTTTCTTTATAATTAATTATTTTATTTTAAAAATTTTCCCGTTTTATTATTAAAATTGATTACTTTTCAAATATTTACACGGCATATATAATAAACAGAGAAAATTCAACAACTTACATTAGAGAATATCATAGTTTTAGATAAAATTTCACTTTCTAACATTAGTTAAATCTAATGACTGTGTATAATCATTAAAATTTCTGTAATTTAGCTTTAATTTCATTGAAATTTAATTTAATTTTTTAGATTAACTAGTGTTAGTGAAGGAATATGTAAAAAGTGAGGCAGTTAATAAAATTCATGAATAAAATTTGTATTTACACTTGATGAATAAAACAAAACAATAAAAATGTTAAATACAATAATATAATAATATACATGCAAACAAAATAAAGGCTCTATTACTTAAATAACACATCGATTCTCTGTAATATCTCTTCTTTGTCAAAATTATTTTTGTCATTTTTTGTGACTTCTTCGACCAAAACCTCCCAATTCCTTCTTTTAGATTGTATTGCTCTATTTCTCTCACTCTCTATTCTTCCGATTTCGAGTCTGCTGCCGACATCATGGTTTACAGACATCAAAACTCTGGCTGCGTCCAAAGCTGCTTTTGATACAACAACGTTCCAGTGCGTGCTGCATCTATCAACCTTTCAGTATGATAGGAACGAGTTTTGTCGAAAACGATGAGAAAACAATTAAAAAATTTTTGTTCGTTATTACATTCAAAGCAGAAATGTTTGTTTTGAAGTTCAACGAATCCAAGGATTCCTTAAGGATGTTGAAGATGATCAAGCCGCAGCTCTCGATGTCTTTCGGTGGAAGATGAGGCGCCAAATATGAAAAATGGCTAAGAAAAGCAGTTTCTTTGTTTGTGTCTGTTTTTGGCCAATGTTTCACTAATTCGTAAAGAGTCCATGTGGAAATGGTTCCATCTTGGCTCTCAAAGAACTCGGCGAGTTGATTAAATGGTCCGAAAAACTCAGAAGACATTTGAGAGGAAATTAAGGGGAAAATAATCGTTTTGTAAAGTGTGAAAAATGGAGGTTTGAGAGGGAGCGTCTGCGCTTTCAAGAAATGATGGAGAAATCGGAGGCATGGGGCTACACAAGGATATAGCATGTAGTTATCACGGTATTTGAGAAGCTGGCGTAAAATTATTTGAAAAATTATCTGACGATAGCCTGAGACTGTATCAAATACGAGTAATATGAAAGATTCGACTGCTTGTATCTCTTTTGGATCTGGACTTTCGAGTAATGTTATGTAACGCGTGAGAAAATCTTTAGTTAATAAATTTTGCAGAGCACTGATCTCCGAATTAGATACGAATGAGTATAGTATTCTATGAACAGTTGAAAGATGTAACCAACTATTAGTGTTAATTGGTATCCTTGAATCTGCGTAGATAATCGTGAGTGGAATAGGTGGAATTTCGCGTAATATGTTTACTTTTATCATATCGAATAATTCTACTCGTAATGATTCGTCTAGGCTCCGAAATACGTGAACGTTATTAACAGTATTGAAGATTTTCGTGAGATAATCTGCTTTTTTGCTTCTCATATTGATTGTCTGTGGGTTATCAAAGTCGACTATTGTCTTACAAAATTGTAATGCTTCGACAAATTGTGTTGCCAGTGCTGGCGAAAGAGTCAATGGAGTTTCATCTTGCTTTTCTTGTTGTGTCTGTTCAACAGAAACTTGCATGAGAGTTAATTTTTTGGCTGAAGTGAATCCTGAAGGTGGACCGCTTTTAGGATTGATTCGTAATTTGGGTAAAGAATTGACCAAGGGAGTTCTATTTTGCTGCTGAGGTTGAATACATTCTGCACGTACACTAGAGCTTTTCTTCTGATGTTAGAAATTAAAATATACGTATCTATTTAAAAAATTACTCATTATTAAGCAAATATAAAAAGGTGACAATACCCGTGGTCTCAAATCTGCTGCATGTAGACTATTCAAAATTTTAATATCTGTGTTTATAAATGTAATTATATTTAGATTGTAATTATATAAAAATAATTTAAGGAGAACGATAATCATATCGGCGTAGACTCGATCTTATTACTCGATTTTATATTTCTAAATACATTAAGCTTAAATTCAACTACCGAATTTTTCCTTTCAAAAATTTGAGAAAAACCAATATAAAACAGTAAAAACTCTCATGATTTGATGACAGTAGTATATGTTGACGGGTTTAGTGACTTTTTTTGTTACATCTATATATAGACGATGCATTAAAATATATTTATTTATAAATCATTAAAAAAATTAACATTAATTTTAAAATAATTTATTTTTTATCTTTTAGCCGTTTTCGCTACTGGTGCCAAAAAGTTTGCAACGGGTTTAAATATCATCCATGTAAAATTTTAGAATTAATGATGTTATCGTTACAAAAAGATTAAAACTGAGGAAAAAGAATTTAACGGGTTTAAATATCATCCATGTAAAATTTTAGAACTTGGTAACGAAAAACTTCAGAAAAAATTAAACGAAAGACTATCAAAAGATAAAGTTGAAAGAGTAAATAAACTCGCTAAAGGTAATGGTAATGATGAAAGGTGTAAAGATAAAGATAAAGTTTATTCAGTTTCATATAATAACTGGCACACGTTAGGGATAAGAAAACATTTAGGAGATTATGGGAAATGTTCTGAATTCTTTAAATCTAGTATATACGAGAGAGTAAAAGAAATTAGAAATAATTATTTTCATGAATAAAAGATTCACTACCATAATGAAATAAAAAATAAAAAAAATTTAAAAAAATAAACTTCTTACGAAAAAATTAAAACTTAGTTATGTTTATTTTTTTATTTTGTATGAAATGAGCGTCAAAACTAACAACGTTAAAAAATTAGGATTCACAAACGAGGAAATAAAGGATATATTAGAGGAGGTAGGTTATGAAGTTAATAAATATTATTTAAGAAATTGTCAAAAATTTGCCGAGTTATTAAATGATTTAGATTATGATGGAAAAATGAATAAAGATGATGTTATAAATTTCTTATATCCCACATCTGAAGAAGAAAAACCTAAAGAACCTGATGTTTTCCCTGAATATTATGAAGAACGGATTAAAGATGATGAATACAATGAAATTGAAAGACTGAAAAAAATAAGAGATGAAATAGATGAAAAATTAAGGAATTAAGAGAAGTTGAAAAATATAATGAAAATGAAGTAGAGGGTTTAATGAATATCCCAGCTTCAGAATCAGAAGTTCAGAAATCTCATGAAGAAAGATATAAAAATTATGTCTCAGAATCAACACAAAATTTATTAGATGTGTGAAATAGACGAAACACTTTCAGAAGAAGGTACTAAATTTATTCGTAAACATAAGTTACAATTTATTGATAATGAAGAATACCCTTGTATCTTACTTTCACCACCTTTAGATTCCGAAAAATTCAAAAAAGCACTAAAAAACGTGACATATGCAACTAATACGATTAAGAAAGAAGATCATGATATTTACACAAATTATTATTTAAATAAATGCACAGGTGTTGATAAAGTTTTTGATTTATTAGATAAAATATCAAAAGAAACCATTGGAACCCATAAAATTTTGTGTGATTGTGGTTTCATTATTGAAGATACCAATAATGTTTCATATGAAAGAACAGCACCGAAGGAAGACGAAGTGGAAAGGTCTATACCATTCGTTATTAAGAACATAAAAGATATGAAAACTTATAAACATTATATTTATTGATTTATTTCAGAAAAAATGGAAGCAACCCATAAAACATCTTCTCATCATTTTATAGCTATTCATACATTCCTTTTCAAAGTTGTGAAATTAAATAAGACAGGAATTAGATTTAATGTATCAGGGTACGCATTCTTGAGTAAATTAAAATGTATTCGTCACGTCGCAGATGATAAAAATTTATGTGTTCTTAATTCATTTTATGGGCTTTAAAAAATAAACTTTATTTTTATTTATTTTTTAATTTTTTATTCTTACATAAATGAACAAAAACGGAACAGCTAAAATGAATGACAATCAAATTAGAGCAGAAGGTAGAAGGTTATTTAAACGCTTCTATAACATTCCTGATGGTGTTAATCCTAAAACTCGTAGAAGCTATTTAAATGAAGCAATAGATGCATATGAAGGGTTTGACATTTCATCAGAAAGTGAGAGATTAGCGAGAATGTTAAATGTTAATATTGATTTCTATTATTGTGATCATCAACCAGAAGACGTGGACATAAATAAGGTAGACTTTCCATTAGTGGAATCAATAATGATAGATCCAGAATTTGAAACAGTAAATATTTTATTAACACAGAGTCCATGTGGAAAACTTCACGCTGACAGAATAACAGACGTTGAAGCACTCACCGGCTATAAAGTTTGTCCATATTGTAAAGAAGAAGTTTATTCTATCCGTGATGATCCAGAAAGGAAAAACCAAAGAAGATTTTTAAAGCATTGTGAGAAATGTAAAGAAAATAATGGAAGATTAATTCAAGACGTTCAATTGCAAAAGACCCAGCAACCATATGCACCACATATTACGAAACAGAAGATATATCAGTGGTTATTAGCTCACAATTTGCAGAATATTATAAACCGACAAGATATTATATTACTTTTGACTTCGAAACATTAGAGACTAAAGAAGAATTACAACTTTCTGAGTGTGCAACTTTGAACGCTTACTTAAAACCATTCATGGTATCATCAACGGTTAAATTAAATGATAAAACATATACAAGGAATTTTTGCTTAACTTCGAGTGATTCTTTTATTTCTGATTGGATTGAGTTTTTATTTTCAACCTGTTCATTAGTTGCTAAATCAAATATGAGTCAATACAATGAATTATTGAAGTCGCAAACGGCGGGGACTTTGTCCCATACATTAAATGAAAAACAGAAGGAAGCATTTAAAGAACTTCTAGATGAGGAATTCAATAAAGTGAATATCATAGGTTTTAATTCGGGAAAGTTTGATTTAAATT